CATTGAGAAAGAAAAGGGCCAGAAGAGTCATCAGCTAATGAAACTACGAGAAAAGCAGTGTGATGCATCTGATAGTAAACTGATGAGGTTGTTCACTCAGAGCCTCCAGAAGTTGAAACCAAAAGAAAGAGAATATTTCCTGACATGGACTCAGATCCTTATAGATGCCCTCTCCACAGATGATCTTTCTTCAATTCTCCAAAACTATGATGAAACCTGGTCAGAGGTTTTGGTCTTGAAAAAGAAACATGACAAATCTGCTCAATTAAAACACAAACAAACTGAGCTTGAAGACTTGTCAAAAAAGCTTCAATCTGCAACCTTTGGTCTGGAAACATCTTCAGAGAAATGGGACAGATCTATGAGGCCCATAAATCTTTGAAGAAACCATCGCTGGACCAACAGTGAATGGACTAAATACCCTGAGCTGGCTGCAGATCTGTTGATATCAGGACACCCGATGGAGCTGATGGATGGGGATGCAGGCCATGTGCCTTTAATATGGATCTCTAGTCTTTACAGGAAGTCATCAAGAAACTTGGTGACCAGAGAGTCTTTGTGCTATCAGTTCTGGGTGTACAAAGTAGCGGAAAGTCAACAATGCTGAATGCCATGTTTGGTCTGCAGTTTGCAGTCAGTGCTGGGAGGTGCACCAAGGGTGCCTACATGCAACTGGTTAAGCTGTCAGAAGAAATCAAGGATAAATACCAGTTTGACTACATTCTAGTTGTTGACACTGAAGGACTGCGAGCTCTTGAGTTAGCAGGTAATGCCACCATTCATCATGACAATGAACTTGCAACATTTGTTGTTGGTCTGGGAAACATGACACTGATCAACATTTTTGGTGAGAATCCAGCTGACATGCAAGATGTCCTACAAATTGTTGTGCAGGCTTTCATGAGGATGAAGAAAGTCAAGCTTTCCCAAGTTGTGTGTTTGTCCATCAGAATGTCACAGATATTACAGCAGCAGAGAAAAACATGGACGGAAAGAGACGACTGCAGGAAAAACTGGACAAGATGGCTCAACTTGCTGCCAAAGAGGAAGTGTGATGTTGAGTGCTTCAGTGATGTCATCGCATTTGATGTGCAAAAAGATGTGAAATACTTTGCTCAGCTATGGGAGGGAAGTCCACCAATGGCTCCTCCAAATCCAGGTTATAGTGAGAGTGTCCAAGAACTCAAGTCCATCATCTTGTCCAAAGCCAAACAGTCTAAAGGGATCACTCTGTCACATTTCAGCACCAAAATTCAGGACCTGTGGAACGCCTTGCTGAATGAACACTTTGTTTTTAGTTTCAAAAATACCCAAGAAATTGCAGTTTATAGAAAACTGGAGGTCCAATATGGGAACTGGACTTGGGCCCTAAGAAGTGAGATGCTGAACATTGAAAACCAACTTTATCCTAGAATTGAAAAAGCTCAACTGGACAAAGTTGAGCTGAACTACCTTAATAAAGAAATGAGCAAAAAATACAAAGAAATAACAAAAACTATGACAGATTACTTTGAAGATGACAAAGACAAAGAGATGTTGGTTCAATGGCGGGGCCGATTTGAGAACAAAATCAAAGAGTTTCATGAGGAACTTGTGAGAGGAGTGAAGAGAAAACTAGATGAAGTAATCCAACAAAATAATGCTAGAAAAATGCTAGACAAGAAGAAGACAGTGTTTGAAAACAATCTACTACAGAAGAGCAAAGAGCTTGCTCACCACCTGAAATGCATTGCAGCAGATGAAGCGGAACTAAAAGCACAGTTCAGCACTGTTTGGAGTCACTGGGTTCAGGAATTAACCTCAGATACAAAACCCATCGAGACCATAAACTTGGAGGAAGATCAGCTGCTTGTCCTTGAAGATCTTGGCGTAGAATGGGGACTCATTGATGAGTCAAAAAGAAGTAAGAGATACAAAAATCTGTCAGAAACTGGAAACTACTTTGGTTACATCACCCAAAAGAAGTATCAAAAACTCTTTGAGGAAAGCCAACAGTCTCAGGTAAACAAGACAGAAGCAGGCAAAGACACAAGCGGACAAAGCAAAACCTTTTTTGGCTTTTTCCAACAATTGTTTGTAAAGGCATCAACAACACAGCATGTAGAAGAAAGTAAACCAAAAAATCCTTTTCAGTATGAAGAACAGGAACTGATCAGATCCTTTGTTAAAATAGTTGTAAAAGAATGTCTTGATGCCATTAAGAGCAAACCTGTTGCAACACGAGGTTACAGGTCAACCTACCTGCAGGAACTTGCCAAAAATGTTAAACAAAGAGTAACAGAGTTTGAATCAGGGAAGAAATATACATTCAAGAAGGAGTTTACAGTTGACCTTTCACTGTTTGTTTTTGATAGGGCAGAAGGTTGGCTCTTAGACTCCCACAAGATCTATAGAGAGAACAATGATGCTCTGACTTATTTGGACAACAAGAAAAATGAATACTACAACATTTTCAGAAGCTTCTGCAAAGGAAGTTCATCTGCTGTGGTGTTTGGTGAAATTATGTGTGAAAAACTCAAAGTCTCTGCTGTTGAAGCCGTCTGTAACAAGACTGGAGTTGACATTGCTGGAGAGATGATGTGCAGTTTTCCAGCATTCAGTGAAAACAGACTAAACTTAGAGAAACATGTGTTAGCATCTCTGGCAGAGAGAGAAGATTTTAACAGATTCACCACCTACATCAGAAATCCAAGAGCTCAAGTAGAGGCTTTCATCAAAGAAGAAGTGAAGAAATTCATGTTCACAACACAGAAAAGTAAAGTCCAGACTATCCTGAAGAAAAATGTAGAAGACATCACCAGAGTTATCAGTCAGGCTTTGTTTGAGGCAACAGAGAAATTCAAAACAAGAAAGGAAACATAGGAATGTGGGTGGAGGAATTTTCTAGTAAACTAAAACCAAAGTTGACACTTGATACCATTAGTTGTCAAAACTTCAGTGACATAAACAATTTTGAATTTCTTAAAGAAGAGATAGAGAAAGGCCTGAAAAGCATCACAACAGAGATGAGCAAACTCTCCCTGGAAAAGGTGAATGACTGCAGGCAGAAGCCTGATCGGATCCTGATTGATCAGCTGTGCAACTGCTGCTGGGAAAGATGTCCATTCTGTGCTGCTGTTTGCACAAACACTTTGAAGGACCACAGTCCTGAGAAGCACAGCGTTCCTTTTCATCGACCCAACGGGGTCAAAGGTTGGCATGTAAGAGGAACAGTTGATCTGGTCATTGATTTCTGCACCACGTTAGTTGCAAGTGACAGAGGCTTTTACCCTGATGCTGGCTCAGAGGAGGCAGTTCCCTATAAGCAATATCCAACTGCAGGAGAAAAGTATGTTTCATGGAGCATTACAGCTGATGCTTCTATGCTGGCCTACTGGAAATGGTTCATCTGTCACTTTCAAAATGAATTAGAAAACTACTATGATTTGAAATTTCAGGGCAGTGGAGAAATTCCTCAGCATTGGAAAAACTTCAGTAAGAAGGACGCTATTGAAAGTCTGAATGAAATGTGTAGTTTGTGAAGAAACTGCAACCACTCTGTAGTTAGAGATCGCAAGATTGCACACACACTCCAATGAGTGGATGGGAATATAAATGTCTGGTTTATTGTTGCCTCAGTTCATTCTATAGTAAAGATTGTTGAGTTATCTAGCAAACCTGAGTTTAACTTGTGTGGATTTTTTTTTTTGTCACTTAAACCTGGCTTTTTATTAGAATATAACATGTCAAATGTGTTCTCAGTATATAATGTGCAAATGGAATGCATAATTATAATGTTTTTTAATCTGATTATTTGTGACCCTGTTTAACATTTAAAAATATAAGAAGAATATGCTTAGGGAAGGGATTTCTCTGTCTACAATAAGAAGCAATAGCAGTAACATGTTTTAAAGAATGCAACTGTGGTGGGTGGATGGATGGATGGATGTTGAAAAAAAAAATATTCTTACCCCCTTAATTTGATTGGAGTGGTAATTTCCACCCACCCTACCTACCTGAGCCCAGAACTCTCAGAACATCTGAGGACATGGGGGGCAAAGGCACACCCTAAATCATTAAGGATTTTCACTTTTGTTACTAAATACCAATAAATAACAGTTTGATGCTTCATTAAAATTGATGTCGCGTAGGCTAGATGTGGTTAATGTAGACTAATGTAGACTAATGACATTGTCTACATTAGTGTTTAGAAGCATCTAATTCATTTACCAATGAATATATCTGGCTCAGGGTTAGGGCGCACGTTTTGTTGGCCACTTTGCAGTGATAGGCCAAACTTAATGTAATGGGTACTGCAGATGTAGCACCGAGTTAACAGATGAATTTCCTGAAATATAGGTAACTGGAGATGAGACAGGACAATGGAATGGCATAGCTTCAGGAATCTCTCTGGTTATATTTATATGCATCTAATTCAACCAAGTGCATTATCACTTTCAGTGTTTAACTTTCAGGATTGTTTTTTTCTCTTGTTCAATGCTCTGCTCCATATATAATAAACTTAAATTCTCAAATATTTAAAGCAAATATAACAAACTTAAATCTTAAACGATATTAAAATAAAATATTTCAAAATCCATCAGTCTCACTTTGTCTTATTCAATTCCCAGCTTAATAATGCCAAACTTAAATTCTCAAGTGACATTAAACTCAAATAATTAAATTAAAACCAAAATACACTGACATTACTGTCTTTTAAGACAGAAAATATAATATGAAATATATTAGATAAATAATATATAATTATCAATAATAATATATATTTATATACTTAAATTAAGGTTTTCCCATAAGCATATTTAGCCAACATAACCGAACTAGAGCACCTCCATATCAGCACAACGGTTCTTTAACGGCTAAGCTAATCGGCTCGTCACAACTCTTACAACATACAGTGATAAAACCGCACTTTAGAACATGTAAATGTGTGGCCAGAATAATTCATACAAAGTAAAAACTCGGTTTTATGCTGTTAATGTGGTTTTTCACTGGGTGCTAACCTGAAATACGGGTAAGTAAAGATGAGAGACGAGCACAAGATGGCGTCACTTCTGGACTCTGCGGTTGGGAAGGCGCTTCGGAAGAAGACACAGAAATCCGCTGCGCCATGTCGCCCCCTGCTGGTTGGGTTACGCCACACTATTCTTGCGTCGCATTAGGATGTGAAACAAATTTTGTGCCCGTCACATTAACGTCATTTATTTTCTGTTTTCACGCGACTTCTGGACAATTTGGCTTGCAACTTAATTCAGTGATGCTCCAGTTCCTCATCTGCAGACAATATAGCACATCTTGTAAACATCTTCTATGTGAATATCCAATTTTTAATTGAGTCAGTGAAATGAATTAACTTTTAAAATATAGTTTAATTCATTGACATGTTCTTGTAGAACACCGAGGAAAACCAGGATTCACTTGATCAATAGAATGGCATGCCCTTGCAGTCCTGATTTTATTTTTGCAGAGGCAGAACAGACCATACTTACATGGATTATTTGAGGTTTAGTTTACAAAATCACATCGGTGGACCTACGAGACGTATCAGAAACTATTTTTTTTTCCACGGGCTCCCCAAAGCTGCTCATTTAACAACGCTTTGATCAGACCTTGAACATCCTTAGCTGGATGCCTGATCAGAACATCCTTTCTTCTTCTTTAACCAATCAAAACACCCATAAAATATACATTATTCACTCAGTAAAATGTAATTATAGTTTGTTTTGAATTACAAATGACTCCAACGTAGCTGACACATCTTTGATTCTTCTTTGTATCTTTGATATGCTTTGGGAGAAAGAAGTCAAAAACCCCATTGATACACTGAGTTTGCTTTACAGGTTGTAGAAAACAGTTTCCAATTTTATGTATATATCCTAATTTTATAGTTATCTCAAAACAAAATGTATTAAATCTGAACACAATACACAACAGTGCACTTTGAAATTTATGTGCTGTTTTGTACAGTAACGACACTGATTTCACTCGTTTTTTAATCCTGGTTGTTTCAGTCAAGAGGATTTGTAGATCTTGAAGCTCTTGAGTTTGAAGTCCCCACCCACGTGGATGTAGGTGATGACGTTCATGTTTGTACGGTTAGGAAAGGTGAGTTTCTGCCCTCCAGGGAGCTCCACCTCAAACCCGTCACCAGAAAGCTTCAAAAACATCTAAAATAAAACGCACGTTTGTTATTTTTCACCGAGCAATCAGGCACAGTTGAAGTGATGCACAGGTCTAAATGTCACAGAGATGCAAAAAAAAAAAATAATAAAATAACTTTTTGTGTGATTCTGGAAATTACCATTTTATATTGAGAAAATAGGAACCTTAAATCTGTTTGTTCAAGAAAAATAAGAACATCTTAAACCGTTTTGTCCTGGATCCAGACTTCCTCACCTTGACATTACTGCCCCTCTGCAGAGGGTTGTGCATTTCCCTCCCTTCACTTCCCCAGCAACCTGCAGTCTTTGAGTTGTACACTAGGACCGCTCCGTCTGCGTCATCGTGGAAACGGGGGTTAAAGTGCAACGCCAGGTCTTCTGAGTTCACACCCAGGTCAATCCGGAACCTGTTTGGATCGTGAATCTGACTTTATTTAGTTTGTTTTCTGCACTCGTTCCATTTATCAGTAAATGTGGAGAAAAATTTAGCAAGTTGTTTTTGCATCATCTGTGCTTTTCATTCAGGATTGCATAAAAATATAACGTGCTTGTCTTACCTCTCAGCATCGTGCAAAATTTCCCCCTTAAGTTTTAACTTGTCTCCAGATTGTAAGGTCACATTCTTCAGTTCCAGTTGCTGAGGAAATGAGTTTTGAGTTCAAACCACGTCACCAAAACAGAAATTATATATAGAATCATTTATAAGCAAAAGTTTGTTTCTGTTAATTCTGATCGTTATTGCTTACGGCTAATAAAGACCAAACATTTAATTTCTCAGAAATACATTACATAGCACCAATAAAAAAGGAATTTTATTAAGTGCAAAGTCAATGTAGCCATCTATCAGGATATTTTCTGGCACTTCTTTCTCCTTTAAAAGCTGGATTTTCTAGCTGGATTTTGTACCTGCGCATGCTGCCAAAGCTAGCAATATTAATGATCATAATTTCATGGATATTGAGAATCACACTAGTTTGACTTTAACCCTATAAAGAGAATATGGAGTATGGTCAAGAGGAAGCTCAGAGACATCAAAGCTAACAATAGCTGTTTTTCCATTGACCATATAATTGTGCAAATTGAAATTATAAAATGTTATTTGCTTAATGAAGGCACAGCAGTTTCGAAAAATATTTTTAAAAAAACAATTTTGGGGGGTTTCAAAATGAGCATTTTTGCAAAACGGCAAGCAGTTTTTTTCAGCATTACGCGAGTCATGTAACCAGCAAACAGATGTTACTACTGGTGGAAAAGACAAAGAAGACGACAGGAAGTAGTAGCAGGAGGATGGCGTGGCAAGTTTTTAAATTATTGATTATGTCAAAAATTCTATTCACTTGCGATTTTAATTGCATTTCTCATTTAATTGAAAAAAAATACTGCGATTGCGAGTTTTATATTTATTATTTTTTTCCATTGACAAAGTTTTGCAAATGTTTGCAATGGGATTGCAAGCTATTCAACCCCCATACTTCACTGCACTGATACATACAAAAATTGGTTAAGCTGAATACAGGGTGCATATGCTGCACAGTGTCTTTAATAGACAAAAATGTCTGTATCACCAAATCATTTTTATTGGTCATATGGAGTCTTCTAATTTTTTCCCCTTTGAATTAATAAAATGTACTTTTTTACAATATTCCAGATTGCAAATGTACACAGGCACTCTTTTTTAATGCCCTTGTATTTAAAAAATAAATATAAAAACAATTTGTTCCTCATTGAATGACACATTAATTTGATGAAGTGCAGAAGAAGGATGATTAGTCTTACCATCTTCATTTTGGATCCTTCAAAGAGTTATTACAAGCCAAGAAATGGTCTTTATGCACAATGTGTCTCACTTCCTGTGTGACAGAGGGAGGATAAGTATTATAACTATTAAATATTGCACATGTATGACATAAACAGAGTAGCACACAGAGCAGCACACATTAACAATGTAACAGAATCAGCATCAAGATTACCTCCATCACGACAATCTGTTTATAGCTCTCTTTAATCACTGCTGAAGAATTTTATGTGTAGATAAGATCAGAAAACAACGTTTTTCACAAATCAGGCCTTGCAAACAAAGGGCTGTTAAGATATCTCCAAAGGTGGGATGACCTTTGGTTTTAATTGATAAAGCACTATTTTAAAATGACACAGATTAAATAGAGCTGTAAATATTTTATTCAGTTTGTCTCTAAATAAAACAATTGAATTTTGACTTGAGACTTTTGTGCTTCTTTTCCAATAAAAAAAGCTGCCTGTGATTATTTTATTCGAGAGAAACATTCGCTTTTTTGACATAAACAGATAATTTAACTATTTTTAGCCATTTTCAGTGAAGCAACTGGGAAACTGTTTTTATTTGTGGCCGCTAGAGGGCGAGCTTTTCCTAACCACAGCTTCCGCTACGTCGATGGAAGTGACATAATTAAGTAAACAGGAGCTGTCACTACATTTGTGTTGTTGTTAATGGCAGTATAATTGCCAGTAAAAGGCACATTTCGGAAGAATATTCGGGATAGAGGCGTATTTGGTGGCACCTTTATGAAGAAGCTGCTGAAAACCCGCTAAAGGTAATTTTTTTTAAAAAGAATGTTTACAAGCTGATAGCATCTCTAGTGCACCTGCCTGAAGCTAAAGCAGCTAGCAGCTAATGAAGCAGCGTTAGCATGCAACTTTATCTTATCCTCCGTCATTACAGTTACATATTTATCCTGTGTTTTTCTTTAAGCATTATTTGAAGTCATTGGTTTTCACTACTGAGTCTTGTTGGGTTCAATTTTCATATGTAGCATGAACTGTGACTCACCATCTGTTACTGCAGCCCAGAGGATGTCGCTGCTTTTACAGCATCAGTGCCAACTCTGCTTATTATGCCTTTTTTTGTGCTGTAATTATTAGTTTAAGAAAATGCAACTTTCCTAAAGTAGAGTCAATCCTGGCAGCTTGTACTGACAAGACACATGAAAGCTGTTTGTTGCTTAGATTTGTTTTCATCATGAATTTTCTTGGGCACAGATTACTGATAAAGCTGTTTTTTTTTGTTGTTGTTTTTTTACTTTTACTAGGACTTTCTTTCGTGGGAAGGTTGTGATTCTGTCCTGCGATGTTCACAGACATGGACTATGAGCTGGAGGAGGACAAACTGTGAGTCAAACGTGTTTTGATGATGTGTTACCTTAGCCTTGCAAAAGTATTTATACCCCTTGGAGGTTTTCTGTGTTTTGTCTCGTTGGAAAAACACGCTTCTGTGTATTTTGTTCAAAAACTAAAGGAGCAGGTCAGAGCTCAGAAGAAATAGGAAATCTATGTTGGCCATTAAAACCTGGTTTATCTTTAAAATATGAACTAATACGATGAATTCAATTAATCCATTACATTTGATACCAAATATCCGCAAACAGCTAAACCAGATGTGCCGTGTATTGATCTGTACAGAGGGATACCCACGGTACCCGGCACTGTGACGCTGAAGAAAGATGCTAACAATCTCATTGGCATCAGCATCGGTGGTGGAGCTCAGTACTGCCCTTGTCTCTATATTGTCCAGGTAGGAACATGAGAGCTGGTAACTATAACGACTCATGTTTACCTCATGATCTGTGAAGATAATCTGAGTAGATCTAAAATGTGTTAGCAGTTCTGTTCAAGTTTTATTTTTCAGGGTTTTTTATTACAATTAAAATCTAAGACTTTTTTATAACTTTGTATCTTATTTTCATTCAGTGCAGTTGAAACTGGGCCAGTGAAAGTTGATTTAACCTCTTGCCTTTTAAAGCGGTTGCTTTTGTCTCCCAGGTGTTTGACAACACTCCCGCAGCTCTGGATGGGACGCTGGCAGCGGGCGACGAGATCACCGGAGTGAACGGGAAAACGGTGAAAGGGAAAACAAAGGTGGAGGTGGCCAAGATGATTCAAGCTGTCCAGGTAAGCAGGTTCTGGGAACAGAAAGACGGCTTGTTATTAATTACAGCTCTGAGCATTATAGGAACAAACGTTTTATGTTTCTTTTCCCTTCAGCCACATTGCTTTTTTATTTTATTTTTTTTTACCGAGATTATCTTCTTCATACCAGATGCATGTTATGGTTGCACAAACAATGAACTTAAAGTTAGTTTTTTAACAATAATAAATGTAATTTCAACCCTAAAACAGCACATGTCACACATCCGGAGAACAAACTTTAGAGACAAGTAAGTAAATGCAGCACACTCATAAAAGAGCTTTTTCTAGTTCACATGATGATGATGATGATGATGATGATGATGATGATGATGATGATGATGATGATGAAAAGACAAGGACTTAAGATCTTTGAAAAATGTAAGTAAGGCTATTTGTATTTATTTCACTCAATTATGTATTTTGTTAAAGATGAAACCAACTACAATAAAATTATTAATTTCATAGCTAAAAACTCATAAACAGTAAAAAAAACATTTACGTTATCATCCAGTTTTTAAGTAAAATGGAGGAAATGGATGTGAATGGAGAGTTTGAGAAAATGCTACAGAAAGTAAAGTTATAATAAAAACCAAAGAAGGTGCAACACAGAGGACTGATTGGATCTTTTAATTGAGCAATTTATTCTGTCAATGTGAAAAAACATTAGAAATAATGAAAATTTCCATTTTAGTTTATCATTTGCCAGTTTAATGTTTTAGATTTGAAATGTTCAAAGGTTTGAAGTTATAACTAAACTAAATAAACATCACTCAGATTCAACCTCTTTCATTTCTTTTCTTTATCTTTAACACGCGGAAATCAAAGTGGTAGAAGATAACTCACTATTTTCGTCCAGCAGCGATCCAGACCCCAGCTTTGGATAGAACACAAGAGGAGTTTATCTGGCTTGTTGAGCTTTTTGGAAGAGTCGGGGATAATAGAAAGCATGTGGCAGAACGTCAGCATCGCAGTGTGGGCCGTGTTGTTTTTGACTTCTTTTGTTTCACACAGAAACGTTCCCTTTTGGGATAAAGACGGGCTGTGGAGTGGGAATTAAAGGATTAGCCTGTGCTGGCGTTAGCTTTTCAGGGCCCACGATGCGCTTTAACGTCACCATCTCCTCCAAAGCCTCCATCTTGCCTCCGATGCTGAAACAAATGAATTATCTTCTGTTTTCTATAAATGAAGGATCCCCAATTGTTTTAAACTGAACGTTTGAATCTGTTTGTGTTCACAGGGAGAGGCGGTGATCCACTACAACAAACTGCAGGCTGACCCGAAACAAGGGAAATCTTTAGATATCGGTCTGTGCTTCCTTCATTTGCCAAACTGAAGTTGCTGCTGGTGTGAACGCATCTCTTTGAATCTTAATTCATGATGTTTCAGTGTTGAAAAAAGTCAAACATCGGCTGGTGGAGAACATGAGCTCAGGAACCGCAGACGCTCTTGGACTCAGCAGAGCTATCCTATGCAACGGTAAGGTTTATAATATTCCAATGCATTTTTACTGCTGGCTGATCTCTGTGAACGGATCGCGTTATAAATGCGTTTGTCTTCGTAGACGGCCTGGTGAAAAGACTGGAAGAGCTGGAGAAAACAGCTGAGCTTTACAAAGGTAAAAACAACCAAAACTAACCAACTAGTGAAAAGAACTAGTTAGTTTAGTCTGGTAAATTTTCATAAAAAATCTACATTTCTTTAATCAAATTCAAACATAAAATCTGAACAGTGACAGATTATTTCTTCAGGTCAGGACCTCATTGTCTTTTTTTTTTCTTCCAGGACTGATGGAGCACACGAAGAGGCTGCTCAGAGCTTTCTTTGAACTGTCGCAAACTCACAGAGGTTTGTCGCTGCAGCATTTATACAGAAATAGTTTGAAAGCTAAAATTTTCTTTGAACTTTGCAGAAAAAGCCTGTCAGTTTCGACTGCCATTCCAGACACAACTCATCATCATCATCAGCTCTGGAATTTTGCGTCTTATATAAAATTTTAAACAGATTATAGACCGAATTATATTAGCGATACAATGTGTTTGCTTTTTTACAGCCTTTGATACTTTTTTACTGTCTAAATCCATTGATTGGTGTGCCGCTGTTAGATTGATACTTTAGTTTCACGTTTCCTCTTGAAATTGTGTTTTGTTTTTCTGTTGTAGTTTCTCAAATCTACCTCAAAAAGGATTTTTTTTCTATTTGCTCTAGAATTATGATTTTATTTTTTCTTCCCCACTTTATTCTGGAAAAGATAGCCCAAATCATGTTTATGTTATTGACATATTTTTGTAGATGGCTTCAAACTTTGTCCAAATTCAGTCCCTATGTGTGAATAAAAAATTAAAGGGAAAAAACCCCACAAAAACACCTAAAGGTCACAAGTTTGGTAATATTTCATAAGGGCGTTATGTATTTAATTGGGATTGGATCAGAACCAAAATACGCCGCATCGCACACATTTAGTCTCCACACAAATCTCATTTTCTTAACTCAAAATCTTTTATACATTGATTTTTTTTTTTTGTTTGTTTGTTTGTTTGTAATTGAAATACAGCAGCAAGAAAAATAGATTAGGAGAAATTCCACTGATCCTAACTCTGCTTATACTGCTCTACATTTTATCAACCAAAGATAAAAACAGTTGACACCACAGGCCCAAGAGTCCAAACACACAAATACTCACAAAGGTGAAGGTTTCCTCAGGTACAAAGCATGTGAAGAACCTCCAGAGGGTCGAGTCGGTTACTTTCTCCTGACTACCTAAATTCTTGTTGACAAGGTTACTGGACAGGAATGGATCAAAGATAGTTTGCCGCTAAGAGCGCACACTCGGTCATGTTTCTGAAAACACAACGTCGTTCGTAACAGAGCTCACACGCTGATCAGATCTCAAAACCAAACTATTTCACACATTCTGAGCATGAACTTAGTTATACAGTAGCTAACCATGAACTTGTTTACCAACTTTATTCATATAAACAACTTTATTGTGTAAACCAATTAACAGAATTTGACCAAATGGCAGCACAATTAGCATCATATGAGAAGCACCTTCATTGGTTGAGTATTAATACCAATCCATATTGCATATTAGCCGATTTAATGCAGAAAAAGAACCATATTTATGCTCTTATTTTTACTATTTCATCATTTTATTAACAATTTTTCACAAAGTAGGCAAAAAATGTTAGTGTCTGTATGTCATTATATACTTATGTACCGTCCATATTGGAAAAGCTTCACATCTTTCTTCTGTTTCTGACATGTTGTTGACCTTGTCAGGGTTCGGAGACGTGTTCTCCATCATCGGTGTCAGAGAGCCGCAGGCTGCAGCCAGCGAGGCTTTCGTCAAGTTCGCTGACGCTCACAGGAACATCGAGAAATATGGAATCGAGCTGCTCAAGACCATCAAGCCTGTAAGTGCTCAACGCATGTTTTGAGTACATTTGCAGACACAAAACCCTAATTATTTTTGTTTTTATTCCTTTAGTAACTGCATTTAAACATTTAACTGTGACCAATCTTCCTCCTTATATTTACTCGTCCTGCTTCTATTAACCCTTTAATCAACTTGCTGTCATTGACTTCCAGATGCTCCATGACCTGAACACATATTTGCACAAGGCCATTCCAGACACCAAGCTCACCATCCGCAAGTATCTGGACGTAAAGTTTGAGTATCTGGTGAGGAAACGGCTCTGGGTTTTTCTGCACAACTCATCATCATCATCATCAGCATCATCATCATCATCAGCATCATCATCATCATTATCAGCTCTGGATGTGCAGGATGAGTTTGCTGTATTAAATAAAAGTCTGATGTTTTTCAGTCATACTGCCTGAAGGTGAAGGAAATGGATGATGAAGAATACAGCAGCATTGTGAGTATTTTTAGGGTTTTTAGTCACATTGCCTGCTGAACTTTGTATTTGAAATGTTTCCAGTGTAAACAGAAATCCCGTATTTTCTGCCTTTGTACTGTATTGCAACAGCTTCCTCTGTTGTTTTCTTTATCACACATAAAGAAAAGAACATATCAATGATCTGAAACATTGATATGTGTCAGATCAATATATGTTTCAGGTCTGATCAAATTCCAGACCCGAATCAGATTGAGTCGCAGTGGCAAGACCTTAAACCGTCACCTATGCTTAAAAACGATCGAGCAAATAGAGAAGTGAGTCCAGGATTCCTCCACAGACTCATCATCAATGATATAAACACCTAATGGGAGTTGTTTCCTATAAGAGTAACTCAATTCATTTCTGACATATGTCACGTTGGTTTGGGTTTTTTCCCTTAACAAATTAGCGAACATATTTTAAAAACAGTTTATTTTCTTTTTTCTCTCTTTTCTTTTTTTCTAGCACAGGAATTTCTGGATTTACGTATAACGTTGAACCAAAACAGAACAACACTTTGTATGTGATCTGTTCTTATTTTTAACCGACAGGCCATGGGAGAACCTCTGTATCGCGTGAGCACCGGGAACTACGAGTACCGCTTGGTTCTGCGGTGTCGGCAGGAAGCTCGGGCCCGCTTCGCCAAGATGAGGAAGGACGTTCTGGAGAAGATCGAGTTGCTGGATCAGAAGCACGGTTTGTCCTCCCTCAGCCGCTTCCCGTTAGCCAATTATCGCGACACAGGTTCGACTTTTCTCTCCCCTCCGCAGTCCAGGACATCGTGTTCCAGCTGCAGCGCTTCGTCTCCGGCATGTCCCATTACTACGACGACTGCTACGCCGTCCTGAAGGAGGCGGACGTGTTCCCCATCGAAGTGGACCTGTCCCGCACCATGATCAACTACAGCAGCCAGTCGCTGTCCTACACGGACGAAGACGAGGAGGACGGGGGCGGCGGAGGGGAAGAGGGAGGGAGCACGCAGGCAGAGAACGGCACCGAGAAGCTGATTGATGATGAATGAGTGTGTGTGTGTGTGTGTGTGTGTGTGTGTGTGTGTGTATGTGTGTGTGTGTTTAACACTCTGACGCGTTAAACATTTGATGCTCGTTTTACTGTTTTATCGTTTATTTAAACCCATTTTCTTGCTCTTTTGATATTCCTTTTTCTCACTAGCACAACTCACAACAGTGGGTGATTTTATTTTAGCACTTTCTGAGACGCGTGTTTACTACGTCAGAGGTGGGAACTGGGAGCTTGAGGTGTGCCTTTGTTTTTTTACCGTCTCTCTTGGAGTCCAACGGTTTCTGGTGTTTGTCAGTCTGTATGAAACTGAATGTTGTAACTTTCTTGTCTATATTACTTGCAGCACTCTGTACAACACCATTTTATTCAGCTACTTTACTTTTTTTTGTCTTACTTTAAACTTATCAGCTTCAGGATCCCATACTTTACAAATTGTCAGTTTCCACAAAACCCGTTCCAGCTTCAAAATTTGTTGCACCTCTTTTTGCAAACTTGAAGCAAGGTTTACTTTGCATTAATTTGATTTTATTTGTTTTATGTTCAATTCTATTGCAAATAACGCTATGCTTTTCCATTCCGACCTTACACTGAAAACAAGAAGGATGGCTGTCTCGAGTGCACATACAAGCCCACAGAGTTACTGTGCTGTTAGCACTACATTAAAGAAAGTATAAACATGGACATTCCAAATAATGCTGTGTATCAGGTCGTTACCACTGTATTTATTGTGTTTTTTTGCTGAAATTGTATCTAAAAGTTTGTAAAAAAGTTATTCTTGGAAAGAAAAATCAATCTCTGCTTGAATATGTTATACTACAAGTGACCACTGGGTGGCAGCAATGCACCAGATTTCGCATCCCTACTGTAATACATTCAGTTGAAGTTTTGTGCTGAAGTAAATCGTTTTATTTTTGTCTTGTTCACTTTTATGTCACCTAAGGAAGGACTATATAAATCTTTATGCACTAAATCACCAGTTGTAAAATATACCGATCTCAAAGTGAAGCGCTAAGTTTGGTCTTTGAAATTCTACACTAACCTCAAAATAAATCATGTAACTATTTGAGTCAAATGCTTACAAAAATGAAGTACCTGCTGCGAGAAGCTCACGTTTTGCTGTTTAAGACGGTTAATTTAGCTTTTCTAATTCATTTTTGCCTTGTTCCTGTTACTAAGGCAATGCTTGAAACCTGTGCATATAAAATATAAAATAAAACTATTTGAAATTGTTCGTTTTGTGATGTTTGCATTTAAGTCTGAGTACAGAATTCTATATTATTCCGTAATCCATTTTCTATGATTGTGGTTGCAGGCGAAGAGCTACATGTACTGATAGGAGCCCTGTGTACTGTATGGGTGTATGCCCCAGTGGCCTAATGGATAAGGCACTGGCCTCCTAAGCCAGGGATTGTGGGTTCGAGTCCCATCTGGGGTGGTCATGTTTTTGCTGTCATTGTGGCTGAATTTCTGTTACATTTTATGAATTTTAGTGTCTTTTTCACCTTTTCCTAAAACCAAGACGTCGATTTCACTCGATGATACGTTCATCGCTGGTCTTTTTCTTCGCCTGGGCTCCCAGCCAATCAGGAAGCGCTGCGCTCCCGTGACTCACGAACTACCCAGGACTTTCCCTCCGTGCTCACAAAAGCTTTCATATCCTCGCTGCTTGAGCTTCTGCTTCATTTAGTTCTTTTGTTTCGTTCATGCTGCTGCAGACTTAGCGTTTCGCCGCATTTATTTTTTGCAACCATGCTGTTAACAATGAAGCTGTACGTCCTTCTCTCAGTTCATGTGGTGACGACCTTCGCTGCTCGCAGTAAGTAGGACGACGGTGCGGATAAACACTGACGGTTGTATAAGATCTACTAGCTCCGTGTTTCTGGGATTTAACCTGCAGACTAGCGGTCGCTTAAATTGGCGTTAGTTCATAAAACACCCCTGCCACGTGAACGCGTCTTAAAAGTTACACTCTCCTGAAGATCATTATGTTTTTCTTTGAAAGAAATATAACTTCCAAGTCCCAAATGCTGGCTTTTTTTTTTTACCTCTAAATGAAAGTACTCGTTACATTCAAAGAAATCTGTCCTTGGAGCTCATTCATGTTTGCCTGCGCAGCTCCCCCCCTAGACATAACAGCCGCCACCCTGTACTGGGACGAGGAGCAGAAGCTGGTGGTGATCAAGGAAGGGGTGATGGAGGCCGATGGCGACGCGTACGGATACCTGAGGAACACGCTGAACAAAACCGGCTGGAGCATCCTGGAGGTCCGGTCCGGATACGGGACGGTCCCCCAAACCGACGAGATGGTGTTTTTCCTGGCTGGTTACCTGGAGGGATTCCTCTCTGCCCAGTAAGAAGCACGCATTACGCACAGCGTCACTGGTTAATGTTTGCGTGTGTTTAGATCAAATTAAAGAGGAATAACCGAACACTTACTTGTTTTTTGTCACATTTCAACCTCAAACTTTAGAGTATTTTTATTCAGTTTGTTTGCAAATTGTCAAATAGTTCATCCACTGTGAACCCAAATTAGTAATCCTTTGCTGATAAGTGACATCAATCAAGGTTTTAAAGCTAATATTTGTGAGTAGTCGACTCAACCGTGACTCGTGTTGGTCAGAATGTAAAGTTTGGTGAACTTTATGTGAACGTCGTTTGATTTGTTTGTCCAGGAGGAAAGAAATGAATCAAATCTTTAAAAAAAAAAAAAACAATCTGAACACGCATCTATATTTGTCCACCTCTACTCTCATACCCAAACGAAAAACATAGTGCAACTAATTACCTTTAAAAGTAACCTAATCTTATGTTCTACATAAGCCATCCCCACTGTCAAGCATGGTGGTGGCAGCATCACGCTAAGGGGAGACTTGCTACTCAAAGCTTAGAAGCTTTTTCAAAGCTGATGAAGATTTTAGATGTTTGTTGGAGAACGTTAAAGCACAAACACCCTGAAGACACGGTGATGGCTGCATTATGCTGTGAAACGGGGAAGTCGGTCAGAGTTTAAGAGGAAGACAGAAGGAATCAAATTTGAGAATATGTTTCGTTCCAGTTCCACTTTTCGCTGGTGGCTCAGTGAAGGTTTTGGTTTTGCAAGCTGACAAAATGAAAAGTTCAAAGGTTATGAATCTGGAAGCAGCTTCTGGTACTGACTCCTCCCTCCACCCCCTCATCTCCCACTCTGTTTCCCAAGGCAGATGATGGACCACTACACCAACATGTACCCGCAGCTGATCACCGAGCCGAAGATCCTGGAGCCGGTGAAGACTTTCATGTCGTGAGTGTGTTCTGTGCGTTCTGTCTCCCCCGGCCCCCTGAAAGAACCGCAGAACCGACCCGGCGTACAGTACCCAAGTCTGACATACGCCGTCATCGTCTTTCATATCCTCTTCTCGGTTCATCTCAGGGCTCAGTCATATGATGTTTATTGTATTTCCTATCAACAGCTGCACTGTAAACAAAGCAGGTCGATGAATCTGATTGCTTTAACGCTGGAATGTCGCCGACCTGTCCCCACAGGTGCCTGAGCGAGGTTCAGAGGGCCGTTTTGTTTTTGTTTTTTTGTTTTTCGTTTAGCATGTGACACACTCAGCTTGTCTTATAGCTTTTTGTTCCAGGTGACAGTGGGTGATAAATAAACAGGAAGTGTCGCCTCTCCCCGGTAGGAAGCAGGACGCGTGGGTCAGACAGCAGGTGAAGCTGTACAAGAACTCCGATCCTCTGTGGAGTCACGCCGGATTCATCCAGGCCCAGCTGGACGGCCTGCAGGCCGGAGCCGCGGACTGGGCCAAGAGGCAGGGACTGAAGGTCGATAAGCCGCACATATGATTCACACCTCACCTCACAGACTCACGGCGTCAGTAAAACGCTTTGCTGTGGTCATAGTTAGAATGAGGAAGCTCTATCTGCGGAGCAGGAAATTTAAAGGAACAGCAGGATATTCTACCTGCATGATGAATAAATTGGTAAACTAACAACAGAAGCTGGTTTTTACAGCTTTCTTAAGCTTTGAGTCTCAACTTTACAATGTCGTTTTAGGGCCAAGCTGTGAAAAAACACAAAAAACTACAAGAATAAAATTGTAGCATTGTAAGAATATAGTCAGAATATTACAAGTATAAGGTCATAGTATTAAAACAATGACATTGTATGAAAATAAAGTAAAAATAATATATATATATATATATATACCAAAATTGTCTTTTTTTCATTTCACTACAATTGTGTTCTTGTATTATTTCGACTATATTTTGCTGTATTATTTTGTCGTCTTATATTATGACTTTATTGCCTTAATTGTATTTATTTTATTCTTCTAAAACTCGGTGGTATATCTCAACGTCAAACAGCAGAAGAACACTTAGCTCTGTCTGCGTTCGTTCCCTGACCAGCTGCTGATTCTTCCCACAGCCGCTGTCGCTGTTCGACGTCCAGTTCCTGAACGCGGTGGGAGACCTGCTGGACCTGATCCCGGCCTTGGTGCCCGGATCCAACTCTCTGCTCAGAGACTACAAGCTTCCAGGAATGGGTCACTGCTCAGCGCTCATCAAGGTCAGACAGTTCACCGCGGCCCCTTTCAAAAGAAAAAAAAAAAAACTGCAGCCGAATGTCACACTTCCTCAAAATATCTCCGAAACACATCAGCCATGTGCCAGCTGACTTGCAGTCATGCTGAAATAGGAAGTACTGACATACATATTTCTGACTGAGACGCACCAATCGGTCAGATCAGGTAAATCAGCTGTTCGTTTCCACCATAAATCTGATCAGAATCAATCGGTAACATCGTCACCTTCCTGAAATAATGGCCAAAATCATTTTTTGTCAAGTTATTTTTGCAAAACAATGATCACTTCCTTATTGCCGAAAGATGATTTGCGTGACATAACAACCACAACCCCACAAACATGAATACTTGAGAAACATTTCCCTTTTGTAACACGATTCTTTAGGACACCGGTCACATAAAGAGGGATGATCTGCATCACCCAGCTGCATTTAATCGTATTTCATTTTTATTGATGGTCCCATTGAACAAGCGGGAGAAAATAGTAAAACTAACAAAACGGACAGTTGGGGGTTTATTTTGAACATCATTAATCTGAATTTATTGTAACAAAAAAATCAAAATTCTTATCATAAGACATTTATCACAATAAGCGATAAGCGATACGATAAATGCTCATCCCTACAAGATCCTGTGAAGACTATCGATGTTCAGTCAGATTTTCTTCTTTATAGTCTGACAGTATGGTGTATCACATTACATAAGTATGAGTTACAGAAACAAGTCAATCTGGAAACATGTTCTCATATGGTAACCTTACTTTACAATTTGACCTCTTCCTCCTCTATAGATGCTTCCAGGCTATGAGGAGCTCTTGTTTGCCCATTCCAGCTGGTACACATACGCTGCCACCATGCGCATCTACAAGCACTGGGATTTCCACATCGCCGAGCCGCACACAGCCACCGGGAAGCTGTCCTTCAGCAGCTACCCGGGTAACGAAACGAAACGCCCCGGACGGTCTTCTCCACCCACCTCTCGTCTTCTCCTGAATGACAAACCCATCCTTCGTTTGGCCTCTCCAGGTTTCCTGGTGTCTCTGGATGATTTCTACCTCCTGGGCAGCGGCTTGATGATGACCCAGACCACCAACAACATCTTCAACTCCTCCCTGTTTGACCTCATCACTCCCAACAGCCTGCTGTCGTGGCAGAGGGTCAGGCTGTCTCACAGCTTGGCTCGCACGGGAGAGGAATGGGCCAAGACGTTCTCCAAATTCAACTCTGGTACAGAACCGTCTGTACACTCCTTTTAAATTTTTCTCTAAGAATGCAATGTCAGATTAACTTTTCATTGCAGGCACCTACAACAACCAGTACATGGTGGTGGACAGGAGCAAGGTGCAGCAGGGCATCAGCATCGATGACGGCGCTCTGACCGTGGTGGAGCAGATCCCCGGCCTGGTGGAGTTCTCCGACCAGACGCAAGCTCTGCGCAGAGGTACCGCATCGCCCGTTTCTGTTTCCGACGGCGTTCGCCTTACCGACCCGTACAGCGCATCGTTCCCTCTCTCTCCGCCTGCAGGTTACTGGCCGTCCTACAACGTTCCCTTCCACCGGAACATCTACAACTTGAGCGGATACGGGGAGATGTGGTTAAAGTACGGAGAGGAGTTCTCCTACGACCTCTGCCCCAGGGCCAAGATCTTCCGGCGCGACCAGGCCAATGTGAAGGACCTGGACTCTCTGAAACACATCATGAGGTACAACGGTGAGTTGCTCCATGTTAGACTCTAATTCACACACCTGTTTAAATGCCAGGTTGTTATGACGTAACCTGGCATTGTGACGTCTTACTAAAGTACTCAGACCGCTGGAACCTTTATGATTTATCACACCACAAAGGTCAATGTGTTTATTGGGATAAAACAGATTATGCACTACTTTATCAACACAAAGTAGTGCATAAAGGGACAAAATGTGTAGAGGTTTCCTGCAAAGGTTCAATAATCCATCCAAAATTCTCAACATATTGTTTTTTTTTAGACTACAAGAATGACGTTTACTCTGAGAACAACCCCTGCAAAACCATCTGTTGCCGGAACGACCTGAAATATGAGAGGCCCTCACCAGGAGGTTGCTATGACACTAAGGTACGACCAAAACACGACGGTGTGCAGGATCAGCGTCTTATCGTTTTGATTTTCCGCTCACCGTTTCGCTGCCCGTCCAGGTGACGGATCTCTACATGGCGAGCAGCTTCATGGCGGAGGCGGTGAACGGGCCGACGACGCAGGACGGCCTGCCTCCGTTCAGCTGGGACAAGTTCAGCAGCGTCAGCCACAAGGGCCTGCCGCGGTACTACAACTTCACGTTTGTCAAGATGGTGCCTGCTCTCTTCGGGCCATGAGCTGCGTGTGCGTGTGTGTGTGTGTGTGTGTGTGTGTGTGTGTGTGTCAGTGCGTGCGTGCGTGCGTGTGTGTGTGCCTGTGTGTGTGTGTGTTGAGAGACAAAGATCCGCCCTGATGATTTTTTTGTGAGACGAATCCTCAGAGCTGCAGGTACAATCTGTTGCTGATTTCTGACAAAACTTCCCTCTGCTTGACCAGAGGTCGTTAAACTTCAAAAGAAGATTCTCTCGCACTTTTACACTCAGGTTGAATTGAATGATTCCTTGAATGTGTTTCCCTTAGTGCCTTGAACACTGATAGCAACTTTATTGATTTAATAAAAGTGCCAAATCAATGCCCTCTTACTTTTTAAACACTTAAATCCCCTCATGCATGCAAAACACTATCTGAATAATCGATCAAACTGTGCAATAGGTGCTGATTTTTTCTCTGTTGACGTGATTTATTCACTGTAAGTCTTGTGCTATGCCAAAGAAGCAACATCTCAGGTTTGTGTTTTTCTCCCAGCCTGATTGTTTTGCTGCTAAATGTGTCGTTAAGACTTAATGCTTTTTAATAAACTTTTACATTTTTACCACGTTGTCTTGTTTTGGTGTTTGACTAAACGTCTACCATCCATCCATTCTTTGTTTTTACCTTCCTGTCCTTTCTGGGTCACCAGGCTGTGTGTGTGTGTGTGTGTGTGTGTGTGTGTGTGTGTGTGTGTGTGTGTGTGTGTGTGTGTGTGTGTGTGTGTGTGTGTGTGTGTGTGTGTGTGTGTGTGTGTGTGTGCGTGTGTGTGTGTCTCTTTGTTACCACAGCAACAAAGACACACACACACACACACACACACCCATGCAAGAAGAAAAATTTGAGAAATTAATAAATCTTACAGTGTTCACAAAAGTTTCGCAAGTCTTAATTGAAACAAACTGATTTAGATTTTTTTTAACATTGTTATAATTTTTTTACCTCATTTTGTTGTTTTCTATTTATGTTATTTTCATTTTGATCTTGAAATCAAAATTTCCTCATAACTTTATATTTTGGTTCATCTGATGATGTAATTTTCAAATATTAGATGGTCATAATTTATGTTATTTGTTGTTTCTGTTGTTTTGTTTATGTATTTTGGATACTTAAAATGTCTCCCAATACCATTGGAATCGATGTTTGAGAATGTGTTCTTATGCCATTTCACCATTTCCATTATATTTTTTTTTGAAAATGATCTCAAAACAATGATATAATCGTTTATGGCAATAACATCTGGAACAATTTATCAAGCAGCATCGTGACAGATCTAAACGATTTATTTACCGTAATCGATAATAGATATAAATCTGCTTATTTAATGTTTTTGACAAATATGCAAATACTTTAAAAAAAAAAAAGACACCATAATCTCACTTGGCAAATGATTCCAATGACTGGTTGCGAACGACAAGGCGGCGGTATGATTAAAATTAGTCAATTAACTGTAATTAACCTTAAATATATGAACAAAAAACACATTGACCTCAGTTCACACTTTAGTGGCTAACTCACAGGGGAAACGTGCGTGTATATTTAACAACATGCTGTCTCTCTGCCCTCCAGGGACAGAAAGTGATTCACTCTGTCCCTTCAAACGGGGGAACTGAAACCCCGTGCATCCTGCAGTCATTTATCTCACCCTAACCTTAACCCTTCCGTCATTTTTCCCGATTTCGCCGGAGGAGAGAGCAGCAGCTCTCCGCAGCCATGACAGCCAAGAACTGCCCGAAGGGGAAGACGTGGGACCATCTCCTCAGGACCTGCGTCGAGATGAGCGCGACACAGACCCGCAAGCTTCAAGCCCCGACAGGTGAGAGACTCCAGACCCCGACTGAGCTCACCTGCCTTGCTCTTGACGGTGGGGGAGAGTTGAATCCAGCGTTTTCTCCTCAGAGCCCGTCCTGGACCCCCTCACCATCAAAGCCAGCTCCGCCAAGTCGACCGGTCCGCCGCACGCGCTGCTTCCGGCTCAGATTCTGTGGGTCTGCGTGATTTTGGTGACGATGGGCGCCATCTTGGCTCTGGCCATTTGGTTCGTCGTCTTCAGACGGCAGAACAAAGCCCGCAAATCCCACGGTGAGCTCAAACGTTACGTATTTCACTTTGTTCACAGACAATTGTTGATTTTACACAATGAACTGAAAAATAGTAATAAAAAATACGTGGAAGTAAATTCTACAAAGAAATGGCGTCTGCCAACAAAGTTGTCAACAGAAGAATGTTTTCGATGAAATGCACATATTCTTACTGTACTGAGATCTTCTATAAAAGACATTTTAGAAGGCACCATAGTTTGTTTTTTTAATGATTTTGTCAGTGAGGCGGGGAGAGGGGCCCTCTGAGAGTCCTCTGGAGGAAACAAGATGGCAGCAGGCAGGTGATGAAGTGTGACGCTCATCACAGAAGAAACTCCTCCGTTTCTATTCTGTCCTCCTCAGGCGTCTCTTGGGTCGTCTTTGCTGCATTACCCTCTATTCTGGTTTCAACATCTGTTGATGGGGCAGGGCAAGTGGAAACTGCCTCCTGCCCCCCTGTTTCATCACACCCTGGAACAAAACAAAATCTTAGCAAGTATCACTCTGGTTTCTAGAGCAAATGTTCTGCACTCAAAATGAGACCAAACTAACTTATAAGCAACGTTGAGTAAATTCTCCTCAGGTGTGTGTGTGTGTGTGTGTGTGTGTGTGTGTGTGTGGTGGTGGAGGGGGCGTGTGCGTGCGCATGCGTGCGTGCGTGTGTGCGTGCGTGTGTGTGTGTGTGTGTGTGTGTGTGTGTGTGTGTGTGTGTGTGTGTGAGTGAGTGTATGTGTTGCCCTCCAGTGAACTGGCTACCTGTCCAGTTGACATCTGGAGGGAAAACTATATAAATGTTTTTTTTTTTTTTTTTTATTAATATGTGAGCATTTAATTTTTGGTGAAAATGAAACTGGAACAACTACTGCTATTGATTTGTCCAACTTATGAAGTTGTTAAATAAAATAACTCCTGTAGTCTTTCTATACATTTATAATAAAGTTATATAATAGATTAATGTTATAGAATTACTTTGCCATGTTTTTTTTAACCTTAAATGAAATAATTACCTTAATATTTATTTTTGATCATATTCAATAAATTTGAATATTACTTTAAAAAGAGCTGCGCAGTTGGCAGCACTGTTGCCTTGCAGCAATAAGATCCTGGGTTCGATTCCCGGCCCGGGGAATCGAACCCGGGCCAGGTACCCACCATGCACATGTTCTCCCTGTGCATGGTGGGTTCTCTCCAGGTCCTCCAGCTTCCTCCCACAGTCCAAAAACATGACTGTTAGGCTAATTGATACAGTAACTACATTTAATTTAGTAACTTTTTTGTAAAAATACATAATTTTAGGAGTGTCTTTACTATTAGCCTGTTTTAAGTCAATAACTTTATTTTGCTGACAAAGGTATTGTATTATTATATCGTGGAAATAATGTCTCATTATAAGTCAAATAATCCACCAGTGGAACTAGTAAGTTTTTAATCAATATGAAGGAATTATTGCTTTAAAACAAGCTCCTTTATCTTGCTGAAAAGCTACTTTTAATTGGTTTCGTCTTATTTAAAGTTTGCTGAGACATTTGCAGTAGAAAGTAGACCAAAAATACTTCAGTGTAGCGCAAAGAGCAAAGTCAAGAGAGACCATCCATCACACAGAAAGTCCGTTGAAATCTGCATGTTCTTGCTGACGAAAGCAGCAGGCAGCATCTCCCATGTGAGCAGCTGCAGCAGCTGCAGCAGCCCTCAGAGGTCCGAACCCGCCACCAAGGTTTTGTGCTCTGTGTTATAAATATGGCAATATGATCGCGGGCTTAATTCAATAATCTGGAAACAACTTAAAAGTGGGCAGAGGAGGCTCCAGTCACGACAGTTTCGTTTTGTTCCCGCTGAATAGGGTTTTCTTTTTGTTCCTCTGCACACGGGGAAAGCAGGAATGCAGATAAACGCATTACCTCGTTTAGCTGCTGTGAAAACGCGACATTGTTCAGACCACTGGCCGAGGCGAGGGAGTGTTTATAGTAATTTATTGAAAGTTAAAAGTCTTGATCTCCAATAAAAATCTGAAATATTTCGTTTGCAATTTTTATTTAAACCTCTTCTTTTTATTTAAACACAGAGTACAGATGAGAGTCCAGCATCGGTTGTATTCATTCATCCTATTTGTATACGTCACTGTCTAATACAGTTTAAAAGCAGAAAAGTACTGCAGAACCTGGTCATTGAATATGTTAACAGATTATCATTCAGAGTGGGATTATGCTCCTCTTGCTATGATACAAGGTTCATATCAGATCTCAGTGTGTACATCTGGATATTTTGTTTTTAGAAAATTACAGCCGGTTTTTGTGTTTGTTCTTTTTGAATGTTCATATATCCTGTATCTGTCTGTTATTTTTGTGTTAATGAAAAAAACTACAAACTTAGAATAACATGGCCGCCCACATAGCCTTGACAGGCCATACCAGGACATGCACAAACTTCACAAGAGGTTGAGTAGTACGAGGCAAAGCTATGAAGTAAACGAGAGACAAAACTGTACAAATACTCCTCATTTATTTTTATCTAGGTGTTGCAGAGGATTCGGTCCAGGAGGTTCTGAAGAAAACAGAACCAGCAGTCGAGTTTCATTCGCCCCCATCGGAGAGAAACCTTCAGGGAGCCGCAGATGGCTCCTGTCGCCCGACGCGCCAGCCGAACCCAAAATGTGAGGACGACTTCAGCGTTTGCAGGGAGCGCGGCGTCAACGACCACAGAGTCCCACTTCCTGCCACCGAGCTGGGCGGCACCGTGCTAGTCACGGCCAAAACCGTGTAGAGTTGTGAGGTGAATCTGTCTTTGTCTACTTATGATGTTTTATAGATCAACATAAAGTTGTTTTTCATTCCTGGACAAAAACCAAGAACTCCAGGATGCTGTTTAGTTTTCCCCAATTAATCGAAGACTGAAATTGTATCATTCATGTTTAATTAATTGTTATTATTCATAAATCTGTAGAGTTTTTGGAGATAATCTGAATTACCTATCAATTTCCATATCTCTACTAGGGTTGTAAAATGTCTTTCTATGTCTCAAAACTGCAGCAGTTTGTACAGAAAATGCAAGTTTAAAAAAAATTTGAACATAAAACACAAAATACTTAAAATGTTTTGTTCCACACTGAAAATCTTTATTTAATAAAACACAAAAATCATCACAAAGATATTTCAGCTGTTTTGAAAACAAGGTGGCATCCGTGTGCCAAGACAGAAAAAATGGACGTGAGTTCACTTGGCGAAAGCTGGCGGCAGCTTCAACCATAAAAGCCCCCCGGTCGCCATCTTTGTAGTATTCAAGAGAAATTTGTTAGCTTTATGCTATCTTGCAGAGAGTGAGTGTTTTTTATAATAACATCATTTAGTTCCAGTCAGACATTTACATATCCTCCTCATGGAGGCCATTTTGATTTTGGCCGTTCACTGATGCCTCCAAAGGTGCTTTGGATCCATCATCAGTGATTTGGAAAGAAATAGATGCATCCATTTATTTTTGTGTTTGTGTGTAAATTTTCTTAAAACCACACACTGACAAAAACTATAAATACAGGTTCAAATGTGCATAGATGCCTGCTGATATTTGAATAAATGTCCTTTAACATACTTTTCATTGCCATCAGTTATGTAGAGTAAAAAGTGCCATTTTACAATAAATTACTTTGCCATAATTATTTAAATGTGTGTTGAACATGTCCAACACAGTGAAATTGTTGATTTCAGTCATAAACTTGGAAAAAAAAAACATTAAATATTGTAGTTGTCTCTATATTTAAAAAAATATTTGGGTATTTATTTTGTGTTTCAAAGCAGTTAATGACATAAGTTATTTAGTTTTTGTAATTTGGCACTCTTCACCTCTTCATAACCAGCGAACTCCTAACATAAATCTGTCTGAATATTTCACCATTATTTTTTGGATAGTGTTCATGTAAACTAGTTGTGGAACAAAGGAAACCAGCATGAACCATCTGGAGTGACTTTGACGTCACTTCTATTGAAAATCTGTGGACTTTGCTTAAAAACTGAGACGGAGCCAAAAAAACCCCAACAAACAATTATTTTAAATATAATCTGGAGGTCAAAGATCTAGCCAGAATTATTCCAGAAGCTTGCAAAAACTGGGGGGCGTTCATGCTGAGTTTAATGTCTGTCTGGATCTTCGACTTCTCCAAGTGTAGCTACTAAGTTAGCAAGAGAATGTAGATCCACTGTCGTTTGCAGCAGATAAAGTTTATTTACATGGTAAATAATTTGTCATACTTTGCGATAAACCCTGCAGACAACAAAAAGTAAGAACACTTTAAAAGTGAACAAAGACACTTTCCCCTCGTCTTTCGTCTCTTTTTCTTGGAGAAAAATGTCTGTAGTTTCAGATTACACGAAGCTCAAGCTAAAAATCTAGATAATAATTATGTTATGAATCGAGTGCAAAGTATTGGCTCAGAAGAAAAAAACGAAGACTGCAAAATTTTGTACCAATCAGTTTGGCAGATGCATTCTGTGGAGTGAAATATATCCCTGTGCTTGAAGTAATCGCCACGAGAAGCTGCTGCTCTCTCAACGGTGAAGGACTGTGACCTGGGCAGAGAGCCCATGATGTCACCGTTGACCCACCTGCTGCATCTGCACCGTCTCACTGACTCAGCAGAACGGTCCCAACAGATGTTTAGTCCCAAACACTGGGCTCAACAAAGTCTTTCCTGTAAATCTCCTCTGCGCTTCGTCACAGGAACGTGCTGGGATTGTCGGTGACGGCCAGGTGGAAGTACTCCGGCGGGCTGTCCTTCCTCAGGCTGCCGGTGGCGTCTTTCCAGCGGACTCTGGTGGACAAGGTCTTCCTCTTTTCGAAGCTGTCTCTTCCGGCTCGGTGCTTCTCCAGGCTGGACACGATCATGTCCGCCAGGTCCTGCTGGAGCCTCTGGAAGTTTTCCCTGAGACAAACACGGATGGATTATTACGGTTCATGATCCTCGTACTCAACATATCTGAATGTTTGGCGTAAACGTAGAGGCTTGACTCACGCCGTCGGTGGTGTGGGCAGGTTGTAGGTTCTTCCTTTTACACCTGTTAGCCAGTAGGTCATTTCCTTCCCTTTTCCCTGAGAGTCAGGAAAACACAGACGAGCTTACATGCAACGTTTGTACATGTGTGGACGCAAGGTAGTCAAATTATCTCACCTTCAGGTACGTCTCTCCTCTTTTTTCAAACTCAAACTGACAGTCTGTCCTCCCCAGGATGTTGATTGTGGACTGGCTCGCATGAATCCTCAGAGCTGGAAGAGAAAGTGGAAATCGCTTGTCAGATGTCGAGATCTGTTTCTTTCCAACAGTCTTTTTCCGGATTAGTGGATGTTCCCTTACGCAGGCCCGTGGACTCCATCCGAGACGCCGTGTTCACCGTGTCTCCAAAGAGACAGTAGCGAGGCATCTTGTTTCCCACGACGCCGGCCGCACACGGACCTGGACGTAGATCAGGGATGAGCAACATGGACTTAAAGTTTATCACAATATCTGGGGGAACTTTTTTAGGTGACCAGAGGCCGTGACTGCATGGTGCAGCACTCGCAGCCCAACAAACAGATGATGCTCTTGAGAAACATTCCTATTTGTAAAACATCTCTTTAGGACACAAAAAATAGTTTTTTCAAACGCATTGATATTTGTTGGTGCTTTTGTGAGTAATCAGAAATATTTGGTACCTGAATGCACTCCAATACGAATCCACAGAGGAATCCCCGGCAGGTGCTGCAACTCAAAAGTCCCAACAAACGACAGGAGGTCGAGGGCCATGTGGGCGATGTCCACCGCATGTCTGTCGCCGTTTCGCTTGGGTAACCCTGACGCAACCATATAGGCGTCTCCTATCGTCTCCACCTGGAGGCAAAGGGAAAAAATAACTAAAACAACAGCTAGAAAAACAAAATCAGGCTTTTTTACTAGTTTAATTTTGACCGTATCGCTCCACAAATGTGGGATTAATAAATAACCGAGCAGATGCAGCAGATACCCTAGAATGGGACAGCTGCCTGCGCCGTAACACTGAGCTACCTTGTAGACGTCATGGTGATCCAGGATGCTGTCAAAGTTCTTGTAGATCTCGTTCAGCATGTCCACCACCTCCATGGGGGTGCTGTAGTGGCAGAGGGAGGTGAAGCCCACGATGTCACTGAAATAGATGGTGACCTCCTCAAACAGCTCGGGCTCCACTCTTCCTGTCTCCTTTAGCGAGCGCACCACAGGCCTAGGCAAACGCAGGGAGGGGAACGCATCATTTTCAGTTTATATGTGAAGATTTGTAACATGTAGACACTTTGTGTGTCCATGTCATCGGTCAATAAAGACAGTCAGTTGTAATACTGTAGATATATTTAGTTTTTAGGAGTGAATATAGCGACTTTATGTTGTCTCCAGGCGTCATAAAACAAAGGTTGCTGAAATCATTTTGTACAGCTATGGATCTCCTTTGCTTTCACTCATCTGTTCCGGGGTTGTTCAGTAAATGGCCGTACCCAGGCAGCAGCATGAAGTTGAGGCGATCCGCTCTGTCCCGCTCGGCTTTGTACAGAGCCGTCCTCTCCTCCACCAAACACTCCAGAGTCCTGGAGTACATCTGCAGGCGGCGGATCAGGTTGTCCATGTACGTCTCAGTGGCCTGGTTGTGTAAGTTACTGTGGAAATAAAAGCAAAAAATTAAAAAACTGGCCTTAAAACGTCACCTTCAGCCATATTTGATGTCGACGTACCTGAAAATCTTTCGCAGCGATAACTCTATCCTCTTGAAGTCCGGCCTTCGCTCAGGGTCTTCGTCCCAGCAGCTCTTTATCAGCATGTAGAGCTGCGTTCACAAGCACACGGGAGGCAGAACAACGGCTCGTTTATTCAGCTGGAACTGATAAAGACGGTCTATTTTTATAACGTTCACCGTGCATGGCAAGATTTTGGACACTCCTTGAACTTTTTACTCTTTGTCACGTTGCAATCACAAGCCTCTTTATGGATTTCGCTGGGATTTTATAAGATAGACAGACCAACTATTTTGAAGTGGAATGGTTTATGTTGCTTTGATAGCTCTAAATAAAATCTAATCTGGAACTAAATGTCTTCAAAGGTCACTTAACTAGTCAGTGAAGTCTCACTAGTATAAATAGTTGTTCTTTAAAGACTACCCTCGGATGGGGAGATCTTTAATCAGATTTATTCAACAACAATCATTATTTGAATTTGAAAAAATAAACTTTGTAGCTATCCATTGATTTGTTTTGGTCTTTATCATGAAATCCAAATAATGTGAGATCATTTTAAAAAGTTTAAGGTGTATTCGTAATGTTTCCATGCTATGGATAGTCCCTGTTTTGTGATAACAGCTTGTTAATGTGATATTTACCTCGATTTCTCTGTCTGATACGCCTTCAAAGTAAAGGTCCGGTCTGAAGAAGCCGTTTCCTCTGGGATGCTGAACCCTGTGCAGCTTTTCTGAGAGATTGCAGAAGAGCAACGTCAAAACTAATAGGAGCTTGATCACACACACAAAACAAGCTGATTTAAATCTTTTAACTAAAATAGACAAGCAGAGAGTCTTTGCAGCGACGTGCCTGCAGTGTTAAAGCAGGAGCGGGTGTAGAACGGCGTCTGCCTCAGAACGATCTCGTGTGCGATGATGCCGTAGCTGTAGACGTCGCCTTTCTGCGACACGCCGTCTTTGCGCAGATGCTCCGGAGCCGTCCACAGATCTGAAAGGGAGCGACGGAGAGAGGCTGAGTGTCCAGAAATCTCAGGTCCAGGATGAAGGACCAGAAGGCGACAGTCACCTCTGCCTGGCATCAGGATGGTGTGGCAGCCAAAGTCTGTGATCTTGACAACCATGCGGTTGTCGACCACGCAGTTGGTGGACTTGAGGCGACCGTGGACTGGAATGCTACTCGAGTGCAGGTACGACATGCCCTGTAAGGAAGGGGGTGGAAAAGATCACATTTGATGTTTTGCAGAACTTTGCAGCAAGCATTAACAAACTTTTGTTCACATTTTGCTGCCTGAGGAGCCACAAACCTCGTTGCTTTAGCTGGATTTTATGCAACAAACCAACATGAAGCAGTGTGAAATTATAAAGTGGAATGAAAGAGTTTACAAGGTTTATTCCCTCAAAATAAAACCTGGAAGATGCATTTTATTCTGTCCTCTTAACTCTGACACCCCTAAATGAAGCCCAGAGAAACCAATTTCTTCAAAAGTCACCTAATTAGAAAATCCACCTGTGAGTAATTGAGTCATGATTTCAACAATACTAAAACTGACAGCGCAGATGACCTTTAATGCAACTTTCCTACGAGTAAACATGGTGTTGGCAGTATCATGCTGTGGGCAGGCTTTTCATCAGAGTTGATCCACAGGAAGCTGGATGAAGCTGCTTCTCCACTTCGTGTTTTAAATCAAATTCCAATGAGAAACATTGAAGTTTGTGGTTGAAATGAGACAAAATGTAAAAAAAACCCAGTTTTTAGCATTTCCTCCGAGATGTCACGTTGTGTTAATATTCGTCAAATATTTTATGATAAATTTACGCTGGAAACGGTTGAAGGTGCTGCGTCATCAAGTACGCGACAAAAATGCTCATTTGTTGACATCCGAAACGAATATTTTCAACGTGACACCAGATAAGATCAATAATGATAATATCAATACCTTGGCGATGTCGTACATGACGGATATTTTAAACTCCATGTCCATGAAGGTCTCATCTGGGTAGGATATCCTGTCGCTCAGGATGTACTGCAAGAGGGAAAAATAATATTAACAAGAGTAGAGAGAATACTTTTTTTTTTGGCTCTTATCACTCAGCTCACAGCCTCTGGTAGGTGAATGGAAAAAAGTGATACACTTAATAGACCTGTGTGTGTGTAAACCTCAGATAGTGTGTATTCACACACACACCATTAGCGATGAGGACACAGAGTGTCATAAATCATAAAGAAGGCAATAAGGTAATTAGGGGCGGCGTGGAAATAAGGCCACTGAGTAACAGGATGTGTGTCAGGTTCCAGGAAGTGAGATCAGAGCAACGGGGACAGAAATGGCTGCCGCTGCAGATTTTAGGCAACATCAAAAGTAGGATAAACTTTTAATTCCTGAGTGGCTCAAACATGAACAGTAGCGGCTACATTTAATGACGCTGTGGTGGAAAAATTACAATAAGGTCACGTCTGCTTGTCGTAAAGTTACATGTTTTTTATTATTTCTTCTATGGTCCCACCAAGATAAAGCTGTTTGGGTTACATGTACAAGGTTGGAAGTTGTTTCTCACAGCTGCATGGGAACCAGAGCGTTTATTTTTTACTGTACAGCATAATCTCACATTAGGACATTTTTGAAAAAGAAAAACGGATTTAAAAAAAAACAATTTTTAAGTTCTATATATTTTGTGATTAAAAAAATAAATCTTTTTTTTTATTAACAAAATGTTTCCCTAGTCTTTTAAAAATATATAAATATCATTTTGCACATTTCCTTCAGTCTCAGCAAGCTACTTTTAATAACTTTGCAGTTTTATTTTTGTTGTGTTGCAAATTATCCGTCAGGTGTTAAACTCGCGGCTCGGGGGCCAAATCGGGCTCGCCGTACGTGTTCATGTGGCCGTCTGGACTCTAAACTCACATAACCAGAACTTTAAGATAACAGTTGTGAGCTTAAATGCTATTCTATCAGTCAAAACACATCAGATTTAATTTGTGTACTGACAAATTACATCAATGTAAAAAAAAGTTGTATTATCTTCTTTAGTTCTTTTTTTTATGTTTAATCTTGTGTGAATCTGCCAGCTTTAATTTGCCGGTCAGTTTGCACAGACAATAAGGGACATTATTATTATCTTCTATTATTCCAAAATTATATTAGATTCAAGAATCAATAGCAGCTGTTAATACTTTGCACTATCACCTTTTACCTTCAGGGCGCTTTGTGATTAAAAGCAACTATTTCTTATTATGCCCTTTAATTTCTCACTCAAATTAAAGGGCAGACTTATCTGAATCACTGTGAGAATATGTCACTACAATAGCAAACAAAAGATTAATTTCAAAGCGTTCTACACATTTTTTCCATCGTTTTATGAACCTAAAATCCGTCTTTCTTCCATCCAGTTTTGCTGAGCACACCGAATGACACTGATTGTATTTTCAAAATACAATTAAGGAATTTATAGAGTGATTAAACACAGAAGAAGGTGGGAAATGAAAGTGAAGCCAGAGACATGATGGGCTCTGATCTTACCCTGAGGGATCCCCGCTGGCAGAGCTCAAACACCCCGAAGACGCCGTACTCGAACTTCACTGTGCCGTAAAACTTGGCCAGGTTGTAGTAATCGATCCGCAGCAGCTGCAGCGCAAACACACATAATGTCAGATTATGTAGCGTAGACGTACATCTGTACTGTGTGTTTTAGTAAATAAAACTCAAAGGATCTCACAGTGTTGAGCTCAATTTTCTGCTCCTCTGTGAAATCTCCTTCTGCATGCTTCAGCTCTTTCAGGATCACGGGCTGGGAAGGACGTTCAACAAACATGCATCACTGTTCGTTTACAATCCGGTTGTGGATTTTCGGAAGCGGGAATAAAATTACCTTCTTGTCGTAGCAGCCTCGCTGTCTGAAGTATGTGCTGTCCTTCCTCTTGTCGTCGTCGATCTGTTCCAAAAACAACAACCACGGATTTTTAAATCAATAGATTATTATGAAAGGACTCCCAGTCATTAATTTAATAGATGCTCCACAAGCCGGAAAGAAAAACAAGCCACATAAACCAATGTTTACCCATTCAAGTCAATTGGATTAGGGTCTGAACTTTGACTGGACCATTCTAACTCATGGAGGTTATTCGAACAATTCTACAGAACACTGAAAAAGAGTGTATATAAAGTTCAGTGAATTTGTTATGAGTAATTGAATTAAATCTGTCCAAGTGAACATATTTAGTTTAGCTAGTTTTTGTGTTAAGCAAATGTAAATAAATTAAGTTTGACAAACTTAATTTGGTTAGGTGGAACAGATTAACTAAATTTTTTCTTTAACATGGATCACTACAGAAAAATGATTTTACTAATGCAAATGGACAGATGGACGGACAGACGGCTACATCAATAGGTAGTCTTCATGTTCCCAAAGAAATCTACTATAAATGTATCATTTTCAATTATGTAAATATTGTTTTAGATAAGAGACAGTGTTTTAATATGCAAAAATAAATAAAATAAAATAAAATAAAAATGTTTGGGCCACATACACATAATACACACTAAATGCTCTTACACATCTTACACAATAATGATTATTATTGTTGGTGTAACAATAAAATATTATTATTTTGTTATTTGTTGTAAAATAATCGCTGATCTCTTCCCATTCTTCGCCTTTAGCAGATGATAAGATATCAAACTTGTTCTGGTTTACTGTAAATTTTTATTTTCAAATAGTTGAGATAATGCGACACGCTTAACTATCACTCTGCATTTCAAGATCCAAATGATTCTTTTTTGACTTTGTTTCTCCTGCAAGGCTAAAGTCGGTGGCCGTAATAACGCCGACGTGATGTAAGCTAATAACAAATGATGCTAACGGTAGCAGGCATGTAACAGCAATGCAGCAGGAAAGATGAAGCATCTAGTATATGTGGAGGGGGGGGGGCTAATGAAATTCTGCCTAGGGCCGCGGAAAAGTCTGGACCGGCCGTGTTGGACCCAATAAAGTTTCGTTACGTTTCTATTCACTTGGCTTTGTTTCATTTGGTACCAGCTTAACGGTTCAGTTTGCTGCTGGTCGACGGTCCTGACCTTCAGAGAGACTTCCTTCTCATCAAGAGGACCAATCAGGTGCGGACTGATGTGTGACCACTTCTTCTGCATCAGACGCTCCTTCCTGTTCTGCCTGGCGGCGTCCACAGACAGACAGTGGGGTCAGTCACAAAATATCTTCTCTTTTTTTCCAGTTTATCTCTGCAGTCACTCACGAAAGGAGAGCAGGGGGCCGTTTGCATTTACAGACGTGAAAGGTTTCCAGCGTTTACCTGTAGAAGATGAGAGCGATGGCGGTCACTACGACAACGCTGACGCCCAAAACGATCACGATCACGCCCTGTGTACCCAAGTCTGAAGAAAAAAACACACGTTAGCGAAACAAAATGTGGATCTTTAACAGCTGTTGAAATAATCCTGTAGTGCGACATCATATCATCCAGGTTTTTATGTCTCTGTTAAACGACACTGTGAGAAATAATTTACAACTTCTCTTGATGTGATGTGACGCTGCAAAAAATCCAAAATCTCACCAAGCATGTTTGTCCAGCTTCTAGAGCAAATATCTTAGAACACGTGGAATCGGACGACACTAAGATCCAAGTAAATTTCATTTAGAGGATTAGAAAAACGTCTTGCTATCAGTAAACCCGACGTTTCTCGTCAATATAAAGGATGTGACTTAAAACAAGCTCCAGCGTCGAGACAAAATGTCATTTGTCTTATTTCGAATGGGCTCAGATATTTGCTCTAGAAACATTAACGCTCGTTACCTTCTGGATTTTCAGGTTCATCATCGGGAAGTTGGCCTCTCCAGACAAGAGCCGGGTTCGGGTGCTTTTCAATGGTTCTGTTTTGCGACGAATCAAACACGAGCAGAGTTTCATACTGTGGGAGCAGAGAAAATGAAATCAAAACACATGCTGCTGTTGCTCTGGCTGCGCCGGCTGGTACACTGACTGTGAGCTCACCTTCCCGGTTTTCACTGACGTGTAAATAAAGGAGAAGTTCACGTCTCTGTCTCCGTGCTCATCGAGCACAACTTGTCCTCCAAGGCCTGGAGGACAACACACACGTCATTAAACTGCAGTAAATACAGCACACCTCTGAACAGTTTGAAAAAGGTCTCTGCAATGGCCTAGTCAAAGTCGGCATTTAAATCTGCTACAGGAAGCTTTGGATGCTCTGAATGAAAATGAATATTAAGTCACAGGGTTTAAAAAAAGGCTTTTTTTCAAACACTTGATCTCAATTGTCGCCAGCGTTTGGTTTAGAGGGTGATCACCGTTTCCCAGTTTGGTTCGTTCAGCTTTTGTCTTTAAGACAAATTAAACCCTTCGTCCGACACCAACATTTGTTTGACGATCTGAAACGTTCACGTGGAAAAAATCACGGAATTTGTCAGAAATGTCTAAAATATTCTTAGACGGTTTATTGCCTGACTGGTAAAAGCAACTTATTTCACGACTGCAGAAGCTTTTTGAGGAGAATAAAGAGATTTAAATGTGCCTCACGATTGTTGGCTCACAATCTCATGTGAAAAAGTAGAGCGATGAACTTCAGTATGGATCATAAACTGGAACAGATTAAGTCAATGATGTTTTTGTAAAGGGTCAAAGGTCAGATTACACTTTCATTCATAAGCCACGCCCACTTTACAAGTCACTGCCTCAGGAAAAAACTCTGGGTGAATGAATGGATTGATTCATTGATTGATTCATTGATTAATGAATGGCCACAAAATTCAATCCAAAATCTCATCAGATTGCAATCATAAACAGTTTGGAATAACTTTTATCATTATTAGAATAATCAATAGTGTTTTATATACATGTACAGGTCAAATGGAGCCTGAACTCTCATTTATTGAACCGTTCAAAGACTCAATAAATTTATGGCTTTAATTGTGCGAGTCACAGTGTCTAAGCTGATCTCAGTATTCGTTCCACTTCTGACTCTCTATCCCACCTATTACAGCCTCTGAGGTAAAAGATTTGCACTAAAGTCGACCATAAAGTCCTTTGTCATTCACCCTCTAAAAGACTGAGATCCAGATAGTTATTGGTATTTAATTTGTTGCCTGGTTATCAATAGTTTCTTCAGTCAGCTGTGTTTAGTTTAGAGTTAGTATTCTGTTGTCCTGAAATTTCTTCTTATACGTCTGACGTCCCGCCACGCTGACAGTGCGCCTCACCCTCCATAGTCACGTTTGCAAACGGGTTGTCGTTGACGTCTTCAGAGCTCTTGCCGAGCTTTTCTCTCAGCAACCAATCTCTCAGCACTTGTCCAAAGAGCAGAGCTCCGTCATAATATCCAGCCACGTAGTCATTTATCTGCCCGTTGTAAAAAAAGACAAAAAGAAATCAAACAATATCTTCAAACAGGTTCCACTGTCCGGTCTTCGTTGGACGTTGGCTCACCAAATCGTTGTGCGACGAGTTGGAGTCGTAGCTGTAGTTCCTCTGCGGCAGAGTGACGACCAGGACGTCTTGCATCCAACCGTGGGCCGTTTTGTTGACGTAATATTCGGGGCTGGATTGAGAGGAAATGTCTTACTTTTTTTAATTGTGCAGAGAGTGAAACTGAGAGTGGACTTACTTGTAAAGATCAAGAAGAATGAACAAGGTGTCTGGGTGAATCTGGTCCACATCGTCCTTTATTAAAGAAATTTCTTCAGGGCCGCCACACAAAATAATAACTGGAAGAAAAGAGAATGTTTTTTTCTTTCAGTGTGAGTCAAAAAGTCTAAAAACACTCGCCAGGAGCACGGCGGCCATATTGAGTTTGGGCCTTCATGAAAGCATTGGAGCGAAAAAAACCCCAGAGCAAACCTTGATGTTGACGTTAACCTGCTGCATCCAACATGGATGGCAACACATTTTAAAATAGATACATAACTTTATAACATGCCATCAACAAATGCGTCCAGAAATAAGAGCTTTCCCTAATTTATTTGATCGTACTGTGTGACGAAAATCGATATTTGGTTCTGATATTTGGTTCTGTATTGATCGAACTGTCTGAGATCTTTGCACCAGCACTTCTTGAGTTTTTGTTGTGGTCTTTGGTGATTGTTCACCATCTGCTTATTCACCTGCCTGACAAGAACAACGCAGCAAATTCACTCTAAAATAAAATAAAACAAAATAAAATAAAAGTCACTCACAAAATCCGCAAGAAAATGGTTCAGCTCAGAAGGATCAGGCAAAAAAACACTCTAAAATTTCAAAAAATTTCCTTTTTTTAAAAATTGTTCTTAACTTTTTCTGTTTCGTGATAGATTAATAGTGTTAAAAAAAAACAAAGCAATAATAATAATGATAATAAACTCACTGTTGCTGTGGCGATTCGAGGTCTTCATGATCCTCTGCAGGTCCTTCTTTTCCCGCACCATCACCCTGTGCGTTTGCGACGCAAACCTCGCAGACGGCGCCTCCAGCGCGTTGATGTACCTTTTCGGAAAAGCAGAGGAAAAAAAAAAAAACAAGACGACGTCTTCGGTTATCCGAGGACAGGAGTGCAAGTGAAGTCGAACTTCCCAGCGGCTCACCAGAAGCAGTCTTCGGTTGCATTGTTCACTTGCTTCTTGTACACGTAGAACTTATCCCACTCGGGCTTAAAGCCCAGCTCCTCGGTCTTGAAGTTCAGGAACAGGTCCATGATTTTTCGAGCCGGCGGCAAGGTGCGCGTCAGTTTGGGCTTGTGGTCGCAGGAGAGGCCGAAGCTGCCAGCAGAGATGATGGGGATGCTCAGGGTCAAGCCGATCTCCTCGCTGCGAAGGAGGTGCGAGAGTTAAGCCGGACCGAGAAGACGCGCCTGGTTCGAGAAAACTTTCAGCTGCACTTACTCCACTAACTGGAAGGTGGCGAAAGTACATGAAGGTCCCAGCATGACGCATCCGACTTCGTTGTTGCGCTGCAACACATCATCACAGCACAAGATGATTGGATATTGATCACAAATGGGTTTGAAAGTTTGTCGATCACTGGATGATTCACTCCCTAAAAGAAAACCGTTTCACTGCAAAGACTCTGAATGTTACCAGACATTTTTGTTTTAGTTCCTAGTAGATATCTTAGTGAACTTGAAGTAAGACAAAACTAAATAACAAATAACTTTTTATATTAAGTCAACAATTACTTCATGTTTAGCTGTTCTTACACAAAGTAGTGCAGAGCAGAGAAGTGACCCCTGGTTTTTCACACTTTTTACTGATAATTACCAGAACAAGTTCAGCCCCCAACTCTCTGATGCTCCTAAATAAAATCCAGTGAAACCAATTGCATTTAAAGAGAAAAGGCTTTTTTAAAACGCAGAAAACTGTGTGCCGTATTGTTTGTCATTTATCGCGATAAATTCCAGTTAATGTGTAAAACAAGAAACACTGATTTCTGCACTGTTTGTTCAATCGAGGAAGATAAATGAAGCTGATGATGTGATTAAATGCTGTTGTGTGCAGCTCAGTGACAGAAAATGACACTTCTTCATGCGACAGGCGTCCCGATGAGGCGCATCACAAATGGGATTGCTTTTAAGAGCAGCATTTATGTTTATGGGATGTGATCGCTGTGCCAAAAAAACAAACAAAAACTTCTTATTGTTATCAAAAAAATATTGTGATAAAGCCTTTAAGTCCACATCGCCCAACCCTGGTATCACATTTCTGACTTTCTCTCCCTGTGCTGACCTTTCACAATAAAATACAAAGGTGATTTGTCCGAGATGTGCAAAGATCCTAAAGATTTACTGATATTTTTGGACTCTTTGCATCTCCATAGGCTGCATGCAAATCGCAACAGACAGGCAGGTTGAAGTTTGCCACAAAAAATAGAGACGTTACATGAATTATTATTTTCTAAAAGGTTTCTGATAAACATGACCCGTATCTTCATTTACACATGAAAAAGACCCAGTTTTATATTAACATTGCAGGTCTTTTTGTTGCATTGTGATCACTACAAAAAACCAAAAAGGTCAAATAAAGACGGAGACGTGGAGTTCGTCTTTGTTGTCTTTACGTCTTTATTTCTGGTGGTTTCAAATAACCAACAGGAAAACCCAACAAATTAAAACTCCAAATCTGAAATGGGCTCATGACATAACACAGCGGCGTTTCTCTGCTTCACTCTGAAACATCCAGATTTCACTGTGAACCTCACGTGAAGCGGTGAAGGAGAAACAGGTTTTATTGGCCTGCTGCGCCATGAGGCTGCGCCATATATATGCGGCTGCGCCAGGTCGCTGATCTTTGACTGTGCGCCGCGGGCGCCACGGCACCGTGTTTTTTTTTTGTTGTTGTTGTTTTTTTTGTTTTTTTTTGCTCTGGCAGCGGCGGCAGATATACAGCCAAAGGCCAATCCGGCTGTCATAAAATCAAAACGCAAAAGGGGAACTCGTAGCTCGGATCCTGTCACTGGTGATGGTCCCCAAATGAAACACGAGCATCAGCGGTCCGACGGTTCCGCCTCACGGTCTTGGGGAACCCTGACCAGTCCACCGCGTTAAACAAAACAAAACAAAAAGTTAATTTCCTCTGAACACGTTTGACCAAACTTACGTCCAGCGTCTTGAGGATTGAGACTCCTTCGCAGGTGCTGCTGCCGCAGCCCTGCCTGTTGTACACGGTGGTGTTGAACCCGTTGTAGGTCGCCGTCAAAACGAGGTCCAGGCCTTGAGTCATGGAAAACAGATAAGAGGCATTAATATTGCATTTCTTTTATTGATCTCCCTGGGTTATTAAAGATTAGATTAGACCGACTTTTACCACCCAGCAATTAGCTTTCTGTCTGCGATTCCTCTCTGAAAGTATGCCACCGATCAGTCGTTATCGACAGTCAAAGAAGCGCTGGACATTATGAGAAATCTGCTTGATGAACCGCTGACTCAGGCCGTTACAGCAGGACGGCGAGGAAACCAGGACACCAGCTACTGACTCTCCGAAATCTATTATCAGAGTTCACACTGGTTGTAGCTTTTTCATGGAACATATTAGTTCCATCCCGTCTCTGCATGTTGGAGCATTTGAGTTCACCAGGAGATGCAATAAATGCTATTAAAGGTTGACCTATTAAGGGCTATAGAGCCACCATATTGCATGTTATGCAATTACGCGGCAGTAAAATAGAATTTACCCCAACGCTACTCCAACGTTGCAGCAATAATCCAAAAATAGAATGGATCTAATCTCGTGCTGCACTGTGCAGAGGCTCTGTCTGCGCTAATGAAGGTTCTCTTGTTGTAGCCAAATCAGAATGCCTGAGCAGCATGAGATATATTTATGGGATAATTAATATTTGCACCCAGCCTCACTGATAAATGAAATGAAGCGCTGACGAAAGCAACTCGCTCTGTGCTGACGCAGCAGGACACCGCGAGCTGAGACTTGAACTATACAAAATGGGCAACATAATGAGCAAGAGAATCAACAAAATGTGCTTAATGGCTTCGAGTTAAACCCCCATAAAGCCTGATCTTAGATACGCTTGCATATACTAGAAGATAAGAAACACCATCAGCAGCTTTGATCTGGGCTTCGATATGATGAATAATCGTTAACCTGAAAATTAATACGACGACGACAGTAATGTGTGGCACGGCTGTCAAAACGCTATTAAAACCAAGAGGTTCGACCAATAAGTGCCACATTTGTTTGTTCTGAGCGGGCCAATGCGTTTAATCGCTGAATTCTGGGAAAAGTTTCAGGAACTCTGCTACCCTGAACAGAATTAATCGGTGAACAAATACATGGATATGTGAGCTGAAGGATGTGTTTCCCAGCCTGCAACGCTTCCCCTTTTGGTACCATCATGCCAACTCGTCATGACTCATGAGGACATACAGCTGAACAGATGCGATTAATCGCTTTGAAAACACAAACAAATAGAGACAAACGTTAATCGACTCCAAATTTTACAAAGTAATTGAGTCCGGGTGGAAAAATTAAACCGATCCCTTTATTTTAATCTGAATGCTCTCGTCCTAATCATTTTAAAATGTACTTATTGTGTCAATTATCAGATAATCTTCAATAAATAAAAAATACTTGGAGGAAATTATATAAAATACTTTTGTTTTAAAAAAACATTTTCTTTCTTTTATTCAGTATATTTTACACAAATAAAAAAAATAAAGCAACCAGCTTTCATGTTTTTGATGGACATGTGTAAGTTAAATCTTGTTGAAATATTATTTATTATAAATGACGAAAATTTAGAAAGAAATAAAAAGATTTCCTAGCAGAAAAAGCGTGAACATTAAAATAGGTTTTTAAATGTTTGCTGATCTTTTGAGGGAAGGTGAATCTCTCCAATTCAACTAAATGCAAAAAAATAATAAAAAAAAAACACCAATTCATGATCAGCTATTTTGACTGTCAGGTTTAACAGTTTGCAGCTCATCTCACATGGCTAATTCTTGTTTGTCAAATAATTAACAAACATATGTCACCATTCTTGGTTTCGCCAGCTACTGGGAACCAGTCGGTTCGGGGTTTTCTGTACCATTGTCGATGTTTTTCTGCCTGTCCTGCTCGATGGCTCGCTCCACGGCCCCCTGCACGAAGGTCCGGCTCCACTCGTAGTTGTTGTCCTCCAGAAGGACGACGTTCATCTTGTACTTGCGTTTTGATGCCAAGCAGTCCTCCAGCATTTTGTGGCCAGACACCAGCGCGCCCAGTGCGCCCAGGTACAGGAAACAGTCCCAGCTGCCGCGCATTATCGATCAAGGGAGAGTTTCCTCAGGTCCTCACCGCTCCGGGGCTCTTCCAGCTTTCGGGTGTCACAATAAATAAAGAAATAAATAGATAAACACGAGCCGGTTCGGGTGGAACTGGAGGCCTTTCCGCGCGTCGGAGCCGAGCCTCTCCGCTGGCGGCGAAGATCCGAAAGCAGAAGTAAGAAGGTGACGAAGCAGAAGTTCTCCTGATTTACAATCCGGCATCAAGATAAGAGAAGAAAACGAGATTTTCTTTAAGATGTCGCTTCCCCCCCTAACCTACTGACCCCTAAACTTTTTCGGAGAACAAACGAATAATACCAAGATTGTGGAGCTAAAGTGTCTCCCGCCTGTGCGCCTTGTAGCTGGAGTCTAAGATCCGCTCCGCTCCGTGTTGATGGAGGCGAGTCTGTCTGTCTTCTGTCGGTTAATGAACAACCACAGAGCGACAATCAGTGCACGGCCGAGAGGGAGGGCAGAGTGGGAAAAACTCCCACACTCCATCCACACAAACATCCCACATTAAGAGAAATCGCAGGCCTAAAAGAAAATCGATGTTCGAATTGCGACTCGTCGATTTTACGTGGTTTGAAGTATTAATGCGGGAATCCTCTGCAGGAAAACCAGCGGACAATGAAAGAAAAGCAAACCAGAATGTTGTGAACATGTGCGTGGCCTGTTTGCTTTCTGACCCAACGCCCCCTGTTCATTCTTCAAGAAGCAGAGGAAGCCTTTTATGGTGGTGAAGGGGCAAAGGTCACCGGAGGCCCATAAAGCCAAGCAGATAAATATTGTTGGCTATAAAAGCGAGGTGGATTTAGACAATAAAAACCTGCTCGTAAACCATCGTCACCAACAGGCCGTCCTTACCCAATCGGACGCACAAATCAAATTAGCTGCTGGCATCGCTGAAGGCCACCGGCTTTACCGCTCAGAGCGTCGCAATGTTGTGTGCGGAAACAGCTTGAGGTCTTTGTGTTCGGAAGCATCGTTTGCGTGTTTGTTTCCTCTTCCCCGATCACGCTCGGGTTTTGTGTGGCAGCACTACGGCCGTAACTGAGGAGGCTGTAATCTAACAGCTCTGAGTTTCTGTCGTTTAATGAATGCCGTCCTCTTTAAGACGATGAGGTGATTTTCAAAATGCTTCAGTTTCGCCTAATTCCACTGTGTTTCTGTTATATGTCAAGTGTTATATAAATGTAGAACCTCATGTGACACCAAGCATTTGATACATCAGCACTGAATTTCACCAGGTGGTTGGAGTGGCTCCAACTGATGGCAGCCTGACCTATTTTTTGAGCATTTCATTAATGAATCGTGTGGAGTTACTCTTTCCCTGTTCAAAGCACTGAGCTTGAAACAGATGGAAGACAGTGACAACATAGCAAAGTGAAATGCACATTTTATGATCTTTTAATCGCAACATGAAGTTGTACAAAACTACAGAACTACTTCGCAATAAATTTGAAAATAGACCCGTCTGTTTTCTATGCAGACGTATAAAACTTGCGGACATCAAGGCCTTTAGAGAACCTCGATGGACGTGTTACAAGTTCTGAGTAGTTTGAGAGAATCGATCTATGAATTGAGTGTTCATGTTCGTTTGCATAATAAAAGTCTAACAAAGGCCTTAGTGTTTTAGCAGGAAGACTTTCAAGTTTGAAACGCACAATTTAGTGTGAGGGAGCAGAGAAAGAGGAAAAAAGTTCCCCAGAGGGCTCTGCAGAGGCGGTTCTAGATATATTCACATCGGGTTTGGGTTGGGGACAGTTTTGTTTTTTTTCATGAGTGCAGAAGAAATTATTACTATAAGCAAAAAGTCCAACACTTTACTTTTTAATTCATTGTTAAAGTAAAACTGCAAGGGTAGGTGGACATTATTATTATTATTTCAGTCTGCCATGCTGTTGCTAATTTTAAAAAGTTCATGTCTCGTTTTTCCTCCTTCCATAAAGCAAATCATCCACTAATACAGTCCACATGATCCAGGCTGTGCAATCGTGTCACTAAACCAATAAAACCAACAAACACATTTAGGCTCCTGCTCCATACTTCCTGCACATCACACTCCATCCTGTCCGGTTGCCACCTCGTTGACATCTCGAGCGAACACGGAACGACCATTTAGCACCTTTACATTTCCACATGAAGAGGCTTTCCAGCCACTTCAACCTGGCAAAGGAAGCGACAGCGTGTCTCTGTGTCTCCTGGGTTGTTAAACAGCAGATGGTCGGCGGCAATTTGTGGCGTTCCCGTCGGAACGACGCAACCAGCCAGGAGTGCTTTCCATCACGCATTTATTACATTCATTCATCTCACAGCAACAGAGTGATTTCCATCTGTGTTTGAGGAACGCCACTAAAAGCAAAAAAAGTGAATAAATACAAGATGAATCCTTTAAAACATCAGCGCGTTGCAAAAACAGTACAAACCAACAGTGTTAATATAAAGATTGAGTAAATGCATAAATTGCATTTACTCAATCTAAATGTGTTTTCTAGATAATCTATTGACAGTGTAAACTAAAAGCTGAAAAAAGCAGAACATTCAAATTCAGTACATAATCACGACCAATCACTGAATTTATGTTGACAGCACTTTTTTGCTAATAATTAGTCATTTTGACTTCATGGAAACAAATATGGAGGTTATCTCAAGTTTTAAAGTTAACAGGAATCACGTCTTCTTCCTCAATGAAATATGTTTCTTTTTAAGAACCTACATTTAAAAGTTTCTTCAAAGAACCCTGGTCTGGATTTCATCATTCAGTTTTTTATTTCTGGCATATTTTTGGGACATCAGAGTTGAATCAAGAGTCACTCATAAGGAAATCTTTGGGAACCACTGCTTTAGCTTTAACTATTTGATGGTTATTAAAGCCAAAACAGAAACTTTTGTCATTGTATGTGATAACTTTAATCACAGTGTGTAGAAATGACAATGTCATCTGCATACCCTACAATTTCAACATCTTCGCACGCTTGCAGGAGGCAATTAGGGCTCAAATTGATGACCGGGAGCCTTGGCACAGCATCTCCACTGTATAGCATGGCGATAGCAACAAGTTGCTGTGTGGATGTTTTATTACCAGCAACGGGAAAGTTGGTCAAAGTTATGGGAAGATGGATGAATCAATGTCTGGTTCACATTAAGCTGTTGCTTGCTGCATGTATGAGGGATTGCTGCAAAGCTAACAACTCAAGTGACTGCTCAGTGCTGCTACGTCCTCGTTCAGCTACAACTTAGTCATTCGATGCCACCTGCTGGGTTTCCTTGGATAAACTTTTTATCTAGTTTAATAAGATGAACTTCACTGCTCTGTTTGGTGCAATGAGGAACAATTTAGAAAGTGTTTGACTTTTTTCTTCTGGGTTTGCTTATTAATTAGGAAATTAAAATGCATTAAATGGACTTGGCTACGAAGAACAAATTATTCTTTGGGAGTGGGAAGACTGGATAATTTTCAGAGAAAAAAATATCGAAAATCTCAGGACTGGAAGACTGAAATCTATCAGAGAACTCAGTTTGTTTTGATGCCATGAAAAGAAAAGAACCTGAATAATCAGTGCACAGAATTAATTTTGATATTGCCTACATAAAGCAGACTTTTGTCCTGTTTAACCTTTGGGTTTATGACTAGAGAGGAAAAGAAGAAGCATGAAAAACTTTTAATTTCACATTTAAAACACCAGGGGTCAGTGTAGAAGCACAAACAGCTTAGCTCTGTATAAACTCAAATTGATTATTAGATTATTTTTGAAGTTTCTAAACACAGACATATTTTTTTGCAGTACTCAAGCTGCACTTGTCAAAACAACATCCACAGAAAAGAAGAAAGCAGCAGCGATCGTTTGGATTTCTGTCTAAGGCTTGAGTGAGACACTAAGAGGGAAGCATATTGAAAAAAAAAAACATAATTCTTGCTCTTTTTCTAGGCTTTGTGCGACACGCTGACAACATGAAACAGGCTAAAATACCTCAAAAGGCAACACATGAAACCCCGAGACTGAGGAAATTCAAGAACAGATGAAAACGGCATGACTATCAGTTTGTAAAGGTTAAAAGGTCATTGTGAAACTCTAGCAAAATACACACAGGATCTTTATGCACAAAACATGGAATCTCTCATGAAACAAAATTTAACATTTCCTCACTTGCCTCAGTTAATGTCAGTGTTCATGAGTCAAGAGTAAGAAAAGAAAAAGAGAGTTTTTCTGTTCTTGCGACTGAAATGAACATAAACTCCAAAGCCCAGGTTGAGATGTGTCCAAAAATCTCTGGGTGATCCACAACAGCTTTTGGAAAGATAAACCTGAAGTTACATTTTTGAACATCTATTAACAAACTAAAGCCTTTGAGAAGAGAAAATATTTACATTGTAAGTATATAATTCTTGCTTTACATTTTGCATTTAAAATGCAAAAAAATAATAATATAACATAACACATCATAATATAATATAATATAATATAATATAATATAATATAATATAATATAATATAATATAATATAATATAATATAATATAATATCCTTTCTCCTTTGTTGTTTACTATCTCACTTGAACTCATCTTTACAGGTGAAAGGTCAGCCGCCTGTTGCCCCGCCCACGTTCTACGTCACCGCCTGACTTGAATGGGCTCCGCTGTCTTAGGGCGCAGCGGAGGAAACAGGCACGTACCGCACGCCTCGCTGTCACACCGAGCCGTACGGACTCGAACCAGAACCGACGGACCGGGACGCGGCTTCCAGCTCGGACAGGAGGACGAACATCTCCTTTAAACCCCCAGCTGGAGTCTGTTTGTTCAGGGAGCCTCTTGGACACCAGGATGTAGTTTAGCAGCCCGAAGCTCCCGCTTTTCAACCTGCAGAAGAAAACAGCGAGGAAATGGAGACTTTAAGCGGCTTTTCCTCCCAGCGAAACACCCTGTGTCTGTTTGACGTGGACGGCACGCTGACCCCACCGAGAGAGGTAAGCCCACATCCCTCCGACCAGCAGGAGCAGCAGCAGCAGCTCAGTCCTCCTCTGCATCCTTTGCCTCCCACTCTGAGGAGAACACACTGTGTCCTCATCATGCAGCCTGGAGACATTTTTAATTCTGTCTCCTCATAAACCGGAGCCAACACAAAAATGCAAATATCGTCACTTCATGCGACTCTTTGTTTGTTTGAATGCATGTGTGCAGATTCAGTAAAGTGCTGGTTGTTGTGCTGTGGCTGACCTGGAGTCTGTTGCCTCATGTCTGCACAGTTCACACGTCACAGCATGAAACCAGCCTTTACAGTCATGTTATCACACTGTAATGACTTTAATGACTAAGATGTTCCTCCCAGCAGTGTACACGCCGAGACACGCGCGTTATCAGACGACAGGTGTATAAAAACACTCAAAGTTGTCTTGTGATCTGCAGAAAATCGACCCGAAGCTGGACGAGTTCCTCCAGACTCTGAGGAGGAAGGTGAAGATCGGCATCGTGGGAGGGTCCGACTACCCGAAGATAGCCGAGCAGCTCGGGGAAGGAGACGACGGTGAGCAGGCCGGCATCCTGCCTTAACCACATTTTGTTCTTGCAGGTTTCTTTGTAAGGCTTGGAGTCGGTCTGCAGAGACAAGACTGAGAACGGTGAAGGAAAATGACCCGAAACCCAGAGAAACTGAGACAAATCAATTAGAGCAGATTAAAAAAATGTTTTTTGCCATTTATTTACAAAATACTGTTATTTATGCTGCTTGTCATTAAAGATTTGAACATCTTGTGTCATAAGTTCTGCAGGCAAACGAGCTACAGTTACCAGGACTGTAATGTTTTTTGTGGAAATGTGTCAACATTATATAACATTATTATTGAACGTAGTTGCATCCAGACATTAGACATTAATTACCTCATAATAACTGATATTGCACAGTAATTATAGTCTAAAGTCCAAAAAGAGCAAACAAGATTCTCAAAGTATTTCACGTGGAGGACAGATTGCAGAATTTATGACTCCAGCCTCTTCTGATAATAGTAATAATAATAATAATACATTTGATTTGAGTGAAAGCACTCAAGCTCATCGAACAAGAAATGGAGACAACAAAAACGGTGAAACTATGAAAGGCGTTTGTCAATATATCAGCACACAATTAAAGAAAGGAACAACATGAAGCAGAATAAGCAAGAAGTCATTTTAACCAGCCACGTATCATTTGAGCTGTCTGACGGCTTTCTAACAGCTTGAGGTCAGAAAGCTGGAACCGCTCGGTGTTCCTGTTTTCGATGCCGAGCAACTTTTCCACTCCCCAGCTTGTCCGATTCATGAGCTTCCATTCTGAAATGCAACGCAACAGCCGCACCTCAGAGTCGCATGCCACTCAGTTCTGGCCCCACATGCTTCGGTTTGGCTCACTTTCCCAACTCGTGACTCCTCGAATGACTCTTGTTTCCAAAGCACACCGTCACGCCGAGCAGGGAACACGTAGCTGCACCGGACAGCTGATAGCTTGTCTATCTGTAAATATTAGCCGACAGCTGGAATGCAGATGCATTGTGCCGAGTGGGAACACAATGCGGCTCCACGTCCAAGTGTGTTAAAGGTGAAGCTGCTCTTGGCGCTCGGTTGCAGCTGATGTCCTCTCTACCCACAAAAAAAGACCAAGGTGGTGCATTTGGGTGCATATTTGAAACGCTAAAAGCTAAGACAACCAATGCGAGGCTTCGTCTGCTCTACACGTTTGAGTGTTTTGGGTGTCCAGATGTTGTTTATGCACAATCACCTGCAGAGAGTCGTGTGTATGTAGTGCAAACAGTGAGGTGGTTTGATGTTTTGCAGGCTCTACCTGGAAACAGGTTGTCTTAGCGGCTGCGTGTTTTGGTCTGAAGCTAGAAAATCTTATATTTTTTGGGTGTTATTGTTACATCTTCTTGGCTGTTTGACTTTTCAACGCAGAGAAGATGGAAGTTTGCTGACAAGTGTAGCAAACTTTCCACATAACATGAGCTCTTTCCTCTTTGCTTCACTCTGTGCCTGACTGTTTTTCAGTTCAGGTTTTTAATCTCGAAATATTTAGCAAATTTTGCACTCTGTGCCAGTAGTACACCACTGCATATATCCTCAGGAAGAACTACAGTCTTTAAGTAGTTCTGAAATATTTTATACTGTTTCTATTCTTATCTACACTGTTAAAAGTTTTTATTAGATATATTTTTACCTTGCTACTTGGAGCCTAAATGAATTAATAACTGTCTTAAACTGTTTTCCAACAGCGTTTGCAGGAATCTTCTATCTGATTTCAGGGTTTTTTTTTAGTTTATATGGATTAAATCGGTTCCTAAAGTAAACCAAACCGTTGATAACTCAGACTAAAGGAAGAAGAGAGATATGACTGATCAAAACTCTTCCAGCCTTTTTTTTTAATGGGGTATAATCAGCAACTAGTCTAACAACAGCGTCGAATCCTACTTTGTTTTCCTATTCTTGCTATTCTCAATTAAAAAATCGATCGCATTTAGCCTCGTTTTGTGTGTTGTCTCCCTTTCAGTGATTCACAAGTTTGACTACGTGTTTGCTGAAAACGGGACGGTTCAATATAAAGACGGGAAACTCCTCTCGAAGCACGTAAGTGACTTCATATTTTCTGTGAGAACAAAGCCTGAAATCCCCAGTTTATAATGCTGGAAAGAAATTTCCTTTAGTAATAATGGTAATCTCCATTTAGCGCGATTGCACTGAAGCCAGTTTAAATGTGTTTTTTTTTGCTCCTGCAGGCGATCCAGAACCATCTGGGAGAGGAGCTGCTGCAGGATCTGATTAACTTCTGCCTGCGGTACATGGGGCTCATTAAGCTGCCAAAGAAAAGGTTCGTCACGCAAATCTTTCTGAAAACGATCACCGGGTTTCTTCAATTCAAATGGACGGGTTTATTCCTTTGCACTTCTCTAACAGAAGAGTGAGAGCCAGATTTCTGTCTCTCTCTCTAAGACGTGACCTCGTTAAATTAAAAGCATCCAATCACGCTCCTTTTCTTCCCGCAGGGGAACGTTTATTGAGTTCAGGAACGGGATGATTAACATTTCGCCCATCGGTCGCAGCTGCACCCAGGAGGAGAGGATCGAATTTTCCGAAATAGACAAGGTAAATACCGTTCGCCTGGAAAAGACAGAAAGTTGCTAAATCGACACGACAAGAGAATGATTCGATCTGAAGGCCGACAGGATGGGGCGAAGCAAACTCTCTTGTCTGTCTCCCTCTCTAAGGCGTGACCTCGTTGGACAGGAAACAAAGGTCAAACGTTGACCTGTTGACACAGTCTAGCAGATTGAACGCTGTCGGTTGACAGTCTGGCTAAATAAATGAAGTAAACATCAGCAGAGGAGAAGTTTAGCCGTTCCTCTGTAATCTTCCTCTATTTTCAGAAAGAGAAAGTGAAGCTGCATTGAAATCAGTTTGACATGTTTTTGATGTGTATTTCAGCTATTGGGAAAAAAAAAAAAAACTAGAGGAACAACATTAAAGCAGGCAGATTATTAAACTTCACTTCTCTTCCATCAATGTTCGTGAAATATTAAGCTCGTATATCGTGCTGTAAAGTCAGTGTAGGTTAGTTGTCTTTTATTTCAAGTACACCGGGTTATATTAGGTCGTTTCAGAAGTTTTTTAAGTGGCATCAGAGTAAAGGGGGTTTATAACAAAAAACAAGCCACTGTCCCTGTCTGTATTGTTTTAGGTCTTCAGAAGCTAAACCCCGTTTGCTTCTCGTTTCTCAGAGGGAGAAGATCCGGGAGAAATTTGTTGCTGCCCTGAAAAAGGAGTTTGCCGGAAAGGGGCTTCGCTTCACCAAAGGTGAGAGAGTCCAACGTGGCGAATCCTGTCCCCGTCGCCTCGGGTCTGTCCCTGCGCCCGCGCAGGAAGGGCAAACAGAGCGGCACCGTGAGCAGATGGAACATCTTGTTTCTGGCGACGCTCTCAGGAAGAAAAACAACAACCTGTTTACGACGGTTCGGCTCTGCGCCAAACCACTTTTACAGCGTTTCCGTCTGCTTGTTGCTCCTTATCTGTTGATAAAAGACAACTGAACCCCAACCACCCTCCCTCCGCCGGCCCACCTTTGGCTCATGCTGAACCTTTGTGCTGGTTAACTATTACACACTCGCTGTTCCTTCTCGCTCTGTTGACGACACACCGCAGCAGAAGGTGCTGGGTGTTTGTTTACGTGCCTTGCCGCGCCGCTGACGACGCGTTAGGCCCGTTCGGTTTCCTCGAAAGCCCGTCTGCTGAATGTCGGGGCTTTCGTGGTCGCCGTGGAAAAACGCCACAGCCCAAACCTTTACGACATTGACTCTCAAACGCGGTGAAAACGCCTTGGCGGGTCCGGAAGGTTTATTTGTTTGCTTTTTCCTAAAGTTTCTCTACGCCCTCATCAGCTGATATAACTCGACGCAGCCCAGTCAGTGTGTCCAGGTATCAGCTTCCTCCTCTGGAAGGATTCTGCATTAAATGATTCAGGTCGGCCAACAACCTGGGCTTTTAGCGTTTTTAAAACGTGCAGGCTCAAAGTGAAGGTTGGGGCCGGAGCTCTGAGTTGTTGTTTATCTTCTGGGCGTGGAGGTGTTTGTGACAGACCCGGGACGAGGGCGTGTGAGAACAGAGCCTCCCAATTGGCCGGTTCCCGGAGGCAAGACGGGTTAATGGGTTAACCTGACCGCCTGCTTTGTTTTCCTCCGCGCTCGTCTCATGTGAGTTGAAGCTCAGCGGAGACGGATCGTTGCAGCTTTTTTCACTGCAGTCTGGTTTTACGTTGAGGCTTTAATTACAGGAAATGTTCTGCAGGCTTGGTGAAAACAAAATATCACAACCCAGTGGTGTTTTGTTGATTTTGTCCGATTTTCTCTCAAACAATGTAACTCTTGAAAGTATAGATCAATAGCAGTATCTATGGTGATCAACACTTGATTCATATCAATAAACAGAATATTCAAAATATGGAATAGTCAGTGAACTCCAATCCAGAACCGCATGGCATTCTGGGAGATGTAGGCACAGGAAAGGTTTTATCTGCTGCTCACACCACCAGCTCATCAAGGTTGGTGGCATCAACTAACTCCCTCACTCTTTGGTTGCCTAGCAACAACCTGTTGTGAATTGGCCTGGAGCCATTGACACGTTGCCATGGTGACGTGTCCACGCTCGTCTCGTTTCAGGTGGGCTCATCAGTTTCGATGTTTTCCCTGAGGGCTGGGACAAGCGGCTCTGCTTAGACCTGCTGGAGAACGAAGGCCTGGACGCCATCTACTTCTTTGGCAACGAAACCTCAGACGTAAGATCACGTCCTTTACCGACGTCAACACAGAACGCCGGAGTTTACAACCAGCAGGAGGGCAAAATAAAAGGAGTGATCCTCCGTCACTCTTCTGAAAACAGACCAGGTTCCTTATTAATGATGTTTAAGAGTCTACCTCCGTTTCTTCAATTGTTGCTCCAAAAGCCACCTTAACACCAATCAACCTGGTTCAGGAAGCTGCAATGCCAAAACAACTCGCAACGATTTATCACTTAGTTCTGGAAACAAGCTTGAACCAGTGAATAAAATCCCAGGAAGGTTGCTGAACTGCCAGTCTAGCGTTAGCATGTCTCCTCTCTGCTATGTGAAAACGAAACTTAAGGACCAAGCTGCTCCGCTGCCTGATGAACGTACCGTTCCGGTTTGAACGTCGTAAAATTTACGAGCGGCGTTTCAGCTGCTCTCTGCGCGCCGCTCCCAGGAAGGCTGAATATACGAGCGCAGAGCCGGTGACCTGGCACTGCAGCAGCAAAGAGTTTCGTTTTCATCAAAACACTTAAATTGACTCACCAAAGTTCATATTATTTGTTACCTTGGAAACTCACGCAGAGCTTCCTCCACGCTTCAAATTGCACGTAGCCACGGATAGCTACACCTCTGACTTTAAGTGGTTTGTTGCTCTGCTTCAGATGGGCTGAGATTTGAAGGCGGTGCTCGGTCCCTGCGGGCGTTTTGTACAGCTGAACTGCTGCCATGAAGATTAAAGGATTTCTCATGCAGGCATATGCAGGCGATGTGTTCATAAGAAGCTAATTTTACATGACGCTGCCCCTTTAAGAATAACCAAAACCTTTCGAGAGCCGTGTAAACAAACAGCTTCTCTTTGGTTTTCACTGTGATGGTTTGCTGGGGGGTGAAAAGCTCAGACTCAGAGAATAAAGCCTTCATTTGTTCTTGGATGTTTGACCTGGTTGCTGGTTTTAGTCATGATGTGACGCGTTTATGACGCCGCTGCTCCTGTCTCCAGGGAGGAAACGACTACGAAATCTTCAACGACCCGCGGACGATCGGCTTCACCGTCTACTCGCCAGAGCACACTGCCCGGCTCTGCCGCGAACTTTTCTTCGACCCGTCGCCGCGCCGCATCGCCATCCCTCCAGCCAAAAGCCCCTCCGAACTGGACGGCAGCAGGAGTATCGAGCGCAGGCTTTTGATGAAGTGCTGAGTGGCCCGGCTGCTGACGCCTCCTTGATAATGATGTTAGTTTCATGTATGAGTGGAAGGCAGGAGGTGGGTTTTATTTAAAGAAACAGGCAGCAGATGTTGTTGTTTAAGTACTGTGCCAAAAACTAAGTTTGACTGCTGTAACCTTGAAATGAACCATAAATGAACAGGGATATTTATCTTCCAGATCACTTTGGGTAGGAAGTGATATTTTGCACTAATAACTGCATCATGTAGTTAATGACAAACTCACCGCAGTCAGGGAGCGGGACGGAGGAGACTCAGACTGCAACAGGATTTCTGTTTTGTTTTTGGTGATTATCTTCTTCTACACTCTAGTTAAAGTGTAGGACGTACCAAAGGGACACAACATTCCAGGTGCTGTGATTTTTTAACTGGATCCGTTTTAATACGTCAGCTGTTTAACTATCTGGTGTCAAATATTTACATCAACTTCTCGAGTGTCCTGAAGGAACTATGAACTCCTTTTCAATGCACTTAAGGGAACAATCAATCAATCAATCAAATTTTTTTTGTATAGCACATTTCAGCTACAAGGCATTTCAAAGTGCTTTACATCATAAACACAAAACACAAAGGGATGCAACATAGAATAAATACCAAGTTTTTTTTTTTTTTCCCTCTGCTTTCCCTTTCTTCCCCCTTCCCTTTGACACGGAATTTAAGCGCCTGTTACCGCCGGACTCCGCCGTCCGTTTAACCACAGGTATTCGCCGGGCCCCGTTGCCCACAACAGGAAAAAAAATAAATAATAAAAAATAAAAAAATTACATACATATCCACAAAATCAAATCCATACATTTCAAATGCAACTCTAAACAGGTGCGTTTTTACTTGAGATTTGAAGGAAGTCAGGGTTTCCGCTGTTTTACAGTTTTCTGGAAGTTTGTTCCAAATTTTTGGTCCATAGATGCTGAAAGCTGCTTCTCCTCTTTTGGTTCTGGTTCTGGAGATGCAGAGCAGACCAGAACCAGAAGACCTGAAAGGTCTGGAAGGTTGATACAACAACAGCAGATCTTTGATGTATTGTGGTGCTAAACCGTTCAGTGATTTATAAACTAACAACAGTATTTTAAAATCTATTCTTTGAGCTACAGGGAGTCAGTGGAGGGACTTTAAAACTGGTGTTATGTCTCTATCTTCCTGGTTCTAGTGAGAACGCGAGCAGCAGCATTCTGGATCAGTTGCAGCTGTTTGATTGATTTGTTGGACAGGCCTGTGAAGACGCTGTTACAATAATCAATGCGACTAAAGACAAACGCATGAATGAGTTTCTCTAGATCTGGCTGAGACATTAGTCCTCTAATCCTGGAGATGTTCTTCAGGTGATAGAAGGCCGATTTTGTTACTGTCTTTATGTGGCTCTGGAGGTTCAAGTCCGAGTCCATCACTACTCCCAGGTTTCGGGCCTGATCGCTAGGTTTTAGTTGTAATAACTACTAGATGTCAGCAGATTTAAAAGGGAGGATTCTAATTTTCTTTAATCAGAGTTCACAGAATGAAGACAAGGGTACGTTTTTTTCAAACTTGTCAAACTTACATATTTTCAGGATGTTTTTCTCCTTTATTTTGCTGGCAGAACCAACCATGTAATTCAGCTTCTAACCACTAGATGTCGCCTTTTCCCTCTTTTCCCTTCGTATGTTAAGTCAATATCTTAACATATCTTTTTTTTTTTTATCGCTCAAGCAGTGAAAGGAATGAAGGCCGACCAGAAACTTTACAGCAGCTTTTAGATTCCTGATCACTTTAAAGCTGCAGTCTGTCACTTATATAAATAGAAAGTATTAAGTCAATATCTTAACATACGAAGGGAAAAGAGGGAAAAGGCGACATCTAGTGGTTAGAAGCTGAATTACATGGTTGGTCAATATCTTAATATACGAAATGAAATTTTCACATTTTTTGGAGTTGATTTGATTTTGATGTTCATCCATAGTTATTCACATTCGTCTAGACGTTAGCAAAAACGAAAATGTAGGTGCTGTCTGCAGCATGTAAGACGATTACTGCTCGTAGTCGCTCAACAGAACCCCCTCTCAACTTTCACCTTTTCAAGTACCGTCCAAAATATATTCAGCCTTTATGTATCTCAGTTGCATGCTGCATTGCAGGTTCCTGGTTTTATTTGAATCTTTTTTAACGGTTTTGAGTCGTTCATTAAGAAAGCTGAAGGTTGAAAACATTCCAGAAACATGTTTGTGTATCAGGCCAAAACTTCTGCACCGTGTCTGCACACATTTGCCTGAATAACTGAAATAGATTTGAAAAACAAAACAAAAAATCCTGGAAGACGCTAAAACTAATTTATTCTGTGACCATCTGATGACTTTTGCACAGACTGGATGTTTAGAAATGAAAGTGGGAATTCATCTCAACCAGTGAATTGAGCTTTTGAGACCAGCAAGATGCTTTCTGATTGGTTCACCTTGCTGCAGGTAAAATCTCCGTCCCATTAAAGCCTCAAAATTTCTGAGCTTGAGAACATTTTATGAAATGTATGCTCGCTTTCCGCCACTGTTTTAAGTGATTTTAACCAGATTTTGAATGTACATGCCTTGTGTTTTATGGTTTGGGGACAAACAAACACCCATACAAATAAAAACAAATCAAAATCCGACTATAAACACTCCTTCAAGCTGAAGGGCTACAGCGGACTTTAAATGCAAAGCTGACAGTCGCTTTATAACGTTTCTGTGGCAGTAACTGGAAGATATAACATGTTGGTTTCTCAACCACTTGTGGAGGCGGAAAAAACTATTTAACGTAATAAATCTCTTTTTAAAACCTTGCTGCCTTTTGGTGTTTATTTGTTGTATTTTCAGGATGTTTTCCTCCTGTGTTTCGCTGTCCAAACCAACCATGTAATTCAGCTTCTAACCACTAGATGTCGCCTTTTCCCTCTAATGACTTTTTGGAGGGTTTTCTCGTGGCTGCAGTTCATCTTCATGCTTTCTTCAACATTTAACTCTTAATTTGAGTTGTAGAGTGATCAGACTCAGAAGAAGCACACCTTCCCTTCAAATCATAAATCACACTTTAATGTTTTTTTGTTTTTTTCCAAGGCTCAGTTGAAGTGATAAAAGCACCCTTTCAGGCAACAACACGGACACACGTGACGGAGGGAAACTTGCAGTCGAAAACGAGGTGTGTTGTCCCGTTTAGCCTGAGAAGCTGCGATGTGAGGAGTTCCTTTAACAATGTGACCGAAAGGATAAGGTGACTCAGGCCTTCACATTTCCCCAAACACACAATTTTCACTCACCGGCAGTAAAAGCCACAGCCGTGACATTTCTGATGCAAAGTCGCAGGTCAAAATGCAAAGCGTGTGATAATCTGACGAAAAAATATATCGATTCACACACAAATGAAGGGATATCCACACAGGGGACGGTGAAGTAAATTCACTTTTATGGATATGTGTGCAGTGTATTTCTATTTTTATGTGGACGACGTGGCTCTCTGCCCTCGGGGTCATTCCATCCGGGGGCAGCCCAGGTACTCAAAAACATAAACAAAAACATAAAAGTATCGTTGACATTTCTGCTGCTGAGTGGTTTTCTGTTGTCCATACATTTACATTGTGAAATGTAAAAGAAAAACGTTGCACTGACTCGCAGATTCCTATTCTGCACTCAACTAAAGGACAATTACAACATGTTTTGACAACTTGTTCAGAATCTAAAACGTTTCGACAGCTCAACCTGGAGCTGGATTAGCCTTCACTGATCTGGGATTCCTTGAGAATTTTTAAACTTTTACTTTATTTTCAAAAAGGCCTTTTCTTTTCTTCTCCTCAAAAAATATAGCTAAAAATGTCTTCCCCTTGTAACATCTTCTTTTGTTTCCTGTCCTATACCCAATTTCAGATTCATGTGTATAAAGGAATCACTACTGACTTGGAAATGTTTCTTTTCACTGTTGATAAAAAGGCAGTAGTTTGTCTGCTCAAGGTCAAATGAACCCTTCCTGCGTCTGTCACATGATACTTTGTGGGGGGTTTTTTTAATAATGATGTGAAACCAGTAAGCAGACATGAGAGGAGAAGTAAGAAGTCCTCACGGCTTCCCTGGCTTTCCCCTGACTAACCCGTCTTACTCCTGAACGTCGCCTCCTTTTGCATCAGCTGTTGTCTGAGTTTCATACAATCCACCTTTAAATTTGCACGTTTGACGTGGCGACAGCGCAGACTGGGTGGGATGAGTCCCACGGCAAAACCCTCGCAGCAAACATGTGACCCTGGAAACTTTGATGCAGTACAGCTGCAAAGAGGGGAAGTAAAACTGAAAACACACCGTGTCCTCACACACACGCACACACACACACGTGCGCGCTGCAGTCCTCGCTACAGACATGATTAATGTTGTTCCCAGTATCTTTTTTTTTTTTTTACACCAACTGTGAACAAACTAACACAAACAAAAAAAAAGCCCCTCCTCCCACTTGTTCATTTTTGGTCCCCGCTTCAATTTAAACATAAATAACACAAAGAGGATTTGTTGCAGTAGCTTAACCAGAACCTATCAGTACCTGCCTGCAACAGTAACGATTTCATATCAGCTCCGACTGACACAGAGCAGAGTAACATATATTTCTAAAAGATGACGTTTGTTTTTTTTTTTGTTGTTGTTGTTTTAAACGAAGCAAAGAGTCCAGGAGCGCCGCCGACACGAGCCGGAGCGTCGCCGTCCTCCGGCAGCGGATCTCGGCGACTACGAGCTGATGATCTGTCCGGACCAGGTCTCGTGTTTTGTCCCCGGGTTGAGGTGGATGATCTTCACCTCCACCGCCTGCACCTTAATGTTCTTAGGGGGAACTCGGCACACCTTGTACGTGACCTCGTCTCCCTCGACGGGGACGTACTCGCCCTCGATGCTGCAACGCAGACAAACAGAAGCGGTTCCGTTTTTCTTTGAGAAAAAGAAACAAGCGGAAACGTTGCGCTTGTTTCTTTTTAAAACGAATCAAAACGGGGGATTTGAACTGGGAAGTCTGATTTACTTATTTGATTTTTTTTGTTTGTTTTAGATCCAAGTCAAGAAAATTTAATAGAAAAGCTCCTGAAGTTCACAGTTTTTAGCTGAGAGGTCAAAAGTCTCCAATTGCTGCACCTATAATTATGGGGAAAACACTTAACACTTAATTTGGACCTGTGATGTTTGTTTTTTTAAGCTCAATAAAAACCCATGGTCCCGTCTTAATGCTGCTAAATCTCTTTGCATGGGTATACACAAAATTTTACCAAGTATTTTTTTTTTTATCTAGTTTTAATGCAAGTACACTTGAAAGAAGACAAAACTAACTCCCATGTATTTTTTTTTTCCTGGCCTTAAAATAAGATGCTTCGACTCAGCACAATGAGCAACTCTGTGATTTTGGGAAAGCGAGAGGACAGAGTGCAGAGTGTGCAGAATTTGCTCTGCCTGTTCCAACATCAGACGCTCTCCTTGGCATAAAGAGAAAGGCTATTTCCAGATCCGGACGCCACAGGTGAGGCGGCACCCGCAATTTATTTAGCGCAGCGCGTCTGCTCGCCGTTTCTAACTTACTCTGAGATGTGAACGAAGATGTCTTCTCCGCCGTGCATCGGCTGGATGAAGCCGTGGCCTTGTGATCTGGAGAAGTTCTTGCAAGTGCCCTTGAAAACTGGACCTGAGTGAGCGCGGACCGTGCTGCGGACAAAAGGGTGACATTAAATCACAGAGAGAAGCACAAAATTAGTTAGGATAAGTCACTTTTTTCGGTGTTATTGAAAGAAATTCAACAACAGAGCTTCACGGCACGCAATAGAAATCACTTTCTCCCTTTACATGACAGATTAAAAGGACATTCATCTCAGGGTTTTTCCCTCCATTGTAGTATAAGCCTGGCGGCCCACCAGGCTTTACAAATGCTCCACCAGGCTTAGCATTGCTTACTTATTTACTTTTTTTTTTTAATGCTTACATTTTTTAAGACTTTATAGTTGGTTTCCAGAAATTAATCTTCCAAACTTCCAGCAACACATAATTATCAAGTGATATTTTCACATTTCCTGTCAACTTTGAACATTTTTTTGACTGAAAACCACAACAGATCACTGGATGAGTGACTGCTCAGCGCCCAACCACCGGGCTTAGCAAGTTTTCTAGGGGAAACCTTGTATCTGCCTTTGTAATGCAACTGTTACAATGTTACACAACGTATTCCTGAAGTATTCACACGTTTTTCCATTTTTCACTACTCAAGCATGAATGTCAGTGTTTTTTAAAAGCCTTTTAATGTGAAAGGCAGGCCCAGAATCAGTTTTGGTGGCCTATCCAGTGAGGTAGGAGGTAGGTACATATAATTTATGATGCTGTTCCAACAGATTTATTTGAATGTAAAACACTTTGTAACACTTAAAAAGGTGCTATACACAAAAAGTATTACTGTAACTCCATAATTTTCAAACACTTGATTAGTGTTTACATTACAAAATATCCTGAAATAATACAACTCAGATGATTTGGGCGTTTTATATAAAGTAAAATGTTTGCTAAACACATATTCATTTAAAAAAATAGGAAAGAAAAATATGTTGGATCACCTCTTAAATTAAAAATTGTGACCTTGGTCTACTGCCCCTTTATGCCCATTCTGGTGTCGGACCCAATGCGTTTTTCTGACAACGTTGAAATCCCATCTATTCTCATTGCCAAAAATAATAATAATAATAATGGAGGGAAAGCCCTTCTAAATCAGTAAACGTTCAAAGTTTTGCTTTTCTGCACAGTAAATCAGGAAAAACAGAGTATGTGAGAAAAAAATGATTAAACTGTGACTTTTAACCAGAAGTGGAAGTTACTGGAACACTGTGCCTCAACGTAGGAAAAGAGTCGCTCATCCACAGACAGGTTGGCTCCTGCTAGGATTGTAAAATGTACGAATGCGCAGTGGAATAAAAAGTTTTTACAAAGCTTTATTTCATAGAAAATCCTCCCTGATGAATAACAAAAATGATTCACCTCCAAACCAAATGGGGCTTTTAAATAGAAGACAAAGATTGTTGCCACTTTTTCTAATGCAGTCTAGATAGCTAAAGACACGAGTAAAGCTGCAGCTAAAGCTACTTTACCTTAAGCTAACCTAGGTGAAGTAGCTTTAGCTGCAGGGAGCTGTAGCTTTTTTATTAGCTATGGTGAAGTAGCTTTAGCCATAGCTAGCTGTAGGTTAGCGTTGGTGAAGTAGCTTCAGCTATAGCTAGCTGTAGGTTAGCTTTGGTGAAGTAGTTTCAGCCATAGCTAGCTGTAGGTTAGCTTTGGTGAAGTAGCTTTAGCTATAGCTAGCCGTAGGTTAGCTTTGGTGAAGTGGCTTTAGCCATAGCTAGCTGTAGGTTAGCTGTGGTGAAGTGGCTTTAGCCATAGCTAGCTGTAGGTTAGCTATGGTGGGGTGTTATTAATAAACTCCACGACGGAGGAAAGCTTCTACTTCTCTGACGTACGCCGAGTAGGTGCGGTTCCGTTTGGTCGGCAGCGGGCTGGGCAGGTCGCGGGGAAGCGGGGGTTCCCTCCCTTCCTGCCACGCCCTGTTCCCGTCCCGCGGGAACGGGAAGGAGAGGTTAAGCGGGGCGTGGGGGGAGCGTATGGGCGTTCGGGAGGGAGACGTGATGCTGGGGTCCGCCATGTCAGACGAGATGAAGGAGGGTTGAGGAAGACGACGTGATCAACCTGGTCTGTCCTCTGTGAGTGAGACGCCCACCTCACACCGTGGGTCAGCGCCGCCGATTGAGCTCCGTCAACAACACTTACTGGAAAGACAAAACATAAGAGACATTAAGGGGATGTGGTGCAGGGCCGGTCCAAGCCTTTTTGGGGCCGAAAGCAGATTTTCATTTGGCGCCACTGTCAACATGTCAACACCAGATGTTTTATCCTTCTAAGTGTGTAACAAAACTATTATTAGTTTACCAATATATTTTATTATGGCAATTGATTTTAATCTTCCAGATGTCTGAATTTTAAAATGCAGAGGGGTATTTAATTCTGCAATGTTTCGAAAATAACATCAGCTGATAAACAGTAAATTTACAGTAAACCAATTAGCAAGTTTAACATCTTATATTTTCCAAACAGTGACAGCCAACAGCCAGAAGAGATTAACCTATTATATATAATAGGTTAATCTATGTTGACAGATTATTTCCCTTATTTTTCCCTTGTAATAAATTAATGTATCTGCCAATGGTACAAATACTTTTTCTGCAATATTAAGGAATTAAAACAAGCCACTATATATTGCTGGAAAAAAAAAAAACTATATATATATATATATATATATATAGTCTGTAAGTAAAGAGTCCTGTTTATTCAAGTAAGAAATTCTTTCATTATCAGTAAAAACCGTAAGGAAACACTTCAAGGAAGAAGAGTTGGCTTCAATAAACAACTACTGTTAGGAACAACTACTTTTGTTCCTAACAGTAGTTATAGAGACTTTGTCAGTCTTTGCTGATCATACTGTGTGTGTGTGTGTGTGTGTGTGTGTGTGTGTGTGTGTGTGTGTGTGTGTGTGTGTGTGTGTGTGTGTGTGTGTGTGTGTGTGTGTGCGTGTGTGTGCGTGTGTGTGTGTCAGCTTCACGTTGGGAACACTATCCACCTGTCTGACTGGTGGATAGAGAGAAAAAAAGTATCAGATATTCCACAAATAATCAAAAATGCACTAAAGGAATTATATATTTTTGTAGCTTAGACAACAAATATTTATCTAAAGTGAATTGTTTGTTTTCATCATTTAATTTATTTCTCCTATAGTAGATTAAAAAAACAGAGAAAAAAAAAGGATGAAGTGGGTAAATACAAAAATCTGCCTATCTTCCCCGATCGATCACCAGAACAATCAACAGAATAATCGATTACTAAAACAATATACTGCCGCGGGTCTCCACGTCACCTCGCAGCTCCTCCAAACGCCGCTTGTGACTCGCCTTATGACGCATCGCTTCACCCCGTCATGAGTCTGGAGGACGAGCAGCTGACGCGTTGCGCTCATTTTTACGTCCACCCCGCTTTCTGTCCTCCTGCGATGACGCCGGCAGGCGGCGTGACGTCAGAGCAGCTGCAGAGTGGGGCGTTCGTGACGTCAGAGACCCGTTTCCATATGACAGGCTGCATATGTCTCACTGCCCCTGCAGGACTGCATCACGAGGATCGCGACCACGATATATGTATGTATATACATATATAAACTCTTGCGATACAAATACAGTAACCGAAATGAATCGCTTAAATGTTTTTTTTTAAATCGAAAAAATAAAATATTGTCCTTGTCTTCGGTAAAATTCTTGACATGTGGGCATTTAGAAGAATAAAAAAAAAATAAAGAAAAATCTTGGAGACATTTTTTCACCAGCTGCACTCATTTGCACTTTCAGCAGACAGACTCGCCCTCACATCCCACTAGTTTCTCTGAATCGGGGTGAAAGGCAGTGAGCGGATCACCGGAGCGACAACCAGACAATAGAAAAGTCAGACAAAAGCGGGGTGAAAGGTCGCCGCTGTCCGCGTGAGGTTGATGAATAAAACAAACCCGCAGAAAAAGAATCTGTTCTCCTGTAGAACAACCATCATTGTTCCGATCTGGCGGGGGGGAAACAAAGCAACCCAGACCTTCATGCATACACACACACACCAAATAAATAAATAAACACACACACACTGAGCTACTCACGGCATGGGTGCCCGAAGACGATCCGATCGCTTCTCTCTCTCTCTCTCTGTGTGTGTTTTGGCTCGATGCGGATTATATAAGGCGCAAATTAAATAAATAAGTCGCGCAAATCCGCGCAGATCGTCCGGAAAAACCCTGGCGTGGCGCTGGAGTTGACTGCAGAGGGTCTGCGCAGCTGCAGGAGATTCCGATGGCGTGATGCGACTTGTGCGTGAAAGTGACTTTGGTCATCCACCTTCTTCCTCCTCCTCCTCCTCCTGCTCCTGACCTGCATCCGCAGAGGGATCTTTGCGGCAGTCTGAAGCGGGCTGTCACACACGAACACGGTTTTATTTATTCGGCCTGCAGCCAGCCAGCCAGCTGCTGCACGCCGAGCGGTGAGGTCACGCATTCCTGCTGGATTCCGCAGGGAAAGCGCGGAAAGTGGTTGACAACAACCTGACACGTTTCCTCGGGAAAATAAACGAGAGCGAGGAACTGTCGGGGATTTGGATCAACTTTCCCAGCTGGAGCAGCGCTGACGGGCGAGTCGGTGAACCTTGACCTGCTTTCTGAGTGGGCTGCCAGTGAACACCGTGTCCGTGTCCTTCACCAGCCTTCACTGCTGATTTCAAACGCAAGTCGTTTGAAATGTGCGGATGTGTGACGACTGAAACGTCGACCGAGTGTTTTTTTTATTCAACAAACATTGAGCAGCAGCAGTATCAACATGATGCAGCCACCACCGTGCTTTCCCCTCCATTTCGTACCATTCTTGGCATTGAACGCCTCTCCACGACTTCTCTGAACATAACTTTCTGGTTCAAATAGCTCAATTTGTGTCTCATTTGACCTAAAAATCTTCCACAAAAAACAGTATTTCTGTGTTTATCCTGTCACTTTTTTTTTAGGTTGTCTCAAAAGGGATCTCTAAACATTTCTTCCTTGTTTGCCTGGGGTTTAAATATGACGTGACACTTTTGGCTACTTGGCCAGCAGAAAACCTTCGCCGCAGTTTCTACCAGTAAGACGTGTAACAACATAAATAAATTATTATTTGGTTTGTTTTTGTTTTTATTTCAGAAATGTATGTTGTATAAATCAAATTAATATAATTTCTTGTTAATAAATACATGCAGGAGCACTCGGTCGGTATGATGGTGGCTCCGACCAGCACGGCGCTCCGCTCCTGTAACAAAACCGGCAGATTTCTGTCCACTGTCCCTGACGTCGGCGGACTGGACAGGCTGCGGCTCCCAGTCGCCCCACGTCTCCCTTTGTTCCTCCTCTAGCTGTTCCACCAGGACAGCAGACCCAGTCCTGGCTCGCAGATGGTCCCCTGGACAAAAAAAAAAAGAATTGAAAAAAATCAAAGTCAGGATGAGCGGCGTGTTCGAGCTGCAACACGTTCCCTGCAGGAATCTTCTTCTCTTAAAGCCGCAGAATGAGCTTTAGGCAGAGAACCGTTGCAATGAAGCCAAAGGGGGAAAAAAAAGGTTTAATTACCAGTAAATAGAGAAATAAAAGGTTTTTAAAAAAACTGAACAGAGGTTTATTGTGTATTAAAAGTTAAATTAAAAAGCACCTTATCCCAAAGGAGGATTAAATGATTAAATGTAGTGATTTAAATCATCCAAGCATCTTCAGTCGGTAATAGAGCCAGAGCTCATTTTTAGGGCAGTGGCGCCCCCAAGTGGGATAAATGATCAATTACTAGTCTAATGGTTGTAAGGATGATGTTTTTAAAAGCTTGACACATTATTTATGATAACCGCACATTAAAACTGTTTTTTTGTAATAATTATACTTTTGTAGATTGTCAGTGGGGTCCATCTACCAATCTGTTCGTTTAAACTTTCTTCCATTTTGTTATTACAGCCACAAACTATTTTACGGACTTTAAACTGCACTTATTTGTTGTTACTAGAAGAAATTAGCTTCCTGAAATGCTCAGGTTTATAAATTGTGGTCAGAACAATCAGATTGTTTATCCCAGTTGAACCCATTGGATATTTCAGTGAACTCCCACCTCCACCAGAGGCATCTGTGTGGAAATGCTTGTAGAGGGAACGTAACAATCCTTACAACGAGTGTGTATGGAGCCTCTTTCTTGTCCCCGCTCTCCTCCGCCGGCGGTGCAGCCGACTGTCCGGGCTGCGCCGGAGCGTCGGGCTTGGCAGCGGCCGGCCCCGTCGGCGACGTGTCCACGAAGACTTCGTCCGCCACCCGGAAGCGGATCTCCTCCCCCTGGTCCATGTAGAGGTCGTGCGCTCCCTCGTCCGTCTCGTACTCCCAGACCCAAACCTGCTCGGCCTCGTCGCTTTTTGGGGGGTGAAGCTAAGGAACGGCTCGACCCAAACGATCAAGCGAACAACATCAAAACACCAGATGTTCGTTTCAAAGGTCAGGATACAATTTGGCCGGCTGCTGGAGAGACTCGGGTGGAATGAGGATGTCATCGAAGAAACCCATCGTCACTATGAACCAGAGAGGTCGACCACATGAGTACGTTCCCGACATTCACTGTAAATACTGTACAATAAATAATTGTATATGTAGGCTTCAACGATTAACAGGATTAATCGTTACGATTGAAAGAACTGAAAAAAAGGCAATTGGTTGAAAAAACGACACAATCAGAGCAGAAATTAAGCAACAAAAAAAGGACTAATTTTATATCTAAGATGTATGTATAACAAATACTTTGTAAAAATGTTCCACCCAGAACTCAAGTGGCAGTTTTGGCTTCATCTGGTTCAAATTCTGTAAAATAAAAAGAAAAGCAAAAAAAAAAAGCACCTTTTGCTATCGGAATATTAATTTGTTAATCCAAAAATGATCAACAGATTATCCATTCACCGTACTCATGTTAACGCCAGAAAAAAGGGCTGCAGAACCTTCGCTACAAATAATCAAGCATAAATCCTGTAATTTTGTATTTTATGCAATAACATTTTTACTATAGTCGCGTCTTTAGACGTATTTCTGATATAAAAAAGGCTAAAGTTGTTAAATTAAACACCGGCAAAATATGGGAAATTACTTCACCCGATTAATCGGCAGAATAATGGATGACTAAAATACTCATCGGTTGCGGTTCACATGACATTTCATACGTCAGCTTAAGGAATTAATGCAACCGTTTTAAAATCTGCACTCAGACATTAGCTCAGTCATACGGCGACTTCTGGAACGAAAAGCTTCAGTCAGACGAGGCCTTTATGCAACAACACCAAACCGCTTCTCCTCACATGCAGACCGTCACGCACAGAAGTGGAGGGGTGATGATTTGGGCTCTACAGAATTGATATGCAAATCAGACGATAGAAGTTTGGCCAGAACTTTACGCTCGATATTCATGCATGAATAAATACCTGCTTGTGTCGACAGAATCGTGACTAACAGAGGTCAATAGTTACCATGAACTCCCTCCTGGCTGCAGTATTTGATCTTGCCGACGAGGATCTCGTCGAGGAACGGGTGGAAGACGACGAACCTGAAGTGGACTAAAATAAACAAAAATAACGTCAAATGAACGATGAGATCAGGCTGTTGTTCAATAAGTAACACTGATGTCCCAGCACTTCAATCACTTGTCCTACCTTTAGTGTGCGAGGCGCCGTCTCCAGGGAAAATATAGGAGTCTTCCAGTTTGGTGATGTCATACAGGCAGATGCAGAGACCCACATTGTAAACCACCTGGGGGTCAGAGAGCATGTGTTGTAGTTTTACTGTAAAGGAAAAAAAAAGTTTTGTACGCAGCACAGATAACCATATGATCATGTGAAATGTAGAAAGACTTGTCTTTCGTCTCCAAGCTCGACATCGAAGGACACAATTCTGTTTTCATTTGCGTCGAATAAAAATAGAGAACTTTCTCCTCCATAAGTGTGCGTCCAATTCCTTAATATTTGGTCCAATCGCCTCGGAAACTTTTGGGTATCCCTCCACGATCCTTCCACCAAAACATGTTATTTCAAAGTAACTGTCTCCTTCCTGAACAACAGGAAGGATGCATGTTGCCATGGTGCTTATAGCTGCTGGGTACCTGGAAGTTGGACTTGGCTAAAGTCCACAATCCTCTTCCGAGGATTAAACTTCAGCTCTGTTTCTCCCAAGGCAGATCCAGGATTCTTAAAAATATTCAACGTACAAAAGCCAAGAATCAGATTTCCAGATTTCTAAATCCAATTTTCTTTTAAAACACAAATCCAAAGGGTTAATCTGAACTTACTGCAAACACAAAACTGCAAAAGAGCTGAAACACTGAAGTTCCTTTAAAGCAAAGCTAAAACCTGCTCAGAGCTGCTGTCACTGCAGAAACTGATGTGTCGATGACTTTGATGATGACAAAATGTGATGCTTGTTGTTGTTTCTCAAAGTGGCGACTGCATGTTCTGCTTAAGAATTAGCATTTCTGTCACAGAAGGATGTGCGTAGAAAAGCTGGCGAGCACCTTGTTGGCCAGCTTCTTGTTCAGCTCCTCCGCTATGGCTTCGTTCAGCTGCCGGTCAAAGACCCACGGAGGGATCCGCACCGTGTCCACCATCTCCACCAGCACGAACATGACCCACGAGAGACAGCAGCCCCACTCACACGGTTCAAACGCAAAGGGAAAGGACGCTGAGGTTACGCGGACATCGTTTTAATTTCCTTTTGTTCTTCTAATAGCTTCGGCGGCTATAAACACTCTACAAACGGCTTCCTAGCATCACACCAAACCAACGTGAGCTGCTGCTTCTTCTTCTGGTTGGAGCGACAGCCTGCAAGTCTCACTATTATCTCACTATCGCCCCCTCCTGGACATATGTTACTCCTACAGCGTAAATACATTCATACATTCTTTTGAATGTATGATGACACATTCAAAACCAGTAACTCTCTTCGTGTTATTCATGATTAATACGTACTTATGCTATTAATCTTATCAGTATTGTTCAACTTTATTGTATTTTTCTGCACATATATATATTTTTTGTAAAGTGCCTTTACACGTCATTCGTTGTGAATTGGTGTTGCATACATAATGTTAATTAAATCCAACTATAAATCGAGCTGCAAAGACAAACAGTAATTCCACATCTTCTTTATTATTCATATTTGTAAATGTCACTATATTTCAACTACAAAACAGCAGATTAATATTACAAAATAATCAACTGATGACAATCGGGACTGCGAAAGCGAGTCCTTCCATATTAAAAGACGCGTTCAGAAGACATTTTGACAGTAGGAGGTTGGTCAGATTACACCCGAGTTCAACCAGGAGGTAATGCCATCGTGTGGGCCCGCCATTTTGATTAATTGTCTCACACCAAACAACAGCGAAGCCTTGTCTCGTCTCACTGTTAAAGACTAGTGTTCCACAATATTCAGAGGGTAAATAAAGCTGGGTGATAAGAGTCATATGCATTTAAAAAGAACAACTTTTCGATGACTGAACAGACTGGAAAATTAAACCTGGTAAATCATTTCAACCAGTAAAATAAATTTTATAAGAAAATGTATGATGACACATTACAAGTTAGTTATTTAAGCATTCAAGGAGTTATTTAGTCAGAATATCAATACTCACCCTCACCAAATTAGGGTTGAAACTCGAATTAAATCAGTTCCAACATTTGTCTGTTGTGAATTTACAGATTTCCCCTGAAATTTAAGCGAGGATCACCCTGATGTTCGTGCATCAAACTGCAGAAAGCAGCTCTAAGAATAAAGAAAATAAATTATGATATTAATTGAAAATCTTCAGGGACTATATTTTAAATATTTCTTCATCATCAATCATAAATGTAAAAAAAAAAGATATTTGGTTAAACATCGAGGTAACAATTCGCTGTCTCCATCAAGTCTTTTTTCAGACTTTCTACTGGCAGTGGATGAAATTCAAGAGAGAACAGGCACCCGATAAATAGATTGTGCGTTAGACAGAACAACGTTCCCATCATGGAGAACCGTGAAAGTGGAACAACATTCATTTTAAAGACTAACACAATGAACATAATCTCATCACAGCCACAGTGAGGGGAAACAGTCGGTACAGCAGCAAGCAGACGTTTCAATAAACTGAATTTTGTGGCTGTGAAGTCAGAACAAGTAAAAAAGTTGAGGTGTTATGAATACTTTTGCAAGGCGCTGCGTAAGGATGCATGATGGGAACGGCTGCGGTGAGTGTGTGGACACCGACGTGATGCGTGCCGATGAAAATTTTTTCTTTTGCGTAAAAGAAAAATAAATAAATTGAGAAAAGAGTGAGCTGTAGCTGACGGCACAGACGAATGATTGGTTTATCAGTAAATTTTTAACAAAGATGCAACATCATAATAGTGAGCAGTACAGTAAATTTTGTTCTTTTGTTCAAGTCAGTAACGATGTCAGAAAGGACGACCGATCTGGGATCGCCTTAAACCTTCACAGTAAAGGGTCGACAAAAACAATAAAATCAGAAAATGATCAGCTTATCGGTCGGTTTCTACAGAAAAACATTTAAAACGAGGTACGTCGGAAAAACAAGAATAATTCTGGAACGGGTTGAGTTGTAAGAGGTTACAAAGCATCGTGTTTTTAAATTAAAATTCATGGTCCCATTTGATTACATCAGAGTTTAAATCAAGCCTAGACACACTAATAAGAAGCATTAAATGCTCACATGATTCATTGTAATTGGAATGTTTCAGATATCGAAGAGATTCTAGTGCAACAAAAGTTAAATATATATATATATTTCAAATATTTTGACTAAATCTGTGCAACTCAACTTGTGAACAAAGAGGGTTTTAAGAAGCTAAGTGCTAAGTCATCGGTGTGCGCTTTCTGTCGGTACAGCGACCTTTTTAATGCATGTGTGTTGCATCCTGGGAGTGAAAACGACTAAACACGAGTCGGTTTCCTGTCTGGTCGCCCTCCGCCGTTTCTCTCCTCCCGGCAGCTACTGCAGCTCCTTCATCCTGTTGAGAGCCGAGCCGGCCTTGAACCACTCGATCTGCGTCTCGTTGAAGGTGTGGCTCAGGGAGATGGACTCCTGGCTTCCGTCGCAGTGCTTGATCACGGCCGTCAGCGGCTGGAGACGGGAGACAGGGCCAAGCGTCAGCGGGGAAGCGTCGGCCGCGAGCGTTAGATGATGGATGATGTCACCGGCGCAGAACGCCGCTCACCTTCCCGGGAGCGAAGGACTTGAGGGCGGTGATTGAAATCTTGTCGTCCGGGCGGATTCTGTCGTAGTCGTCGGGGTTGGAGAAAGTCAGAGGCAGCAGGCCTTGCTTCTTCAGATTGGTCTCTGAAAAATGTGTAATGGAATCAAACAAAACTGACTGCATTAAATTATAACATTTTCTAATTTAGGAATACATGATCCTGTTTAATCCCTACATGCTCTAATATGAGATCAGTTCCATTAAGGGGAATTAAAAATGTTCGATTCCTCTGCTGAGAAACTAACCGTGGATTCTGGCAAAGCTCTTGACGATGATGGCGCGTCCCCCCAGGTGCCGAGGCTCCAGGGCGGCGTGCTCTCGGCTGGATCCCTCCCCGTAGTTCTCATCTCCCACCACCACCCAGTTCACGCCGTTGGCCTGCATTTAGAAGAGATCAGCAAAGATTTACGATCCACTCAACAGGGAAGAAAACTATAAAATAAGATTTAGTCAATTTGAACAGATTTCCACCAAGCAAAGACAAAAGAGAAGGTGAATAAAATAAAATGAAAACCGGGTGTCCCACCTTGTAGAAGCGAGCCACGTCTGGGACGCCGCCGTACTCCCCGGTCAGCTGGTTCTTCACCTTGTTGATGGCGTCGTTCTCCATGTTGACGGCGCCGATCAGCAGGTTGTTGGAGATGTTGTCCAGGTGGCCGCGGAACTTCAGCCAGGGCCCGGCGGCGCTGATGTGGTCGGTGGTGCATTTTCCCTTAACCTGTTGGTGGGAAACATGGGGAGGGAGGTCTGTCACGATAACGCTGGACGACAAATTGTCCCAGAAAGTATTATTTAATTGTTTAATTTTGTTACTGTATAATCTCTACACCCAAAAGAAAAAGCTGTTCAAATATATGATCAAACTGAAATGTAAGCTATTACTCTTTAACTGCTACAATCTATACTCTTCATTAAACAAGAGACCAAGCACAAACACTGGTAACAAGGTCAAAGGTCAAAGGTCATACTAGCCCAAAACAAGGACAGCACCTGGACTTACTTGCACCTGGAAACAAAAGTACCAAGGTTAACAGAAACAGATTTGTTAATCTATCAACTGCCTCAGAAAACAACTTTTCTCTGTTCCCAGACTAATTCCTCTAACAAGACACATTATGCAGCTAAGGAGCGAAACTCCTGTGAGTTAAATACGTCTCCCGTACCTTGATGAGGACCCTCATGTCCTCCAGATCTCTCCCGTTCCACTTGTCGAAAGGCTCCAACAGCTGCAGACGTGTGCTGGAGGGGCTCACGTCTACCTGTACGGCAACAAAACGAGGGTCAAAACGGGTGCTCTTTCGTCTGTACGTCAAAACGTTCACAACTCCTGGAGTATCCCGATGTTGATCGGCACGTCTCACCTGGACCGAGGCGCTCTCAGCAGGGGGGTGCTGGTACGTGTCCTGGCCCGGGTCGAAGTCTCTGGACGGGAGCTCGTCGCCTGTGGGAGGCTCCAGCTTGAATTTCTCCCCACTGGGGGCGATCAGGTAGTCGGTCTCCGGGTTGAAGCTGAGGGTCCCGGCCAGAGCCAGAGCTGTGACGATCTGCGATAAATTACAGCGAAGCGCAACAAAAACTTAGCAGGAAAGTGCAAATCCTCCCTTAAAAAAATGAGGCCTTTATGATTTTAAAGTTGTGTTTTCTAGCCCACGCTTCCTCCTCTGTGTGGAGCTCTTACTTCAGGTGAAGTCACAAAAGCGTGAGTCGCCGGGTTAGCATCATTCCTGGCAGTGAAGTTCCTGTTGAAAGACGTCACTATGGTGTTCTTCTCTCCTTTCTTAACGTCTCTCCTATAGAAACAGAAAAATAGCAAACAAAACCCAAAACATAACTTTACTGACAAATACAATAAAACAACCCACTGACTTGCTTAGCTTAAACTGTTGAGGTCTGACATTTTGGCTTTCATTTGAGACTGAAAACATAAATAAAACGAACAAGATTACAATAATTTGTCCAGATTTTCACAGGAACGACATCTGGAACTACTTCAGGTACATTTTTCTTTTGAAATACACAAAACAGAAATTCAACCAAATTCACAATCCTTTTAACTTTTCCACATTTTGTCACGTGGCAAAAAGCAAACTGTATTTTATTTAGATTTTGAAACTGGTTTTTATTTAGGGGTATCACAGTAAAGCTGACTCCTTTACAGGACATTTATAACTCCACCAAAGTGAACTTTCACAGAAGCTGACCACATTTTCTAGTCAAGTGACATCTGAAGTCAAAGAGTTGCACGGGACCGAATCCAAATGCTCTCACTTCCTTCAGAAAACGAATTAAATCCCGCTTTGTGTGGAAGGCTCTTTAGTATTTAAATTGTTCCGTAAATTTTGAAACGTCGAAGCCAGGAGTCATCAGACCAGCTATTCTGCTCTGAATCGGAATCAGGTTTTAGAAATGAGATGCGTACCTGTCCCACTGGCCGATGCACGGACCGCAAGCGTTCGCCAGAACGACTCCTCCAACATCGCTCAAAATCTTAGCCTGAGACATAAATAAAAGGGTAGGAAAAAAAAACATCAGATCTGGGATCTGCAACCTGAGCAAGTGGCTCTTCACACCTTTCAAAATTAATCACTTTGGCTAAAAATTATAAAAAAACAAACTCAGGTTTCCAACAGTTTTTCAGTTCATACCTACAATATTAGCATTGAATTACCACAGAAAATGACACTAAAAGTAACAGTAATATGATGTCAAATATGTCATCCTCGTTTTGCTAGATTTTATGTTTGCCTATATTTAAAATCCTAAACGTAGAAATAAAACAGTGGATCTTGAAAAATAATTTTTTTTTTAAATCATGAGTTTTATTTCGGTGGTCAGAGAGTAAAAATATAAACCCCTGGACTAGATGTTTGATGTCTCATAAAAATCTGAACTTTCTTTTTCTTTTTCTGTGTATTTTTGACTCACATATCCATCTCGCTCTATGGTGGCGCGGATCTGCTCCGAGCCCGGCGTGACCGTGAACTGGGCCTTACACTTCAGGCCTTTGTCCAGAGCCTGCTTGGCCAGAGAGGCCGCTCTGCCCATGTCTTCGTAGCTGGAGTTGGTGCAGCTGCCGATCAGACCTGTTCGGGTCCGAAAGTTTAGAAACTTCAAATCGACAGCGGACGACAAGCAAATGCTCGTTTGTTTGGCAGTCTGCGTTCACGGTGACTTTAGAGGACTGGCTGAGCCGAAATGCGATCTGGTCGATACCGCGGCGAGGAGGAACAAAGACCCGAGTGTCTGATTTCCCTGAACGAAGCATTAACAAAGAGCGTAAGGTGAGACGGCCGAGCCACAAATACCCACCGACTTTAACCTCCAGGGGCCAGCCGCTTTTCTTAGCGATGGCTCCGATCTCAGACACGGGATGGGCCAAGTCGGGGGTGAACGGCCCGTTGATGTGAGGCTTCAGCTGGAAAAGCAACAAAGAAGAAAAGTAATGAGACCCGTGAACTGCACTGCAAAAACTCAAAGTCTTGCCAAGTATTTTTTAACTTCTACTTAAAATAGAACAAACTAGATTACAAGTAACTTAAAATGTCTTGTTCACTGGCAGATTATTTCCACTTATAGTGAGTACTTTTTAATCAATATTTTAGTGCTTGTAAGCTAGTTTGACTTATTCCAAGTGTACTAAAATATTTTCATCAGAAACTAAGTCAGAAAGTGTTTTGTTGCAGTGTGTGTCATTGGTCCACTAAAGCCCTGAAACTCGCCTCACTGAGGTTGATCTCGATGACTTGGTCGTATTCACAGCCCTCATCGGGAACGAGGTCGTCTCTGAACTCATCGGCAGCTGAGGCGATTTCTGGAGAACAGAAGGAAACGCAGGTGAGGCCGACGGCGGCCGAAGAATCCGAGGCGAACGGCGAGACGCGGACCTTGGCGGCCGGTTTTCTGCAGGTACGTCTTCATGCGGTGGTTGTAGGGGAAAACCGAGGTGGTGGCTCCAATCTCAGCGCCCATGTTGCAGATAGTGGCCATTCCTGCAATGTGTCAATTTATAGATTTTAGTTACTACGGATGCAAAGCTTAAAAAAAAAAAAAAAGACCAATTCTGATCACAAATTGTTGAATTTTTGTTTGTTTTTTTGAGATTTGAGTTACTGAACTTTCTTCATCTTCTACAGCTCAGAGTGATGCCAGCAAGCCCAAGGCGGCCATCTTGTTTGAAAATCATGGTTTAGAGCTTCTTTTTATTTGGGCTTTGAATTCAGGTAATTTTATGAAAACTTTATCCTAAAAAATTAACACAAAAATCAATTATCCAAGCTTTTTTCTCATTAAAATGACTTTTTTGTGCTTGTAGGATGTTCTTATGTTAAACTTGTGTCTTTATTCTGCTAATATAAATATTTTCTCATAATTAGAAAGAAATATTCTCAGAATTTGGCTCTACCAATCCATCGTACAACTTACAGAAGGAATGACAGAATTTATTTAAACTATTTTCTATCATTTGTATTTTGTTTCTTAGAAGAAAAATCCAGAAAAAGAGAGCAAGACTTTCGGGAAATAACAGGAAGGCTAAATGTAGAACAACAAACACTAATTTTGAGCTTTCCACCTTCATCTATGACAGATTTGTTGCCAGCATTTGATGAATTTCAGAGTGAAGGTGCCACCCTAAATTGCTTCTTACATCAAAATCAGAACCACAACATTTTGATAAAAATCTCGACCTGTCTTTGATAGCTGCGTTTAATTTGTAACACATTAGGATTTTTCCTTCACCTCAGTCTTACCGGTGCAGGAAATGGAGTCAACTCCTGGTCCGTGATACTCCACAATGGCCCCCGTGCCGCCTTTCACGGTCAGAATGCCGGCAACCTTCAGGATGACGTCCTTTGGGGAAGTCCAACCAGACAGCGTCCCGGTCAGTCTCACTCCGATCACCTACAGGAAAACCACACAGGCTGGAAAACCTTGAGGAGAAACATGGGCAAAGCAAAAATAAAAGTTCATTAAATGCGAGCTAAAATTAAAACGCACGTTGGGACACTTGAGCTCCCACGGGATTCCAGCCATGACGTCGACGGCGTCGGCTCCGCCCACTCCGATGCAGATGCCGCCGAGGCCGCCGCCGTTGGGCGTGTGGGAGTCGGTTCCGATGAGCATTACCCCCGGATAGGCGTAATTTTCCAGGATGATCTGTTGAGGCAGCGGGTTCACAATCTTTGAACTGGATCCAAACTCACAGCAGAAATCAGCAACATTGTATAAAAGTAGTTTATCAAAAGACCAGATAAAAGTTGTGCTTATTTGATGAATGAATAAATATTTATTCAACATAAAAATTTTATTATGTTGTTTATTCTCCCTCTTTTGTCCTTAAAAACTAAGTTCAAGAGTTGATGAAAAAACAAAACAATCACAAATCCAATAAGAGGCAAATTTTCTGTTTTGTGCACTTTTTCCAGCATCATACCTTTGAGATAAAAACAACGCAAATGAACTAATGAAGACATTTTCAATTCATTATTGTATATTATATAATTTATTACTGTTAATAATAATGTTTTGTAGCAGTAAATCCACATTAAGCAGCAGAGACAAGATAAACTAAAATACAACAAATTTTATGTTTTGAATTGTCTCTTTCACACATACTCTGCACACCTGGCTGGTCTGAGAAATGAAAATCTAGAAAGATAAAGAAATCCTCCCAAGGTTTTCTAGTATCTAGTAAATAGGAATAATTTTGGTAATTCTAACCGACCTAAAAAAAATAAAAAAAAAAAACGAGACATTTAGTCTGATTTAACTTTACGCAAAAATTTGTATGTCTCTTTTAATTTTTTTCCAATATCTTAGTTTAACTACAAGAAAATGTTTCCTAAATTTATCAAATGTTATATTGCACTTTATTACAAAACTGTCCAGTTTCAAGGACTATCAAGGACGTTATATGGAAATCCAGCACTTTCCAAACCTTAAAAACACCTCTTTGAAATTCAGTGAAATAAGCAATAAACAAAAGCAGCCCCAGCTAGATTTATCGTATGTTATTGTGAACGCTGTACCTGATGGATGATCCCTGAACCTGGTTTCCAGAAGCCGACTCCATATTTAGCAGCAGAGGTTGCAAGGAAGTTGTACACTTCCTGATTTACTTCCTGTTTTCAGGGAACAGAAGGAAGCAACTAGATCATGAGACTCGTGAACATTTTCCTAGAGTTAGTGGTACATACTCTGATTTGATGTTCGCTGTGAATTTCCAAAGCACAACTGAAACGCATCGTTATGGTCCAGGAAGCCAATCTTCCTCTGGTCCCGGCTCACCTTTGCCCTCTGCAGGTCCTGAGCTCCTCCGATCTGAGCTTCGATCAGGTGGTCGCAGTGGATGGTAGAGGGCACGGCCACCTTAGGCAGGCCGCTGCTGATGAACTGCAGCATGGCCATCTGGGCCGTGGCGTCCTGCATGGCCACGCGGTCCGGACGCAGGCGCAGGTAGGTGCGGCCGCGGGCGATCTCCTGCCCCGCCGGATCATCCAGGTGGCCGTAGACGATCTTCTCGGACAGAGTCAGAGGCCTGCCGAGCCTGCCATGAAGGAAAGCGTTTAGGAAGGGTTTTAACGTGGTTTTTTTCCCCCCCAAACTTTATTGAATTCTTTCAAGATTTTGTGCGACACATCTGTATTTCAGCAGCAAGTTTCTTGGTTTTTATCTTTAGCAGATTTTTAACATCTGGAATTAAATTTTCACCCTGACTTTTTATCACAGGCATTGGATGTGACAACGTCAACATTTAAATATGGGATTTGAATATCAACACAGTTTGTGGTACTATTGTAAAAATGATGAGAATTTTTTTATTGCTTCTTTTTTTTAGATAACTTTGAGTGAATGTCTCCACAAACGCAAATACAGCTCTTGATACACTTGTAATATGATTGTTTTGGACAACAGCATCAAAAAGAAGCGTGATTTGTATCACTAAACTCTGCCTTTGATAAAAAATGTTCAAGCTTTTTGACTTTTACTGGTACTTTCAATAAAATAAAATAAAAACTGTAGAAAAATAATAATAAACAACACAGACGTTGCTGGGGAGGGGAGGGTTTACACATCATTCGTTGGAATTTATCACGACAATGATAAATCAAATCTTCTGTACTAATATATTGTGATAAAACATAAACGATACGATAAATGCCCAACCATAGCTGTATCTCTGATTACCCAGTGTTTATCCAGTTGGTTTAGATTTATGTCCAAGTCTTTGTAGGTTTTTAACTAGAAAGTATTGCTGTCTTTTGTCCTTTCCATGTTTTAAATGTTTATTGATTTTTTTTATCTGTAAAGCATTTTGTCGCAGTTGCTTTGAAGTACTTTATAAATAAAGTAGTGGTAGTAGTAGAAGGCAATAAAACTATTTGAATAATTTATCAAGGAAGAGAAGATGACAATTACAAACAGGCTTTAAAATTCAATAAGACAGACGATACGTTCTGCAAGCTGCAGAGAGCCACAGAGGTGTGAAGCTGATTTGCATCATATTTGAATATTTTAAAGAATTTGAACATCAATATATAGCTAGCAGTAACTTCTAATTTGAAGCCTAATGTGGCAATTTGGACAAACCGCTTAATAATAACTAAACATTTTTACTATCGCTGACTTCTGAAGTAGTTGGTTGTAGTGAATTATAAGTAATGTTATCAAAATTGCACCATTACCCTTGGGTGTAATGGTCATAAAATCCCATTTCAAAACACAGAGGAGTTTGTAGAGCAACGTCACAGTTTGTGGAACTGCTGACCTCCTGCGCACGATGCCGATGTTCTCGTGCATCTTCCCGTAACCGATGCTGGAGCCGGGCTCAAAGCGGCTCATGGCCGCCCCGGCCCTGGCGCTGACGACGGCGGCGACATGAAACCGCCTCGCCCCGGTTCCGAGAGCCAGCTGGACCAGGAGAGGCAGCAAATAAAAGCAGAACTTTATCAAAGCATTTAGTCAAGGAATCTTTTTATCACACAAGACAAAAAATAAAAACACTAAAGCTGGTTGAAGTACAGTTAGCTGCACAAATAAAACGCTCCCTCTTATGCATAAATAGCTCAGTCAGATTTTCACAAGATCAAAACACTTATTCATGTATATAATAAGAAAAAGTGTTTTGTCACAACAATTACGCTTCAGAACGAGACAGAAGTGTGCCACTGCGACGGCTGACCAGACACGTTTAAGGTGTGCTCACTTATTTGTTTGTGCTGCAGTTTCCCATCGTTCTGCTCGCCGAAAAAACTGGGTGAAGGTTCTTCCAGCTCGTATTCCAGCTGGTATCACCGGCCCAAAGAACTCTGGGTAATTTGATAACTCTGACCGGATTAAACATTTTCACAACCTGGTAACCAAAGTTACCAGGACATCTGAAATACTGTCAATCTTTGATCTGCACACATTCTCTATCCAGAAAAAAAGGGTTTTTAATACAGTTTTTCTTCTATTATGATCTGTGTTTTACGCTTTTGCTTTAGTATTTTAATAAAGCCATTAGAAAAGCAGATGGACTTCTATCAACACGCTGTGTTTTCTGTGAGATGTTAAAAGAAAAACACTTGTGTAAGTTTTTCAAAACTTGTAAAGCATGAGACTTTTTTCCAGTACAATTAAAATGAAAGTAACACACACAAGAAACTAACAACAGCAATAACACTGTTATGTTTAATATTTGATCGTGGCACTTTGGATTTTATCTGTGAAAATTATTGTCATTCAACCAAGAAGCTATTTTCTGATAGGAAATGAGATGGGCCTCATTTCCCATCACTCCAAATACGATGTAAAAAATGTTTTGCTTACATTTAAATTTTAAAAGATGTCAAATCTGAATTCTGGAAATTAAATGGTGATAAACTCCTACCAGACAACGCTGAGTCACAAAGTGTTTCATTAAAGTTTGACTCTTACCAACTTTTATTTGTTCGACAAAACAAAAGAAATTTGCCTCCTATAATTTAGCTCCTTTTTAACAGCCTTTAGCTTTACAAATGTAAACAAGAGCTGAATCTGGAAATATTAAAACACTCACTGTTTCCTCCACTGGTGCTACCCTGCAAAACAAAACCTCCACAAGGATAGAGACCGCAGCTGCTCTTTCTGTAATTTGGACAATGAGACAATAGTCCACTTATTCTGGAGGTGCCCCTTCACTGTCTCATTCTGGAAAGACTTTCTTTAGTATACTCAATCTCATATTCTCAACAGTTTTTCACTTTTATACGCATTTATACGTACTTTTTGGTTTCGACAATGTCTGTCCTGCCAATAAGAATCAATTTTATGCAATTAATCTCTTGTTAATTCTAGTTCAATTTCATATTCATAAATGCACATTGTCTGGCAAACGGCCTCTTCTTATATATATGTTTTTATCTGAATTACAACACTATACAGTAACTCTACAGACCTCTACCAACCCCAAAGCTGTAAAGTGTATTGAAGTTCTAAAATTATTTGATTGTATTCCCTGAAACACTGACTAATCTCTGTTATCTCTACTTTTGCTCCTTGTATTATACCATTACACTTTCTATTGTTTTTATTCCTTGTAACCCTTGGCATTTTTTTTTTCATTCCCCCCTTTCTATTCATTGTATTGACATTTTTATGCAATAAAAAAAATAAAACACGCCTTATTAAAGGGTCTACATGTCGCTGTACTTATCAGAAACAAAGTAAACCGACCGTTATTAAATCTCATTTCTGTGCGCGTGAGAGCGGCACATCCGGGTCTCCGTCGCTGTGAACTTCTGTGACTCTGTGAGCCGCAGCTGTCAGGAGTTTAAATCACGTCGTAAAAGCAGGTAACCTTGCGTTCACCTTCGCGAACAGCAGCGGCTGAAGACTCGCTATCAGACACCGCCTGACTTCTGCTGACCGCGGTCGGGTCGTGTTAATTGATTACATGTTCAAAAGCTGCCCTATAAGAAGAATAAGCACGGTTCCTCACCCGGAGTCTGGTTACAGTCACGCAGTAAGACGCCATTTTGTAGTTTCTTCTCCGCGGCGTGTCGCACTTTCATCACGTCAGCGACTAATTCAAGAAAGAGAAGTTAAGGTTCAATTTCACATCTAATTTCAGACGAAATTGTGATTTTAAACTTTTCCGTAATTTTGATTTATTTGCTTATGTGTTTCATACTTAATATGAAATATGTCTCACCCATAAAAATCGAATACTTTTACTTTTAATTAAAATTATGTTTTTTTAAAGATGCATTTGAATTTTTTTTTAGAGTGCAACAATTAAACAACAGGCTTCAAATATTTTTCTTATAACAACAATTGCATACACAAGTTGGACAGCCCCACATTATACTGAATGAACCGAATCTGGTAAAATCTGTTTGTGCACAGCCAGAAAACCTTTCACATCTTTCTGGTTGGGTGTTTGTCCTCCAAAATTGCTTTTTGTTATTGTTGTCAAAAAGCACAACCATTGACTCATCTGATATTTAGGGGAAAAAATGATAACAATCTTTCAAGAGTGGCCAAAATACAACGTGAAGCTGCCATGGTGAGTCGTGAGTGCCCACATTATTTGTTTTAGAATGTCTCTGCTTATCAGATTATTCAAAACCAATATTCAGATTGCTGAACAAGTTCTTAAATACCAGGTGAAATCACGACACAAGACTGGTCAGTTTGGCTCTTCAGTCAGTATTTTCTTTAGGGAGGTTGACAACTTTCATAATAAAACAATAGTTATAATAACAATAGTTATAATAAAACAATAGCTTTGTTTTATTATGAAACAATAGTTATAAAACATTAACTATTGTTTTATTACACACAACATTGTTCACATGATTGTGAGTTGATTTTACTGTACTTTCCTTTTTTGGTGTCTCACACATAAATTGTTTTTGTTCAGGAAGAGATGAGTTGCATCTCCCAGCTTGTTTCGTTCAGAACAAATAAATATGATCAGAAAGGCATCATCAGTGTCTTTCCTCAGTCACTGTGAAATGTTAACAATCAAGCTGGTAATCAATTAGCATTTCTCATGTTTTAAAATGTTTGCACTTTTCTTTTCTACCCCAGTTTATTGACATTCTTGTTGTGATTGTATATTGTAGTGTAAAGCTATGACTATGTTATTTAAAGAACAGCTGATGTGAAGTCAAAGTCTGTTTGAACTCCTATTAAAAAAATAAATAAATACTCACGGCAAAGAAAAACATAAACATTTACTGAAACCCTTAGGAACATCATATCCCATAAGCCATTGCCAAATCTTACTTCGCTTCAGCTGCTGCTGACCAATAAACTGGTGGTCTTCTTCCATATCAGCCAATAAAAACTCTGTTGCTATCAGTATTTGTATTTTTAGTAAATTGTTCAGTGAAGGATAATGTCTCTCCGCCGTGTAAGCTAGTGCCTGCAGAAATAATACAATATACTATAGACCAAAATTGGGCACTAGTTTTCGTCTCGTTTTGTCTAAAAAGTATACTAATTGTATTTCTTTTATTTTAATGAGGCTGCACATTTATTGAAAGCAATTAGCTATGAGAGAATCTAATGATATATGACCGGCAGATTACTGTAAGTCCTCAAAATAATAATAATAATAATATAATAATAATAATAATAATAATAATAATAATAATAATAATAATAATAATAATAAAGGAGGACGTATCGTTTATGATGAGCAAAAAAAGTAGTCCCTGTCGTCACAGGGGTGTGGGCGACTCACAGTGTATAAATACGCCGGGTTGTCAAACAGTAAAGTTTCAGCGGACACCTCCAGAGCAAAGTGCGTCGGATAATTGGAGCTGCGGCGGCAAATAGGGGACAAATACCGAGGCGTATGGTTGAAAATATTAAGCCCTAACGAACCCGTAGACTGTCACCTTCGCCTTGAGTTAAAATTGATCAAACGGGAATTAAAAACAGAGAGAGCAAATCGAGCTCGGACATCATCACCATTAACACTGATAGGTGAGTAAGTACACGTCCGCGGGTGCTCGAAGTGGAGACATTTCTCCTTCATGGAGACGCTGCTGTGGAGCGTCCTTCTGGGATGTGCTAGTGTTTTTCCACAGCTCTTGTCTGTCAGGAAAGGCCGTGCTTGGCTCGGATACAGAATTGAGCGTTTGTCTGTCTTGTTTGTTTATTTTTCTCCTGCTCGATGCACATTTTCAGCCGAGCATCGTCCGAACGCAGCCTTATAACAGAATGTTCCGCGGATGTTTCCTCTAGGATGTTTATGTTGAGACGGGCTCTCTCATTGGTCGGTTGCATCCTCGACGGGCTGCTCAGCACTTCATTAGCTTTTACCATTTCATTTCTAGTGGCGTTTCTGTTAAAAAACAAACAGAAGAAAGAGGGACCCTTTACTAAATGAGTGTACTCTCTGTTCCAGTGGCTTTAGACCGACACTAATCTCCCTCTGTCTCAGTTCATGCAAACCTCTTAAGATATAGCCTACTTCTTGTTCATTCTTCTGTTTGCATATTTGTCTACGCTTTGGCTTTATCGTCTTTACATGGAAATCAATTGAAAAGGGTGCAGAGATGTGACACAAGACGGATCTCAATATTGTGAAGCTTCTATTATCCAACTGCTTCCTTTCAATATAACCTTTCTAAAAGGTTCTTTTTTTTTGTATTGATTGAATGTGCTGAACACTGTGAGCTTCAGCCTGACTCATAGTGGCGAGCACTGCTCCATAATGAGTCCATGTAAACAAACACAACACCTCTGATCCTGCTGACGCTCAGACGTACGACAACAGACCCTGCAATAATAAAACCAGCCTGTATCTGATGGGGAAAGAAGGAAACTGTGGGTTATTTTGAGTCCGAGTTACTCGGATCTCCACCAAAAGGGGTGTAAAAATGCAGTCGTAAAGGCACATTTCTGGATCCTTCTCTTCAACGACACCAGGTTCTTCTGGTGAGGCATGTTGAGATGGATTTGTTCCACAAAGACCAGGCCCCCTATTTAGAGCTCTTTCGTGCAACCCTTACCCCCATCTTTCTCCTTCAGAGTCATGCGAAAGGAGAATTTGGGTTTTGCCTTAAGTGACCGTCACCCCTGCAGCCGGCCTGCGTGAGCTTTGCCTCTAATGACATTAGAATTGTCTTTAATCTGAGCCGCCTTCCTAATCTTAACCGCTGAATCCCCATCTGTCAGGGGGGCAAACGTGAGGAGCTGGTGTGTGTGTGTGTGTGTGTGTGTGTGTGTGTGTGTGTGTGTGTGTGTGTGTGTGTGTGTGTGTGTGTGTGTGTGTGTGTGTGTTTGTGCGCGCGCGTCTTCGTCCAGGTTCGGGAGGTAGGAGGAAGGACGAAGGTGCATGCTGGGAAGTTGTGTTCCGTCCACCAAGTGTCCTGCCATTTTCTGATTTCTGTAACGAAACACTTCCTGGTTCTGCTTTGTTTTTGTTTTGCCCCTGTTTTTGCCGTGTCTTGCGCCCTTATTTCGGTTTGCATTCCCGTGCTGGCGAACAGATCCTGGCGACGCATTAAGCCAGAAGCACTTTATGGGATCACATTCAGATTATGCAGGATTTATGAAGCTGGAGAAAGGCAGCATCTGCTCATATCCGTCAGCGTGTCTTACATTTGATGTATTTGAAAAGTGAAATGGTCCATTTATAGTTGCTGATTCAGGAAAAGAACCATGTTTGTCTCACAACATGCAGGCATGGGATTAATTATTTATTGTTGACACAAGTAAATATAGATATGCCTTCACAATTGGAACCTGCATCGACTTGCACATATTGCAGCTCTTCTTACCTCAGCATTTATTATGACTTTTCTCTCATTTCTAAAGCGCAGTGCCAGTGAGAGAATCATACAACATGGGCGTGCTTATCTCTAATGCAAAGCCCTTGAAATGGCTACTTTTTGTTTCCATCAAAAGATTTGTGATGCAAAGTTTTACCTGCTCAAAACTATATTTACATACATACCCAATCATATTTGTTTTAATGTCTGCACATGGTTTGTCTGCAAGTTGCAGATAACCACATGATTTGCATTATTTTGCTTGGATATTTAAACCCATTTCTAATCGCATTTTGTAGAGCTAATCCAAACTGGTTGTTGTCCTGCTGTCAACTCGGCATAGTCTGGACATTTTCAGCCATTCCACAATCTTGGCCACCAAAAACCAGTTTTGATACGTTTGGGATGATTGACTTGTTGGAACAACCCAACTGACCCAAACCGTCACTTTTTGAATCAAGGAATTACAAAAACATCGGTCCAGCGCCACTGTGCAGAGTAAAGTAAGTTTGACATTGATGACGCCAACTAAGAAATAAAGTCTCTGATCCACAATCGAGACCCTCAAACTCGACTGGCAGGTTCAAGCCAAGGTCCTTTTCTGTTGGAAGGTCTTCTGGTCAACGGAGACAAAAGCTGCCCTTTTCTGGCCACAGTGACGAGGCACAAAACCAGCTGTGGTTTAAGGATCGGCTTCCAGTTTCTGTTGGTCAAACCAAACAGCAAGCTGAAGCTCAGAGGCCTTTTCAGTCGCCACGCCAAGTTGTGATTAAACTCACATTTTCAGTAGCCTTCAACAGTGTGAGTTTGAAGTTTCAGGCTTTGTTGTGCATTTAAAAAATTTTTTTCGTTGTTTTTATTTGCGTATATTTCTTCAGAATGTAACTCCAATTATTCCCAGAAAAATTCACTTATTTTGTGTAATTTTTTGTTTCATGGAGCATATCTGGAATATTTTAAAGAAAATGCCGCTTGGATATTGTGTCGCTGTCACTTGACATGCTAATGGCTGCCATCTGCAAAGCAGCCAAAACAGGAAAGAAATTCAGAGGCACACAAGCGGGCATCGTAAAAGCTCGAGAGGCCAATGGACAGTTGCAGAAACTGGTTTGCGTCACTTCAATGAATTAACTACAAGCCTAACTTAATCAGCCTTTACTGCCACTTTTACTGGTGTCTATAAAACCCTATTTAAAATAAACAACGCTTCGCCTGGTGAGGGGACAATTGAAGCCTGGTGGCCTGCCAAACTTATAATATGCCGGGGGAAACCCTGATTACTACTAGAATTATGTCAGAACCTTCTTATGGTGACAAAATTGTGTAGCTTCTGTCCAACTTCAAAAGGAACTTTGTGTACATCAGACTTAACGGGTCTAGCACACAGGGATGTTTTGTTTGTACTCGTCTGCCGAACATCGGAGTCACAGTTTTCTTGTGTCTCTGCAGCTGGAACGTCTGGAGAACTTAAAAGCAGCCTGTGACCCACAGCCCCTGCTTCTGAGAAGCCCTTGCCGATATGACGCTAAAAGAGTCAACGACTTTTCAATAAGCCGGAGGTACGTCTGCGCTGCCTCCCGTTCAGCAGCATCCTCTAACACGTTGCTCACACGACGGCACTAACCGGAAGCAGCCATGCATCTCGAGGTCAAGGTGGCCCTCAACTTTATTGTGTCCTACCTTTACAACAAGCTGCCTCGTCGTCGGGCCGACCTGTTTGGTGAGGAGCTGGAGAGGATACTGGTCTCCCGCTTTGAGGGACACTGGTATCCCGAGGCCCCGCTTAGGGGATCCGCTTTCCGCTGCATCCACTTGGGGGCGCCGAGGGACCCTGTGGTGGAGCTAGCCGCCAAAAGAAGTGGACTGGACACGGAGGAGGTCCGCGCGAATGTCCCCGCAGAGCTCAGCGTGTGGATCGACCCTTATGAGGTTTCCTACCAAATTGGAGAGAAGGGGGCAGTGAAGGTGCTTTACTTGGAGGACCCTCCAGGCCTCGGTTGTGATGGCGAGAGGGCTGAGGCGGTTAACGGAGAAGGCAAAGGAGAGGCGGAGACTGAGGAGGCCAAGAGCCTGGGATTTAATCCAGATGCTCAGGTGTTTGTGCCAATTGGAAGTCAAGCATCTCCAGCACTCATGCCATCCATCTCAAGCTCTCCCACACCTTTGACAGCTCAGCCTGGGCTTTTTAGCTACCCCAGCTCCAGCACACCTACTGACCCTGGTGTCCATTCATCCAACACTTCCTCCCCTTCTCCTCCCAGTGGTGGGTTGTCATACCTCCCGACTCAGCAGCCACCTCAAGCCCTCCCTCCTGCCCGTCCACAGCCCATCACCTTCACCACCGCGAGCTTCGCCGCCACCAAATTTGGTTCCACCAAAATGAAGAAGTGCACTGGAGCCGGGTCGCCGGCCAGCTCCGGTGTCATTGTCCCGTCTTCGCAGAGGATGCTGTCCCGCTCTCCCACCACCATCTCGGCACCAGAGCTGCTAAAGCACAAGCCCCTGTCGCTCTCTTTGCACTCCCTTGGAGGTCCGATCCCCAGCCAGCTCTCCCCTAGCGCCAAAGAGTTCGTCTACACGGGATCCCCGGGCCCCTTTTTCTTTGACGCAGACACCCAACCAATGCAGCCACAAGCCAGCCCTTTTCAACCCTCGCACAACCTCGGCTCCAATCCGACCTTCGACCCGTTCGCCAGTCCTTCTCCTCAAAGCGTGGGCATCCTCAGCAGCAACGGAGGAATCCCTTGCGTGGAGAAACCGTCGTTTGACGGTTTAGGAAGCTACAGCCTGCAATATCCAAGCCAGTCTTTCCAACCTGTGGTGCTGGCCAACTAAGCCTTCATCTGGAACAAAAACACTTGGACGCAGACATGGGTGACTCTCCACTTGTTTTCAGTTTTTCTAACAAGATATTATAATGCTAACACGCATCAAGAGTGGGTTTTGCTACAGAGATTAAAAATGATAATAAACATCTCCCTAACGTACATTTTGTTATGTATCTCTACATGACGTTCGTTTTGCAAGGACTCATTCACATCAACGTGGATGGTCGGGGAAGCGAGTTTCTTTCTACGTTTCTTTTGTGACGTGAAACATTTATGTCCCACTCCTCCGTCTCTAGAGCAGCTTCATTTTGCACTGCACTGTCACGCTGTGAAAAAAAAAGAAAAAAAAAAAGGACTTTGCCAAGTCCTGCAGGGAACGACTGCTGTGGAAAACTCAGCACTTTGCTCCGCAATCTGCTCTGCCCTACTTGCCACAAATACACAGGAGAAGGCGGGGTGGCGTGCGAGCGCGTGTCGTCCTGCTCCGTTTTGTTATGGTTGGACCGAGGGAAGGGTTGTTTGTCTCCGTTGTCGTCGGATGCGATGCTCGCTATCAGTGGCTGGAATGAGCGGGAATGAAGGATGGGCGGGCGGAGGGAAAGGGCAGCGCTGGAGAATGTATTGTCCGTCAAGGAGAAATTTGCTGGAGGAAACCTTTTTGAATGTAAATGAGAAATAAATTCCAGTTTTAACAATGCTGATACCTCTAATTACAAAAAGGGGGAGGGAGACAAACGCAGGGAAATGTGCAGACACAAATGCACCACACGCATCGAAGCGCGCGATGTTCCAGTCAGCAGTGTGCGAAGGTGAACGGGCGAGGAGCAGGAGGTTGGGGAGGGGATGCAGCAGCAGCGGCAGATTGTGATAAATGGCTTAGCATGACTTTGACTATGAAGGAGAGGTTTTTCCTCTGCATGGAGGAACAGGGAGGGAGACGGGGAGAGAAACTTCTCGACGAGCGCGTTGCCTCTGCGTCGGCCGGGGCGTACTGGGAAGCGCGCGCGTTCCGCCTTGAAACCCAGAGCACGTTCCCGGTGAAACGAAAACACTACACTGTTCTCTCCTCTCGAAATTCTCCTGCTGTCTGTTTCTCGAGCCGTTGCAAGACTTTTAAAAAAGAGAAAAAACAAGAAAAACATTACTGTAAAGTCCCAGGTTGGTCAGTCTTTTTTCTCAGCTGCAAAAAAAAAAGAGGGAGAGAAACGACGATAAAGAACCGACGTCTGTGTGCACGGCTTTGTCAGACGTGCGGCTCTCTCTCTCCCAGCATTGTATGTTGTCATTGGTTCCCGCAGGGAAAGGTTAACCTCCACATGTCCAGCCGCTCAGCACTTTATCACTGGGTCTCCTGATGTCACCGCAGCCATCGGCGCCAAACCCATCTTCTACCCTCGCTTCGTCGTTGCACACTTTTATTAAGAAGACCTGAATAACGTTGGAAGGTTATTAGATTAGCCTGACTTGCATTTCATTGTGTTGGAACAATTCCATCAGGTTTTCTTTTCTTAAATATTTTTGAGTATTCTGAGGTGTAGTCGTTTAGTTTTTCTTTTCTTTTTACTTTTTGTGCAATTATAATTTAGGTTAAATTTGGCATAAGGATCCAAAAATTGGAGGTTTTTGTTTTGTTTTGTTTTTGAGAAAATTCTGGATATTTTTTCTAAATTATCAGTTTAATATGATGGTTAGTTTTTGGTATTATCTTGCATTTGTCTTGGTTGGGGACTGTGACTCCAGGATAGTGTGTATATAAAGTTCTCATCTTCAAATTCTTTACTTTTGTACGTCCTGAAGTTATCCCTTCCCCATTCCTCCAATTTTTTTTTTTTTTTTTTTTTTTTTTTTTTTTTGGGAAACGTATCATGAATATATGCAAACTGAGACAAAATAAAGATGTACAGAATAAAGTATTGAATGTGTATTGTACCTTGTACAGCATTTGTCTCGTAAAAGACGGGTAAATGTATTCTCTTCTTGAGTTTTTGGGTTTTGGGAAGTGAACGTTTACAGTGAGGACTGTGCAGGAAAAAGATTGCCGATATCACTCTGTGCCCTCCTGGGACAAATAGTACTATTTTACGAGTAAACCAAAAATCATCACACTTAAAATTTTTTTTTTGTCCCCTTGTTTTTATTTATATATATGTACCTTCATTAACCTTGTTTTGTCCATCTGTGCACTCTGACATACAGGGTTTTTTTTTTTTTTTTTTTTTTTTTTTTTTTGCTTTTCTACATTGTTGCATTTCAAGCTTCAATGTATTTGTGGGGTGCTTTTGTGACACACTTTTCAGATTTGTATCTTTTTAAGAAAAGACCAAACTGAAGAACTGTTGGGTATCAATATGTTTGTTGATCTCTTGCAAAATTCACCCGAAAATGACATTGAAGTTGCTGTAGTCAGCTTATTGTGACTAAATTCTTTGCTTGAGCATGATTTATTTTAATTAGAAAAGCCCCCCTTTTTAAAAAAATTTTCATCATCATTCCTCACAGGAACCTTTTCGGGTTCTTGAACGAAAGCCATATTGCCCTCAGTCTTTCCTTACGCTGACGCTCATCCTGTAATTCTTCCACCGCCCTTCAAGATTCAAGGGGGGAGGGGTTTCTACCTCTCTGCACCCTAGAAAGCAAACCCCCCAGGAATTTGCTTCCAGCTCTGTAGCATTCAGTTGTGAGACATTTGAGGTGGGAGAAAACAAGGTATGAAGTGACTGTGGTCCAGATGCAATTGCCCACCCTGGTTTCAGTGGCCTGCGGAAACGAGAAACTGCACAGAGCTACGCGTGTCTGAAAGAAAAACCGAGAACCGTTCCGGATTTCTCTTCACTTCTGAGTTTTGATGTGGCAAGACCTGCTTTGGACGGGGGGTTTAAAACGCAGGCTGTCCTGAAAGCAGGGTGGATGATTGATGAAGATGGAGAAGAAGTTTATTTTATTTTTATTATTTTTGTATTCTGATGTCCTTTGCTTGTCCCACTGCGTGCAGTTTATTTTGCACCTGGGACTATTTAATTGTGATAAAAAAAATTATAATGAAAAAAAAGAATTTTATTTTCTATGTAAACTTTAACATGTAAAAGTTAATAGATTAAGAGTTTAAATAATATATATATATAAATAGTGCTCTGTTTCCTCCCTGTATTTTATTATTATTATTTTTTTCCCTATTTTGTATCTGACCTGTACACCCTGTAGATGTCCAATGAACCTTTCACTACCGGAAATGCAATGACCTGTTTTCTGTGCCGCCCCTCTGGGAGATGGGGGGGTTACTACTGCAGTTTCTTATTGTATCAGATTCTTTTTTTAAGTTTATAATAAATAGAAAAAAAACAAGACTGGCAAAGGAGAAAAAAAAAAAGCATGGAAACCAACGCGTCCTTGTCTTTCTTCTTCTTCTTCCTCTTCCTGCATGACTGATTGAAGCAGTAATGAGTCTTCTTATGGCAGTCAACAAATTCAAGCCAGCCTTTGATCAATAATTCAAAGCAGAAAAATAATAAAATAACTGAGGATTCTTGGACGGTGAGAAACCTCACCAATCACCGCCCACATCAGCTGGACTCGTCCCAGCAGATATTACTTTACATTTCATCAGCTTGTCAGTCTACCCAAAAAATATAAAAAATAAATAAATTAAAAAATGCTGGGCTCGTTGATCTGAGGGAAGCGCTGTAGACCAAAATGTATTTGTGGAAACATCAACATGCGAGACATGTTTTTTTTTTTTTTTTTTCACCCCTCCCTCCTCTCCTTATCCATCTGGCTTACCTTCAGTTCTGTTCTCCCACACACAACACGCCCATCCCGCTCGTCTTTGAGGCTGCTGCTGTTACGCAACGCGGCTCCCGCCGTGTGCGCCGATGTGATCATTACGCAACATCTCCTGCTCCTCTGGAATACCGATGAGCGCCGACACAAGGGACGACGTGGACGGAAAGGATAAACGTGGCTGCGCGTCGGATGTGTGCGCTCGGGATGACTGCGCGTCGCAGAAAGGGAGTTTCGGGAAGGAACCCCAGAGCAGGTTCTTTGTTGTTTCTCGGTAGCAGGGGCGGCTCAAAGTTGAACAGGGCCCTCGAGCCCAGCGCCCCTCCAGCCTGGTAGTTGACACTATTCCACTGAAGATGATGTGTTCTCTCTTTTTTTTTTTTAAGAGTCAATGACACTAAATTAATGTTTACAAAAATGTAGCCTGTTAACTAAACAAAAAGTGTGTGTAGTTTTGTGTGTTATGTTACATTTTGCTTATTTAAAAGTGATCAACTAGAAATTATTATTAAAAGTAGAGTTGAATTGTAATTTATCAATATTCTACCCAATGGGAACTCCCTGGTTTAATTGCCAAATATTTTCACTCTAAAAACTGCACCATATAAGCATAATTAAATCAGTCGTTTTTACTCAGAGTTCACCTTATAAAAATCTATTAAATTATATTGTCTGATTTTTTTTTTTTTTTTTTTTTGACTAAACAATTGTCACACTTTACCAGGTGGTGAGTCAACAAGTAATTCCTTAAACTGTTTGTCAAATCAGTAAATTTGCTTTTTTCACTAAGAAAACTGGATGGTAAAACATTTATAAGGAGGTAGCATAAATTGATGCAATCTGAGTTGTCACTGGTTTAATTAAACGTCCTCACAGGACGCTTGTGCCTTGGGCCGGCTCCGTCGTAGCTGAAATCACAACCGTAGCCACACGTCATTAAATTCCACTTTATTTTATATGCATATAACAAGGTACAGTTACATATTATGACAGCTGCATGTAGCCGATAGTGGGATTACAAAAACATGTTTATATAAAAAAGAGAAGAAAACCCAAAAAAAAAAAAACATGGAAGATTTGACTATTTCTTTTTCCAGGAGCTCTATCACAATAATATTGAACCTATTCAGATTTGCAATCCAACCTGGTTACAGGGTGCAACTTGTTCATATTTGAGAAATTTAACTGAGCTCCAGATTTTCAACTAATAGCATTACTGTGTCCTCTTTTTGGAACATCTTGAAAAAGTTCAAGATCTTGATCACAAAACAATAAAAGATTTGGTTAAAGACGGAGGATCAATGGGTAGCAATAATTGACTGCTGCCATTTTTCTTTCCTAAAAAAATAATACAAGCTGCCAGTCGAGTATCTTTAACTTGTCTTAATTTCATTTCTTATATCATAAATTATTTTTAAGGTGCTTCACATCAGAACGAAAGAGACAGCGGCATGCTGTGCGTAGCATATTTTTATTTTATACTAAAAATGCCATTTCAGCACATTTTTGGGGGGAGAAATCTGTTTTCCATTAAGTTGGAAAAAAATATAAAATTTTTGCACTGTTCAAGACATAAAGGCAAACGCACGCTGCCCTAAAAATGTCTTTTATACCACACCACCAAAAACGTAATTACCCTTTATGAAAACACAGAAAGCACCGACTGATCCAGTGTATAATGTTGACATAATTAAATTTGCAGTAAATCGAACTCAACCCTTATAATAGTTAGAAAAAGATACCGCTTTCAGCTGAGACAGATGGCGCTGTTGTGCCCATCATAAGCAGGGGACATCTTTTTTTTATTTTTATTTTTTACAGAATAAGTATCTTAGGTATCCAAAAACACATCCTATATTTAGTGATGGTTTTACAGACATAAGTACACTTGGTGTGACACTTACAAGAGAAAATAAAGACAAGCTTTACTGGATTTCATGCATTAGGATCCTTGAGGAAAGAGGACCAAAAACTGGAAGCACAACGACGTGGGGACATTTCTATTTAGTACGTCATAGCACGTTATACACATAACATCGTCACTTAAAATTAAACAGGCATTACATAACAGAGTATTATTGCCACATTAATTATCTTTCCGAGAGTTACGGTGAGAAGGAGCCCAAACCAGCCGATTACAAAATGTAGAAACCCCTAACAGTCTGTGATGCTGAATTAGAAACAGGTTCGGCCATTTTAGCAAAAAGGAATTCAACCAAAGTTTGCGCCATTAAGAACTAAGAACTTATGTACCTTTTACTTTAACCGAGCCAACTTTAGCTCTGCTAAAAATGTATCCAATCAGAATGGGAAATAAAGTGGCCATGCTAAGTCACTGCTTCGGGCCCCCAGGCCAGCAGGGGGCCCCCAAGAGCCCTTTCACAATCCCACTAATTCCAGCTGATAGACGTCAGAAGCCAATGTTTACGGTCATGTTTGTGAGAAATTTTAACTTTTACATGAGCAGTAGTCAGAGTTTTAAGCTTAAGAGGACTTTCTATGTTTTTAATTTTCAAATAAATTTCAATCATGTTTTTATTTTTAAAAAAATATGTGCATTTAGTTCGATAGCTAGGTTGGAGTCACAATTTAAAACTAATGACTTGTTTACTATAGCTTTACATTTTCAAAATTACCTTCAAGTTGTTTTATTTTAAAAAATGTACAAAATGTGTTATGTCTTCACACAAGGGGAAATTTAGTTTAATGCTCATGCTAGAGGCAATTTATTGCTGCTAATTTAATAATTTCCATTTTATTATAACGTTTGATTTTTAAAATTTGATAAGATTTTTTAAATTGAATTTTAAGACATTTTCAAAATATGTGCTCACATTCATGTACATTTCAGTCTCTATGTCTTCTAATTACACTTGTGAGACTTAATTGCAAATGGGGCCTTGTGTCAAGTTCTACTAAAACCTTGGACTGGCCCTGTTAGGATGTGCTGAATGAGGTAAAGCAGATCCTGGAGGAAATAACAAAAGACATTTAAAAATCTGTTTGAAAAACATCCAAAAACACAGTTTATCCATTGAATTCCCTGCTCTGTCATTGGTTTTCATAGTATAGCTGTTTCTTAAAGAATGAAAAAACAGGTTTTGTACACCACAATTACCAAAAGTGTCATTACCATCAGAGAGAATAGAGCACTCGTTATTTGGCAAACATTAGGATATTGTTGGTTTAACAAAGAGACCATTCATAGTCCCTTTCTTAGGAAAAAAAAATCATAATATATATTATTTACAAGCACCGGGCTCTGGGCCCTGGCTACATGTTTAGGAAAAAAAAGACAGGAAAAGAAATCAATCCCGTGTCACGACACCTTTGGTGAGTAGACAGTGACTCTAGCGCCTTCTACTTGCAGTGTGCAGTAAAATAAACATCTCTACGTTTTAACATACCCCTCCACGAATGAGGGCCTCTGAGTTCGTCAAACTTAGACCGTCTGGCTGACATAAAAATCGACTTTTCTTTCTTCATATATAAAGTCTTAATTTTTTATACAACTCAGAATTTATTATACTTCAACATCCTCTTATAATCCTCTATGAGGAAGCTACTGTTTTTTCCCCTCCTGCGGTTTTAAAGTTAGCTAGCCGGCTAACGGCTACCTGTTCTCGCACAGCTAATGTGTGTGTGAGAGTGTGTGTGTGTTTTTTAAGGGAAAGGTGCAATGATGGGTTACACACAGTAAGAACACACAAAAACACGACGTGTACACGGGGAAGAACTGGGACTGAAGCCCGCCGATAGCAGCCTGCCCTGCTAGCAGTACCGATATTAAGCTAACTCCGGCTCGTTTAATTAGCCCGATTGAGCCTGTCCAAAACTTGGTCCTCCAAGAAGCAGTGTATGGTGATAAAACCAAACTGTATGTGTGAGAGACAGAGAGAGATTCTGCCGCTTTCCTCTTTTTCTACACTTTATGACTTTTTCCACACCCACATTCGACCGCTTCTTTCAGTGTAGGAGCCAGGCGCTCTCCACAGGCCTTCCTGCGACCACCGCTCCCCCATCACCTGACAGCGTGTGTCCAAACCTCCAGCATCATGGCGTCAGCTGGCGCTCGACCGGAGGTCGGTGAAGAAGACAACATTGGAAATTTAGGTTTGTGTCTCATGTTGGGAATCTGCGGGGAAGGGAGTTCTGCTTCTGTCTCGTTGGATTCTGGATTTCTTTTTATTTTGTTCTTCTTTTCCTCGTCGCCGTTTCTTTTCTATTTTTTTTTCTTACTTGTTTTGGTGTTTTACAGAGGGCCATACTTGGCCTCGTAGCGGGCCACGATGTTCTTGCAGCGACCACAGTCCTTCCGCAGCTCCGCAACCTGTTGCCTCAGCGCGGCGTTTTCCCGCTCCAGGAAGGAGGCCCGCACCGTGATCTGGTTCTCTTTCAGCCGCCGCGCATCACGGGAACGCTTTGCTGCCAGGTTGTTCTTCTTCCTCCTGGACCAGTATTTCTCATCCTGGCGGAATGAGTGAAAGACATAAGTTAACGACTTGACGCTACTGGGATTTTACCAATTATAATTGTATGACAGGATTCGCACTGTATGTATGTAATTGAATCTGAACTGTAGGATAGCAAAAAGAGAAGACTCTCAGAAGCTTTCAGGGGGAAAAAAAATAATAAAATTTCTGAGTCTGAGTAGTCAGAAATTTGCTAGATTTTTTTTTTTTTGAAATGTTCTAAAATTTTCAGATTTTCTAAGTTTTTTTTAGAAAAGTTCTGAGATTAATCTAAAAATTATCTGTTTTTATTTGTATTTTTTTCATTCTTAAATTTCTGAGATTATTCTTTTTTTCCTGAGTTTGAAAAGTTGGAAATTTTTTAGATTAATCTGGAAAATTTTCCAAAAAATTATAATTTGTTTTGCAATTTTATAATATTTCCGAAAGTTTTCAGTGTTTACAAGAAATATTTTTTAGATTAATATTTTTTTCTGGTAAATTTATATATATATACCTAATTTGCCATCATAAAATTTTTATTCTACAAACTGAATTGAAGTAAATTGAACTAATTATAGCAATTAAACGAGACTGAAGGGAATTGTTCCTATTAAACAACAATAACTCAAAAGTTGTTCCATTTCCAGGCAAACAAGTAAGAAAAAAAACAACTTATTAAATTCTACTGAACTTTGGCCCATAAAGACGACAGCCTGTTTTTAGATTTAGGGAATCCATATTTGTATCTCGCCTACCTTTTGCTCGTCAGGAACAAACACTTTCTTTGCTTTCTTGATCATGGGCTGAGGCTTCAGCTCCTCGTCGGAGAACTTGTGCTTGCGGGGGTTGAACAGTTCTCCCCCAGGAACACTGGACAGGACCAGGTCTGTGGGGTCCGGCTGGAAATTGATGTCCACCTCGATGGCATCTGGGTCGATGGGGGAGGGCGTGTTTCGTTCTTTACCATCTATGGGTTCAGAGGGAAACACTGAATCAGGATTTTGATCAAATGATGTCAAACATATCGATGTTTATGTAAAATCAACAGAGGATTAAATTATTCATTGTCTTCCACAATAAGATTATCAAGTATATCAAGATTTGATATACACTAAATAACATACCTAAAGTGGAAATAGAATGATGAATGGTTAATAAAATGTCTTAAAACTAAAAATTTGAAAACTGCGGCATTTGTTCAACTAAATCTCCGCGCTTCACACAGCAGCCATTTTGTTTTTCTGTGTCGTGTAAAATTATTATAAAAAACATTGAAATTGATTTGTAACATGACAAAACGTAATGACGGAAAAAAATACAGGAATGAATAGTTCAGCTGTATGTAAAACTACATCGTCACTATGTTTTAGTACTTTGCCATGTTAGAAAAGGACAAGTCATTCAACCAGCCGTCGTTTGTTATTTATGTCTAATTTTTAATATCTCCTTTTGTAGATCATTTTAAATTCAGAGCTTAGAGTAATAACCACCTTAGTTGGTGGAAGTTTGAACGCTGTGGACTGACTGGCTGCTGATTTGACTGTATTTACGTATGCAAAGAGACGCGGTGCATCAAAGTGAAACCTACAAGGCGATGTCAGACGACAATGAGCTCTGGAAACGTTCCAGCTTTCAGTTTTCACTTTTTATGGAACTAAACTGTAATTTCCTGCTCAGTCTAATTCAGGATCTGTAGAAGAATCCAAACAGTCCAAACAGTCATGAAGAAATGAAGGATTCCATCACTTGCCTGTTTTCTTCCCTTTCACTTCTGCTGGAGCTTCCTTAGTCAAAGCTTCCTCTTCTTGCCCTTCCTCCTCCTCTTCCTCCTCTTCTTCTTCTTCTTCTACTTCCATTTTGGCGGGCTGTAACGTCGTAACCGTCACGGTTTCCTCTGCATCCGAAGGGCTGTCGGAGGGAGCCGCGGCGGGTGGTGCCGGGTCAGGGACTTCGGCGGCGGTCGCCGGTGCAGCGACTGGTGCAGCGGGGGTCATAGCGACGGCTTTGGGAGCAGGTTTGGCTTTGGTTTCCGCGGAGGCCAGAGTCCTCTGCAGCTCCTCTTCCTCCAGACTCACCGGGATCCCGTTCTCCAGGAGAAACTCGTCCAGGTCCATGTACTCCAAGTGGAACGTCTCGCCGTCGTAAGGAATGGTCTTCTCCCAGATGGCCGGGGTCAGGGAGGCCGACGCCCCCGCGCCGCCTCCTCCGCTGCCACCGCCTCCTCCACCTCCCGCTCCTCTAGAGCCTCCACCGGCACCGGAGGCCACACCGCCTCCTCCATCCACATCCTCTGAGGAGCACTGCTTCTCCTTCTCTAATTCTGCATATAGAGCAAAAGAAAAAAAAACAAAGTTGTTAAGCCAGAGGAGATTTTTTGTTCCCCCCCTTTCTCTGACAAATGGAAAACTAACAACAAAAGACAACAAACCTAACAACCGCAATATTTGATGAAATACTAAACTTTTTTCATGAAAGGAAAGCCACCATTTCTGTCCTCTGTGTATTTCGATTGACAAAAATCACAACAGTCACAAAGAATTAGTTTTCATAATGAGGAAAAAGTGACAAGTATTGACAGATTTTGGAATATTTCTAGCAGAAGTGGTGAGCCCTGCGGCAATTTTGCAGAAATTAAAAAAAATAATAATAAAAGCTACATGTCTCTTTTTCAAAAGATCACTTTAAATCTCAGAAAGGCTCACTGTAAACCTCACAGTCATTACATCAATTTAAATGCTTTTATTGTGATTATAATGGATATGTTATTTATTAAAGACTGTCATTACATTGAATGTCAGTGAGGAGAATCAGTACATTTTACACAGCTCCTCGTTTTGGACATCAGTGCTTAATCGAATGATTCGACTGGACCGTTTCAAACCATTTCTGTCAGCAGGAACGTTGAAAATATTTGATTATGAAGTTGGTCCAGTCCCATCTGTCATGCTTCACATCACAAAACCTTGATCATGCGTTCTATGATTCCCAAATTAAAGAAGAAGAAGAAAAACAAAACACACACATCGTCTCTTGCTGGAATTGTATAGAATGCAGAACAAGAAAACTGCAGTAAAGGGATGGCTTGGATTAAAAGGACGAGCAAAACTTTAAAACTACACAAGAAATCTGATCACTGCCTGGTGTGACGTCACTAGACACTTGGGCGACCTGCGCTCAGGAAGCTAAATCTTATCTTTGTAGGACACGCTTCAAAGCCAATCAGTAAAAGAAACATGGCAGTTTGTGTTATTGGTGACAAACTAGTGTGTTCAGCAGAAAGGTCGGACTGTCGGCTTTAATAAACATGTAATTTCTGTTACCAAGCGTGCGCACACAGCAGAGACGTTAGTTCGACACGAACAGGAAGTGGGTGGTGTGACACGCAGTGAAAAAAAAAAACCCGTGTAAATAAAGAAGGCTCCCAATCAAATAGTTTGCCAGTGACGTCACGGAAGTCAGCTCGCGCATCTTCCGCATAAACAGCCCCGGACACAAAGCGACACAATCCGAGCTAAGAAAAAGAAACAAAACATTCAAAGTACGAGTTGGACGCAGCCCAGCCGCTCCTGCGTCTGGACGCGTCCTCACAGAGTGGTTTTACTGGCTCCAGAGCGGCCCGGAGAACTGGGAACTTTTTGTTCTTTTTACCCCTCCACCCCCACACCACCAGTTCCTCCTCCCTCCTCCCCAACCCCAGCCTCAGATCAAACAGGCTTTGAGCAACACATGGCACACAGACCACTCCACCACCGACACCCATATACTACTAACAACGCACACATAAGCATCCCTAAGTAGCACAAGGTGTGTGTGCGTGTGTGTGTAAGTGTGTGACCTGGTTACTGTAAACCTCTGACAGCGCTTACCGTCGTCTCCTTCCTCCAGGATGTTAGGAGGTGGGATGTCCATGATCTTCTTCAAAACGAAAGGGTAGGACTTCTGAGGAGCCGCTGCGGCTGGCAGCGCCACCGCCACCTCGGCTTTGCCAGGCATTGTTCCGTCCCGAGACTCCGGGCGTTACGGAGGCTGAGTTGGCAACTGACGCTGGGTCCAGAACCACGTCGGTAAAAAACAAACAAACAACGCGCTCCAAGCTTCCCCACGCGAATGTTTCCTTCGACCGCGGCTAATGGCGGACCTTCTTTATCAATAATAAGACGCGTCTAATAGACTTCAACAACCGTCTCGTTCTGCGTACCCTGCGAGCGCGCTCATTGGATATTCATGAGCGCGAGTCCCGCCCACTGAGGGGGAATAGTAGCAGCTGATTGGCTGCGGCTGCTTTTGGACATGAATATGGAACAGCGTCTCCTTTCTGTTGCAGTAGCTGCTCCGTCTTATAGGTAATAAAAGCTGAACGATAATGTGTCACCAACACAAGATGTACGAATATGTAGATGTATGAACATATTTTGTCAATAAAAAAATAGCGCTAAAAAGCAAAAATACCAATAAAAACTCAGTAGACAGGACGAAACCCCAGAGATAATGAGGGGGGTAAATAAATTAATTAATTAAAGTTGTTTATGTACGGCGTTGCAGCCACAGGCTCTCTGCTGTGACTTTCCTCGCCAGAACGGGACACTCGTGGACAAACACGTGCGGCCCGCCCTCGCCTTCCCTCACGTGAAAGCGCAAGCTGTCGAGGGGCGTGGCCTCAGAGCCTTTGCACGTGTGTGCGACAACTGGGGAACCGCAGCGAGAACGCGCGTGCTCACGGATCAAAAACAGGACAGACAAGCGCGAGGACACCGGAAGAGCACGACAGACATCATTCGCCGCTAACTTTCTGCGTTTTGTTTTTAAATTTACGTTCGCAGAGTTGTTACTCGACTCCGCGCTCACGTTGTCACGCGCCTTGCTGCTCGTCACGTGTTCTCTCAAACTGACCGCCAACCCGCATCCGCTGCCTGTATCTGTTTACGCCATTAATAATAGCTGCCCGGTAAACAAGCTGCTGGTCCAGGCCGAAAGGAGGTCAGAAAATCTCCCAGGCAGCAGCCGGTTCATGAATGCCACGCAGAGCAACGCGGCCTGCGCGCCATGCGACAGACAGTCCTCCCAGGCTGCACACTGCTAGTCAGCCGGCTTAAACAAATCTTTACGGCCTTTTTTCTTACTTCAGAGAAACAGTAATGGTGCTGAAACTATATATGCATCTCTCACGAACTGAGTGCTGTTGCAAAACTGCAGTTGCCAAACAACAGAATGCAGTCGAGTTAATTGACTAACATCAACATCTCCTACTTGTATTTCTTCATAAATGCAGAAGAATAAAATGCTAGAAGCCGTTAAAAATTGTGGGAAACCGTTTCATATTTTTATCAGGTATAGAAATGTTAAGGATAGTACTACTGTCAAGAAATGTGAGGAAAAAGCAACTTGATCATTGCAATCCTAGTAATGAAATCCGTATTAACATGTTAAGGACAAGAATAATGAAGATGTGATGGTGGGGAAGATTTGGCCTATTTCAGGCCAATGATTCAATGGATTCCCAGCAGCATTTCCCCCCCACGAACCCTTCAGAAGCATCACTTGCACTCCTGTGCCATTTCTCCTGGTTCCACTTCTAAAACGTATAATTTTCTCTGTGCAGATGATGTGGCAATCTGCCGGAGTGAGGGGTTAAGAGAACCGTCTGCAGAGGACTGCACAACACGGGGAGCTATCCAGTGCTGAAACGGCCCTGCACTGCGCACTTTTAAAAACCATTCGGAATCACTTTGACAACTGTTGCAATGCGTTTCACTGGATCTAAAAAAAAAAAAATGGTGCTAGTCATTCATGCGTTTTGTAATCCTCTGAGACATCAATTAATGGGAGGAACAATTTGTACACATAGGTAAAGTCTCAGTAACCAAGCAAAAGACAACATACACTTTTAAGTTGCTTGAAGAGACAACAATGTTTGTTTGTGTTTTTTTTTTTTTTTACTTCAAACTAACTGGTAAACTGTGATGTCTGCAAAAGACTTTGTTTTTTGTTTTTTGTGAGGGGGCTACAGATTAAACAAATCTGAAAGTTGCAGAGCAAACCGCCGTGATGTTCAGAAGGGTGTGACTTTGAAAAGTTAAGTTTGAGCAGAGCTCGAACGCAGAGTGAAGCCTGAGCGAAGGCCGCTTCTGTTTTACTGCATCAGCTTCAAGGTGGCCGTGTTGTCACCACATGCTCAAAGATTGCAACCTGGTGATGTCACGGCTGTTCATGAGGAGAGGACACATTTGCACACTTCTAAGTGAGCCACACCTGAAACTCACCTGCGACTGTTGCATTGTGAACTAATGAATTTCCCAGCACACTGTATAACTCTCTGTCATAATTTTTTTTTAAAGTACTCTGAGCGCAAAGTGCATCGCTTTCAAATTACACAAAACAACAACAGAAAAAATATTTAAACTGTCACAAAGTCACCATCAGATGGCCCCATGATTGTTTAAAATTAATAATGAATATCTGGTTATATGGAGATTCATAGTGCAACCCTTTACAAGTGATGTAAATAGTACTAGTCTGACATTAAAGTTAGGCTTTACAGAACCCTACAGTAGGACTACACCTCCACTTAAACGCATTGAAACGTTTAAAGTAGCCCCTAAGGAAAAAAACAAACTTTTTCTGAATTAAATAATTAATAAATAGCATTTAAAAAAAAAAACAACTCACCGATGTCATCAAAAGCTGGGAAAGTGACGGGGTGGTCAGCCAGGGCTTTTAGGAGATCAGTAATCTCGCTTCTCTCTCCAAAGAGGATTTCACTAGTTGCTGACATGATGAACCGTGACGCACTTGCTCTTGTCGACGGGAAGAAAAACAAACAACAAAAACTGCTCCCAGTCAGAAGAGGATCCTCAAAATACGAAGCGAACCCAGTACGTGCGCTCTTTGCAAGTCACTCCTGTCACTTTTCACTAACTTCTCCGCGACACAGGGACGCCCGCATGTCTCCAACTATTATGGATTTAATGAGCAGCGGAAGCCACGTCCCCCGACCTCCTTGGGTTGGGCAGGGCGGCCTTTCAGTTGAGCCGGAGAGCCAATCAGGACGCGGGAGGCGGGTCCTCAGAGCAACAACAACAAGAGGACTTTGCTGCGTTCTGTACACCACGCACGTCTGCACGTGCGGTCCAACAGCAGGACTTCTTTAGGGGCGAGCACTGACACCTAGTGGCCGATGCAGGCAGTGCAACAGCGTCGTGTCAAGAGGTTAACGCGACACAATCTGCTTCCGGGATGTCGGGGAGCGCGCGCCGGGCAGCAAGTGCGTACATTTGTGTAAGTACATTTTAATATAAATATATACAAAGTATACTAAAATCATGCTTGTACTAATTTTGACATTATAACTTCAAACAAACTTAAAACATAATTGTACCAAAATACATTTTTAAGATTTAAAATATATTTTATTTAATGTTAAATAAAAGTATGCTTTAAGTGAATAATATTTAATAATAATATTTTCTCATGTGTAGCAATGAAACATGCTTTTAAAGATATTTTGTGTGTATTTTAAAATATATGCTCAAAATAGAATTTTATTAAACTTCACTTAACACTTACTTCAAAAGTAAACTATTGAACATACTGAAATTTCAGTATGTTTTAAATTAGATCTCAGTATTAGCATCCTGCTTACTCTGTGTGGAGACACGAAAAAAACAAAAAAACAAACAGCATCCGAGCAACTAAAAAAACATGGGATTTAACTTACGCATCTTATTTATACCCCAGGGTTTCAAAGAGTACCCCAGGGTTTCAAAGAGTCAGAAGACAAAAGAAAAGTTTCAACAAAACTAAAAAGTAGGACTATAAAATGCTTGGGGTTGCTAACTGGATCAAATAAAGCCACCAAGAATTTAGCTACAAATGGGATATTTTTCTACATGTAAAGTTTGTAAATCTTTTACTTATATTGGCTTTTTGGTAAAAGTGTGTTACTGCAAGCAGGGTTGAATTTATTATGCTTAGCACTGTATTCCTGGTATCCTCAGCATATTAAGAAAACATCCAACTGTTCCTTATAAAAAAAATAGAGAAAAAAGGAAAATTTCTGCAAAATTAAATTATAAATGAAGATGTCAGATTATGCATGGGTTTTTCACATCAGAAGCTAAAATGAGGAAAGTTGTTGACAGCAGGTTTTCTTGTTCATTTATTATTCTGAGAGAAAAATTAAAAAAACCAAATGTCACATAGCTTGTTTGAAAATAACCAAATCAAAGTCATTGATTTTAAGTATGTAAGGGTTTTACGTTTGTCCAACATTTTGCTAACTTTGACAAAATGTAAAAGGATGAAAGGACGAACTGCTTATGAAAAAAGCCAAATGGAGGGAGAGAGTAAAAACAAAAATAGGAAGCATGGTTGAATTTGAACCTTAGAAAAAAAATATAGAACTGATTCTTTCATGGCAGCGACACATTTCACAGTCTATCCAGTACATTCAAAGGATGTTTAACTTAACAACAATGCTGACATTATGCCAAAATGAGCAGAACATTTGTTGCTAGATACTTAAAAACATAAACAAAATTAAGTTTAAATGGTGACTTATTTGTTGAAAGGCAAATACTTCCACAGATTAAATGGTAGATTTGGCTAGCTGGAAATCCTGATTGTTGTCCCTTTGGTTTCAGTTCAACAAGGCGTGAAATAATCACACTGATAAGTTTCCGGGTCCAAAACCGGCCTGTGAAGTCCCATTATTCTCAATCCTGAAGCAGAAAGTTGTACTTCCCAAAGTCAAGCTCGTCCGGCATGATGAGCATGTCTTCCCTGGCTTTGGCTAACTTTTGTCTGAGAAAATCCCGTCTCTCGATCCACTCCTGCAGCTCCTCCGAACCGTGAGCGTAGTCGCAGCTTACCCCGTCAGGACAGCCGCCGCCGTCTGCGATTCTGGAAATCACAAAGATTACGCTCAATTTGCGAACGGTCCTCGATTGGGTTAAGCCGTTTCCCAACCTGAGGAAACGTCTGAAGTGGAGGAGGACTGGATGGCCGGACGCCGATCTTACTTGGGGCAGATTTTGAAACACGCTCCAGGGAAGCGGTAGCTCCACGTCAGGGCCTCGTCTTCACCCTCACAGCTGAACACTCGGTCTTTGTGCTTCTCCGTAGAAATGTGCTGCTGCCACTGCCGCTCGCTGTTACTGTGCTTACCACACAGCCGGCAGTGGAAGCCATCCTAAAAACAGTGAGAAGAAGGATGCATGTTTAAAACCTCCTTCTCGTTGCAATGCCAGTGAACGAGCAAATGGACCGTTCACCAACCATTTGTTCTGCATAGTCGGTTGGCATTGCGATGAATTTCTCCTCCTGGTTAGACTGATTGCACACGGATCCGTCTGACTGGCGGTTTTGAGCAGCTAAAGCCAGCCACATGTTGTAAACTTGTTCCATGTCATACACTGCAAACACAAACGGTTAAATAAAACAAGCAATAATATTCCAAAATAAAACAAAAGCATCTAAAATGTGACTCCAAATCATTCAAACACCAGACAGGATTTGTGTGATTGTTTTATTATTTCATAGCTACTGCAGTGGAGGGCAGTTGAAATCACTCACACTCGTTATTTTTCATGTACATCCA